TTTCACTGCCATTGCCATGGCCAGAAATGTTGCAAGTTTGCTGCTCGAAAAGTTTAGCCCGCAGTTTTAATAATGCAAAGTAGTCGAAGGAACCCAAAATTAAATTGATGCCAATGTCGATACTTGGAGAGCGGCTTCACAAAGTTTCCCAAAAAAAAGTTGCAAAAAAATTAAAACAAAACGTGAACTCCTTAGAGATGCAGCTGAGCTGGCGTGCAACGCACCTGAAATACACTATTTACATATTCAAAGAGATCGAGCCTACCCATATAGAAGCAAATAAAGCCATGTGCTGTAAAAGAATAATAGGTATAGCCATGTAAGGAATATATATATACATATTTATATTTGAGATATGTATGTATGTATCTATGTGTGTGCATTGCAGTACAGTCTGCTGCTGCTGCTGCTGCTGCTGCTCCTGCTCCTGCTATGGGCTACGACTATTTCCGCTGGTCGCATTAACTGCAGGCGCATAACTTTTCCAATTTGCTTTTGGCAATTATTGATATAAGCCAACAGCAACAACACTTGAGCTCAGTTTTTCTCTCTCCCTCTCTGACTCTCTCTCTCTCTCTCACTCACTCGCTCCGTCTCCCTGTTGAATTTGTGTATGTGAGGCGGGGCCGGCCAAGCATATTTTCTTGCATTTTGCGCATATCTGTGCAACATTCTCAAAATTCTTGAACAAAGTTTTGTTATTATTGCCGTTTTGCTCGGGACTCGGGACTCGAGACCGAGACTCGAGACTTGAAAGTGGAGAGCCGAGACTTGGTTTTGGTGCTGACTGCCACTTTGATTACTTTTGCAGTTGCCGTTGCAATTAGTTTGTTCATTAGACGAGGCAACAAACAGCCCATGACGAGAGCGAGATAGACAGAAGCTCGAGCTGCAAGAGTTGCCTCGAGTTGATTGGAATTCACACACTTAATTAGTTGCATGCCCAGTTAATTTCCTCTTTGTTCCTGCCACTGTAGTTGGTAATTGCGAGCAGTTTTTGCTACAATATATCTTTAAGATTCACTCCTACATGCACAGGTCTCCCAGGTGTGTGCCTTCCCACTGCTCCTCGGCGATGCAAATAAGTTAACAAGCAAACAGCGTACAAGCTGTCTAAAGTGACTCACGGACTGCAGCCATTTCTGTAAGCTCTGAAATTCAATACAGTGTTGAACTGGTCGAGCTCTTTTTAATGTGTTAGCCGCAACGATCTGGCCAAGCTGGCCCGTAAGGCATAAGCCTTGGACCTGGACCTGGACCTGGACCTGGCCCGGCTATCCTTGTCCCTTGTTTTGTTGCATAATGCCAACTTATGCACTGGCACATTGCTGACTGGTTGTTCGGTATTTTGAGTAAAGTTCTCTCTGCCCGCCCTTCGTATTTATTTGCATTATCTCCTGATGGTCTAGTGCCAACGCATTTTGGTTGAAAAATCTACAATTCGCATGCCGCAAAACAAAAGCAAATGCCAGAGACAAACTCGTCAAGATGAATGACTGTAAGCAAATCCAGCGATTCAAGCTTGCATACCAGCATTACTCCATGTCAGTAGACCCCGAGAGCCCGGACAGCCTGCACAATTCAAATTGCACATGTCCAGCCTTCCCTCACGCTCCAGTCCCAAAAACAAGTAAGAGAGTACTAGTCGGGGTGACTGACTTCAAGCTACCCTGAACCCAGTACCATGTGCTAAATTTTCCATTGCATCCATAGCATCGAGCATTAAATATAAACCAAAATATACATAAAACTAACTGGGGAGGCTCTAGCTCATAAGCCGTGAGATATACTTTAATAGCTGCATTTCGACCACGTTTTTAATCGGTAACAATCAAACGGAGATTACATATGCGCTTCCTTCGGCCTGTTACATACAGTTTAACAAAACCACTATACCCTGATTTCCCATTTTCCATGGGATCAGGGTATAAATAGAAAAAAAGCAGAAAAAGGAAACAGCGAATATGTGACTCGGGGCAGTTTCTTCTGCTGCTTGGAAAATTCTCAAGTAAATTTCATTGAATAAGAAATAAATAAGTAAATACTTCAGATAACTCTAAGATTCTCTCTCTTTCTTTGCACTGTGACAATTTTCTGCGGCGCTTTCAATTTAATTTACTTCCCCCTAACCACGTCTGACCATTGTTGGAACGTTGTGTGTAATTTAAAATCCCCTCAGCATGCAAAACACAACCTCAGCCGCATTTAGGCGCTTTCACTTGTCGGAGACTAAAATCCAGAATGAAGCAAACCAAAGACAAATCCACACGGCCATAGAATGTGTGGCCAAACCAAATACGAGCAAGTATGACATGCCCCAGCATCAGGCATCAACGAAGCGTCGACGTGGCCTTGCAAGCCAAGCAAATAAATGTTGGAAGGCAAAATGGAACGTGCCAAAGTCAGTTGACAAAGCATGAGGTAACCACATATATAAATACTTATTTAGTAGTAATGAAATAGGTAGGGGTGGAGTGTTACAGGCATGGCTAGAAGTGTTAGACTGACTTTTCACTTTGCTTATTGAATTTTCCAACTTAAGTTTCCCCTATGTTGAAAAGTCGAATATAAAAAATAAAATAAATACCCTTGCGTTACGTAATTCAATACAAAAATATTTTTCCCTTAGTTAAATCAAAATTATATATATGTATTGTTTTTGGGGTAGATATTTATAAGTAGACGGCGCTTACCGTTGACACCTAATGCAACCGCGCTTGCATAGGGAAAAACAAAACGCAATTAAAATTGAATAAACTAATCACTTTTCTCCCTTTTACAAAATTCACTTTTTATAAAATAACTTTCAGCATTATAAAGCTCACAAATTATTTGCACCCGAAAACGAAAGCACACGCACGTGATTTGACTGCGTAGCTCCGCGAGAATGCTAAGCTAACATGCACACAAGAACAATATCACAAAGAAATAGAACTAACTAAAAAGCTTTTGCATTTACACTATTTCCAAGGCAAATACAGGCATAAGAACTTTTAACTAAATATTTCGTGCAGTAGGAAAATAAAACCAGGGGTGCCCGACTATGAGATACCCTGATCCCAGTCCTATCTGAGTCTTTAGTATATTGCCTAGTTTGTGTCTAGCTTAAAAAAAAAACAGCTGAAACTTGATATTAAGACACCAAAATTGCTTACGCATCGAAATTTTCAGCATATGCTCTACATATTCTATTTGCATATTTGTCAGCTTTGTAAAAATGCTCCTTCACATATTAACCCTATTTTCAACTCAACTTAAATATAAAGAATTTGGGGAAATGTGGAGACGGTATATAAAATCTATCAATACAATATACATTAAGAAAATATGCTGAGATCAACGCGCTAACGAAAATCGGACTGTTACATACAGTTTAACAAAACTAGTATACCCTGATTTCTTATTCAGGGATAACGGTATGCAAATCTAACGGGATAAAAGCTTTGAATATTTATATTGCATAAGTAGACATACATAACTCAGATAACAGGATCTATTTTGTATGTACACACACACGAACGAACGAACAAAGAACAATAAAGAGCGTACAAAGAATAGCGTCTGCTAAATGTCAAACTGAGCACTACAATGATCGACCATCTGGAACAATCGACAGGCAACAACTGTCCACAAAATGAAGTTGTGGAACGCATTGTTTGCGGACCGCCATATGCGACGGCCATGTGAGATCCCAGTCATGTTAACGAAGTAGAAGTCTGGCTGACTGTGGCATTCTTTAGCTGACATTGCAGCGCACAATTGTTTGATAATGACACTAACATGATGCTGTACTGACAACCAGGCAAAAGAAACCTACTTGCCATTTCAGTTTTCTTTTATTTGGGAGCAAAACCCCACGAAATTATATACGAAAATTATTTGTAACAGACCGCCGCTAGCAAATTTTGGTATCCTGGTCGCAGCTGAGTCGTTCAGCCTAAGCCTAGGCTGGATCTCATTTTGGTTGGCGCTAGTTTAGCTGATTTCCTGTGGCTGGCTGAGAAGAGCCACTGTGAAGCGATTGTAAATTAAGTTTTAAGCAACATGTCTGCAAAAATCATGCCCGAGGACAACAACCTCGGCCTTTGTTGCGCTCTCCCCTCTCCTCTCCCCGCTCACTCGCTCTCTTTTTTGCCTCCTTCCCTCTCACGAACACTGTCGCAGGCAGTTGCAAGATTTCTTCATTTTTTTATTCATTCGTTTATTTTTTGTTGCTTTGTATTCCTATTTGAAGAATGGAAATTGTGTTTTGTGTGTTTGCTGCAGTGGTCGCAATCGTCGTCGTGCAGCTCCTTGAGGAGCTGGCTTACTATTTTCGCATCATGCCTTTTTTACTTGCATTTCTTTTTGTTTTATTATTCCTTTTTTTATTGTACTTTGCTATTTACACTGCCACAGTCAACAGTCGGCGTCAGCGTCGACTTCGACGTCGCCAGTGACGTCAACAGTTGCAGTTGCTTTAGCTGTGCCTATTTATATATGTGTATATTTGCTGTAGTTGGGTAGCCGGGAATAACGGACGGGCAGGATGCCTCGGCGAATTTGTATTTGTATTTGTATTTGTGTTTTAGTTTATTGTGCTGGGGCCACAACAGCCACCAACGAACTTTGGCAAGCAAGTTCTGTATTTGAGCTCCGCTGAGGCAAGGAATTCAATTTTAGAATCGCAAAGGACTCGGCGCAATTGTTGCGGCTGCCTGTCTGCCTGTCTGGCTGGCTCACTGCCTGCATTTGATTACAGCTCGTTTCATTTAAAATTATTTGCCCAGTTGATCAGCTTACGTGCAGCCGGGGTAGTGCCTAATTAATGCCACCAACAATCGATATCATATGTAAGATGCAAATGCACGACTCTAAAATACCCTACCTTAAGTTCGTTTCCTATACGAGGCAGGTCTATCTATAACTTGATTATTATTGTCTAGTATTATCAATACTTTCAACAAGTTCACATACTATTATTATATGGTGTAAATTCACTGAGAAGAAATTACCGAAACTTATCAATACTTTCAACAAGTTCACATACTATTATTATATGGTGTAAATTCACTGAGAAGAAATTACCGAAACTTAGAGCATCTTAAAGGGCAGCGAATTTTAGTCATATTTACACAGATCCTGGTCACTGGCTTAGCTGGAATGAACAACAACCGACTAAACACTTGCCCGGCCAATTAATTAAAACTCAACAAAGCTTAGCAGACATCTAACAGCAAACAGCAAACAGCAAACATCAACAGCGACAACTGCAAATGATGTTAAGACCAGCTTAAATAAAGCTAAGGACTTAACTGATAAATGCAGCGCTAGTAAGTTGCCGTTATCAACTTTTGCCGGGCAAAGAAGGCTTTGCCGTTAGATCAGCCACCAGCTGCTGTATGGCCACGGTGCAGCCCACAACGCCAAAGACAATGCCGATTAGGATTAGCAGAATATCGCGTAATAGCTTCCAACGCAGGCGGCCATACCCTATCTGATAGTTAACGAAGATGTCAATCAGCGCCGGACAGATCAGGTTTAAGTTGCACAGAGAGAAGGCACCTTCCAGCTCGGTCAAAGCAGCCAAATTGGGCACAACAGCAGCCACGATGCCTGGAGGGAAACGAGAGACGAGCGATAGGAACGTAAACAGATCAGATCCGGCTGCTCCACCTACCCGTTAACACAAGAAAGCAGATGCGCACCAAGATTTCCACTGTAGTGCGGCACTTGTGCTGGGGTTTCTGATCACCAAATTCGTTGAAGACGATGGTTATGAACACAAAGCCGTTCAACGGATAACTCAAGAAAATGCCACATGCAATGGCAATCTTAATGAATTGTGAGAGGCTTGTAAAATAAGGAAGGAGAAGAAATTAAATAATGGAGTAGCTAAGACAGGTGGGCTCTTCGCGCTATAGAGCGATGCGCAATACTTACACTTCACTTTGCGGAATATTGAGCGTAATGCTGGCTTCCACTTGCTCGCCGTAGCGCCAGTAGCCCATGATTCCGAAAAATATGTTCGAGCAGAGTATGCAGAAGACGGCCAGATTAAGTACACCGAAGAAGCCAAGGTAGCTTTCTGGATGTGCCATGTTGGCTTCCACGACGAGCATCTAAGAGTGTGCACAGTATTTAGGGTAAATTATAGACGAGTCTCTGTCATACGCACTGAACCAACGGCTGTGAGGGAGAAGGCGGCAATGCCAAAGAACATCATATAGTCGAGGGGGGGCTTGAACATTTCGCGATCCTGTAAGCTAGGCAGGCCCTGGAACAGGTAATACATGATGCACAGGAATCCGACGTAGAGCAGGATATTCGAGAGGAGATTCAGCGGCACCAAGAACTTCAGCTTGCGTATCAAAAAGAAGGGCAGTTGCAGTACACAGACGCAGAGAACGTAGTAGCGCTCGTGATATTCCTTGAAGTAGAAATCGCCGATTTCCTTTAGGTTCTTTGAGACAAACACAATGTAAACGCAGCAGAGACCAAACTGGCCAAAGACCAAAACACAGGTGGTCGAAATGCCAGCCGTGCGGGCAAAGCAATGCAAACAGGCTGGTCCCAATTTGTAGGCAATCTGCACGGCCTGCGGCATGGATACCTGCGGTACATGGATGCGTCGGCAGCACTCGGTCATGCCAGTGATCTGTGCGGGAAGGCTAAATGCAAATAATTGCGATTTGGACCGGACATGGGCAGCAGAGAAGGCAACTGCAGATACTCACCAGCAAATGGATGCAATAGGTAAGCAGGACCATTAACAGCACAGAGAGCACCACGCCGGACACGATGCCGGCGTACCGCATGGCCAGTGGCATGGCCAGAATGCCAGTGCCAATCACGCACTTCAGCAGCGAGACGAATGCATCAAAGTTACTGTCGGAACAGATGTTGAATCAGAAGTCAGAAGTCAGTAGTAGCTGAAAACAGTACGATTCATAACAGGCAACGCCGTTCGACAAGTCACTTACGTTAGGGGCACCTCAACAGTGCGTTTTTCGTAGGGATTATAAATGTAAATCGATGACCTTGTTGGGTCGTTGGGTAAGCCGCTGCACGTGTTGCAAGGTTTGATTAGAGCCAAGTTCTCGGCAAAACCCAAAAGCTACTCACATAAGAGACAGCGTCGGTTGCTGGTGTAGCTGCGAGTTCTCCTTCGTTGGCTTGGCCATTTAAGCCAATTATTTGAGCCGTACGATAGTCGTAAAACTAAACCAATGGTGAATAACAAATTTTGATAACAAATTCAAATGAGTGTAGTATAGTCGTAAGTCGGAAGTCGGAAGTGTCGTCTGTGACACCCCCTCTCCCCACCCCGCACACATTCAATTTACTTTAAGCTAATCAGTGAGCTTAGCCCCACAATCAAAATCCCAACTGCTACACATGCGCGACGGCCATTACCATAATATGCGCAAATTATTGCATACTTTGCAGCGTAGCCAGAGCCAGTTGCACTGAGATAGAGGCAGAGGCAGAGACAGAAAGAGACAGAGACTGAGTCGAAGGCAAAGGCAGAGATAGAGGCAGAGACAGAGCACACAACTTACAACAATTTGCAAAGCAACAGTACAGTACACACCAGCTATAGCAGAACTCTATCAAATGAATCTTGAAATGTTTAACTTTCACATTTGACATACGAAGAGAGAAGTTTATATATAGAGAGAGAGAGTGGTAGAGAGAGATAGAAAATCAGGGAGTGATATAGGCAGAGAGGGAGAGAGATCACCATAGGAGATAAAGAAGTACTTCATGCCTCTCGCTCACTCTAGATTTTTGTCTGGCAGTTACATTTCGTAAAGAGAAAGTGAAAGTAGAAAGTCAAAGAGGAAGCTAAGGTTAGACCTAAGCGCAGTTGAGCATGACCTGTAAGACTTGTTTTTTGTACTTGTGTACTCTTCGGTTGCTATTCTATATAGCCAGGCAGAGCAGTACAGCATGCACTAGCTAAAGAAGAAAGATTATTTAAGTCTGCGTTTACAGAGATTTACCAATTTTCAGTGAGCTCAATCGTGGTCGACGGTCGACGGTCGAGCGACAAGTTTAACAATGGCAGCTGACACTGTATCTTGTATCTAGATAACCAGCGCTGCAGCTCTCAAATTTCAATTCCAGCTGCAGGATGCAGGATGTCGAGCTGGCGCTGGCGCTGGCGCTGGCGCTGCTGAAAGGGGGACGATTGTCATGCCAGAATGTGCACTTCCGCGTCCGCTTTTAGTTGTGTGAACTTTACAGTAAATTGAATTAAAATTTATTGTGAAAATTGCAAAATTCAAAAAAGCCGTAGCAGCTAGCAGAAGTGGGCTTCAAGGAGACATCAGCGCAAATCCAATACAAATAAAATTAAGTAAAAATGCACACACAGCGGCGCACATGGAGTGGGTGGGCTGTAGCTGAAGTGGGAGTCGAGGGTAGCGGGTGTTTGGTGGCTGGTGACGGGTGCCGGGTGGCGGGTGGCGGGAGTCGGGTGTCGGGGCTCGCCGTGTGTTTGCACAAAAATATGCAAATGTGATATTGTCGCTGGCGACATTTACAACAATTACAATAACAACGAACGGAACGTACGGATGGCGGACAGGCGGCAACTACTAACTGCGTGCGACATGTGACACGATATTCAAATAAAGGCGGCTCATAGGGAGACGTAGGTGGCTGGGCGTGGCATTTATATATTTTGAATAAAAAGGGAAATATGCAGCAGCAGCAGCAGAGCAAGAAAACGAGTGAAGCAGCAGCAGCAGTAGCACAGAAATCAAATAAAACAAATTTGGAATTTTACAGCAGGCGAACAGGAGAACATCTTCTACACACACGCGCACACACACTCCCGCACACACACTCGTGCACATATGTATGTGCTTGAAGGAGTCTCGCAGATGACTTCGACTTCGACTCTCTTCACTTCAGTCTCGCTCTGCCTGTCCTTTCTGTTTTTTCTACGGAGACAAACAGACTGACATTCAATTTAAATTCCTATACAAATAATTGCGTGCCAGTTCCGAGTCCACACACAGTTGGATAGCTGCAGAGTCTGCAGCACTGCAGCGCTTAGATTATGTTAGCTGCTTCCTTCTCTTTTTTATGTCTTTAATGGCGACACTGCGACGTTTGCCATAATTTGCCTAGCTCAATGTCAATGGACACAGACGCTAATAATTATGCATTCCTTGCCACGTTCAATCCTATGAAATTATTCTGTCCTCATCACCTGCTGTTGCTAAAACAAAAAGAGCGAGCGATGCAAAGGAAGTCGACGTGAAGATACCCTCTCTATTAAATAAGGAAGAAACCATAGTTATTTTTGAATTAAATAAATTCAATCTATTGTCTATCTATCAATTGTTTGATTGAAAATAAAACAAAAATTATTCTTGAAACACTTTCTAAACTCAATTTAGTTACCTCTCAGTTGATAGTTGTGACGCTCAATCATTTGGAATATGTACAGGGTATACGAATAAATTTCACCTCAAAGCAAAATTTCTTAATGCAGCGCACGCACCTGAGCTGCGTAGCTCTCTGTCTCTCTCGCTCCCCATCGTTGGCTACGGTTTACCTGACTGCGGCTTCAGCTATTATCGCTGCGGTTATCTCGCTCCCTCTCCACGCAGCCACCCCGTACTTCCCGCTATTATCATCAATGTTATCAACAGCTTAGCTTAAACTTTGTGCGACTGAAAGATGCACCACGTTCGACGTTCAACGCTCCAAGCCCCACGTTTCGCTGCAGCCACTTCCTCATGCTTTGCGCATCAATGATTTTGATCAGATTTACTGAAGCTGTCCAGCGTTGATGCTGAAAAAGAAGTTGACGATGATGACGTTGATGATGACGACGCGGCCACAGGGCGCGCTTAGCAGCCCTTTTATCTCGCTGCCCACAATAATTTTTGCATTTATAATGAAATTCATCGTCATTTTTCATACTTTCACAAAGTGGATTTTTATTAGATTTGCATTTCTTGCAAACCTTTATACTATATATATATATATATATATATATATGTAGGAAAGCTTATTGTTTGCTGTGGATTCAAACCATATGGTCAAAGTGGCTTAAATGCATTAGAACTTTCTATGCTTTCGTTATTTTGTTTTTGTTGTTGTTAGAGGCAATTTCATATGCAGTGCTATTAAAACTGCAAGATTCATGAATATTCATATTCATTTTCGTATTTTCCGCACAATTTGTCAATGGCGGGGAAATTATGTGTGTCTTAAAAACACAACGTGCAGAAAATTTTCTATTAGATAAACTGTCAGTCATTTGCGTTGACGTGGAACGTGAGCTCAGGAAACGAAAGTCATACGATGATATTTCAAATTATTTTAAGCCCCTCATCAACATGGTATCTTTAGGGCTGCCATTAGATACCCTGTATATAATTGAAACGTAACTACCTCCTGTTTTGTGTGTAAATAAACAGGAACATAAATGACATTTCGAGATACTAATGCAAGCGACATGACAATGAAGCATTAGATGCACAGTTGTTGCACTGCGACAGTTTGATAATTAAATATTGTACACGTAAAATATTAAAAGGAGTCCAGTCTGTGCATTATGCGATGTCAATACGTGAGCATAGTCGATAATGACAGACAATACGCGACGTGATAACTTACTAAGCACATCTATTGAAATATATGGCTCAGGCTTATTTGAATTTCTACTGTAGCGCGCGTAAGCCTGGCACTGCTGCTATAAGTGTTGGTGCGACACGAACTTTAAACGTTGACAAACACTTACTTATAAACCAATATATCGATAGTGGTCACTATAAAATCGACAAGCCCCCACGTTGTAGCGGCGTGTTTCACATATTTACGAAGAGTTAAATAAAAAACTGCACAAATAATGGATGATGAGGCGGAAACTTACAAACTCTGGCGCATACGCAAGACGATCATGCAGTTGAGCCACGATCGTGGTTACCTGGTAACTCAGGATGAATTGGACCAGACCCTGGAGCAGTTTAAGGAAATGTTTGGCGACAAGCCGAGTGACAAGCGTCCCTCGCGGTCCGACCTAATCGTCTTGGTGGCTCACAACGACGACCCTACTGACCAGATGTTTGTCTTTTTTCCCGAGGAACCCAAAATTGGAATCAAGACCATCAAAACGTACTGCACCCGTATGCAAGAGGAGAACATCCACAGGGCCATCGTCGTGGTGCAAGGTGGAATGACGCCCTCGGCCAAGCAGTCGCTGGTGGACATGGCACCCAAGTATATACTAGAACAGTTCCTGGAGTCTGAGTTGCTGATCAACATAACGGAGCACGAGTTGGTTCCGGAGCATGTGGTAATGACGGCGGAGGACAAACAAGAACTACTCAGCAGATACAAACTCAAGGAGAACATGTTGATGCGCATCCAGGCGGGTGACCCGGTAGCCCGCTACTTCGGCTTAAAGCGCGGCCAAGTTGTAAAGATTATACGATCGTCTGAGACAGCGGGTAGATATATATCATATAGATTGGTTTGCTGAGCGACTTAATGAACAGACGTAATAAACGTAATACAAATAGACTTTTCGTCCTATTATAACAATTAATTAAATATATATATATATGTATACATATATTTATACATATATAAGAAAAAACGTTTTAAAATATATATATTTTGATACTCACCATCTGCGGGTCGTATAAGCTAAGCTATCGATAGTTGATATCGATAAGTGTCAAATTACAACCGGGTGGGAAAAGACAAAAAAAAAAACAAATACAGAAAATACAATTATACAATCCGAGGTCTGTTGTGTCTCCTCCTGAGATGGCTATGCTAACGCGCCTGACCAGCAGCGGCACGACAACAGTAGCACCTGGTTCGCCTAAAGCGTTGCAACGCTTTCAGAATTATCTCAGCGCATTTCTCTGGCCGGGAACGTCGCAACGCAAGTCGTCGACGCAACTGGATGCCATTGATTGCTTCACCAATGAGCTAGTCAATCGTAAGACACAGAAATGGGGCGAATTGCGTGAAAGCCTGATGAAGCCCACTGGCGAGGAGGCCAATTATGGAGGAAGCAGCTTTGGCCAGAACGTGGGTCTCATGTCCAAGGGCATGATGAGCGATCTGAAGACTTTGCGCTCCCCGCAGCTAGGCCTCGATATACGATCTCTCTCACAACCACAGCTTGACAACTTACTGCTGGCGACACTGGAAGTTAAGAACAAGTTGGACTTCCTCTATTTAATACGACAATGCGTTCGCTGGCAGCAGTTGCCCTGCAACGAGGTTTTCATCTCCTGTCTAAAGTATTTGAGCTCTTTGGGTCGCATGCAGCAGCTGGAATCGCTGGCGGAGACCTGTCGCCAGTTGAATCATCCGTTTGCCACCATGTACTCAGATTTGGCGCCGTTCAAGGCAATCGCCTTGTGGCATAACGGCAACTCGGATGTGGCACTGATGACCCTGCATCGTGGCTATGGCGGAAGTCTTAATACAGAGGAAGGCAGGCGCATGATTCGCGTCGCCTTTCGCACCATTGTGGAGGAGACGCTGGCTCAGAAAAGCGAAGCAGTCCTCGTCTCCCTAATGGAGGTCGCCCGTGCCATACACAACGAGCACAAAGACATCTTTGTGGTGGCCTGTGTGTGGAAACAATGTTTTGCCAGTGATTGGTTTAGCGATCAGAAATCTGCTGGCGAGCTGTTCGAGCACCACAAGGAGCTGCAGCAACTAGTGGATCGAAGGTGCCTACTCGAATGAAATGTATTATGATAATTCCATATTTTACTAATAATTCTATTTTAGAGCCAGTCCGCTATGCTCCTCATTCCTGAGTCGCCACAATGTGGACGCTGTGCATCGTCTAATAGAGGTATTTTTGCAACACAATCAACGCAATGCGTGCGCCAATTGCCTCAGTTTGCTCTTCAACTATCAATGTATGTATATCTATCGCATATTTTACTCGATTGGAATAATAAGTTTCAAATGATTGCAGACTTGCGTAAGGATTTGCGTGCGTGCGCAGAAATTGTTAAGTCCTGCAGTGAGCTCGAAATGCCACTGAACGAGCTACAAAACGAACAGTTCCTTAGCCTGTTCCTTGATCAGAGCGAACCATATGATACTGCAGCTGCTGGCAATCGAACGACGGGGAACAAGTACAAAACGAAATCGTTCCAGTACAAATTTTAGAGACAATTGTATTCCCCACTTTGTTGCATCCGTAGTCTGTAATTGTAGAGCACACATTACATAGCAATACGCACATACCTTTACCACTTGAATAAATGTTATTTATCTTGTCAATCCAAATATATGGGACCTCGGGATACTAGTTATTGTTATAAAATGCTGCTCTTGGCTAATAAATATCTTGTTCAATTTTTAAGAATCTCGTATGTTGCCCTCGGGTAGCTGGGCGGTCGTCAGGCCCATGCACTCATAGCACCGTGAGATTAGATGATTGCCGCAACGATGCGCCTGGCACTGTTGGCAACGCGATCTCGCTTTAATTTCGCGCTTGTTGCGAGCGCAAGGCTTGCAACGACGATGCTTGTCCCCATAACGACTGACCAAGGCGACGCCTTTAGGCAACATGCAGTGGGACAAGCTAATGACACCAACTCCATTCGATTGGTTGGCCTCAATAGCGGCCTCACTTAACAGTCTCTGGCTGGACTGGCCCAAAATTTCACAAATTTGCAAACGCATTGCGAGTGTTGTTGCCGTCGATTGACGATGCAGGCGACGTTGTAAACGCTGCTGCGTTAAAAAGAGTCCCAGCTGCCGTTGAAAGTCGCGTTGATCTATATTGCTGTTGCCGGTAGGTGCCAGCCGCAGTAATATCCAAGAATTGACAGCCGACACATTGAGCATCAAATGGAGCAGCTGCAGGAACACATCGGGCTTAGTTCGAGCCGGCATAGACAATGAAGTGCTGTATCTATTGGCGAGCTCATGGAATTCTACGCAGGTTTCGGAAGTGTGCAGGTGTGTTTGTAAGGCGTTCAGTTGGCTATTCAAGCCACACACGAGCAACGCGACTCCTGAGTGTTGGGTCAGCTTCATTGCGCCGTTTGACAGTGCTCCACCAGACCAGGCTTTTGGATAGTCTAGCGAAGTGGAGGGCAGCGTACAAAGACTGCTCAAATTGCACTCCAACAATTGCTCGCATTGGCTGAAGCTAGCGTAGCGCGTCCCCAGTGTAATATTACGACCAGTGGTCTTGTAATCGCAGATGAGCTGTATCAGATCCTTGCTGTGTTTCGTCTCCGTTTTATTAATTATTGCATTAGTCATAAAGAGCGTCTTGGCATCGCAGCATAAGCTCAAAAATAAATGATCTGGAAGAACCTGCTCATCCACACAAAGCCAACCACTGGGTCCGTAATAGGAGCGACAATTAATCAGCAGCTTTTGCCACAGACGCAGTGCATCATTCCAGCTGCTCTCCCCCAGGTGGCTAAGGCAATTTGTAATAAACTCGAAGCGCGTCAGCGACATTGTGGCACGAAATATTGCATTTCCCAACTCCAGCGTCCACAGCTCCTCTATTGAAAAGATAATAAATTAGAAAATAAGTCCGATTTACACGTTGTAGTTGTTTAGCTACCTAATGGTCCATTGTACTGTGCATTACGAAAGACGCCACACAAATAGCTCAAACCCATCCAGGAACGGAGCTCTACGAGATCTACAAAGCGCTCTGGAGGATTTCGCGAACGTCGCTGTCGAATCTGATCATTGAGCAGCCGCAAGAGCATGCGCAGCATCTCATCATCGAACAACATCATCCAGGACTCTACAGCATTGGAGACTAATTTTGCAGGACCTTTGCCACACGCCTGGTGCTTGGGCACCAACAATTTTTCCTGAAGAGGAGTCTGCATATCACGTTCAGAGTTCCAGATATGGCCATTGCTAGAATGGAATCTGGTGTTGCTGCTTGAGGGCCGGCCGCGCTTGGTGCGACCTTTGGATGGATTCAATAGGACCGTCTCAGGCAACTGCTCATTATCATTAAGTAGAATATCTTCATCACTAAAGCGCCACGAAAAATTTAATGGCAACGCAGTTGATTCTTGAAGAGGATCGGCGTAACTATCCGCGGGATTTTCGACTGGAGTCTTTAGCTCTATTTCCAAATTCTCCACCTCCATTTGCTGGCCATTATTATTGGGCTTCGTTATACTGCTTTTTAGGCTTGAAAACAGCTGTTCATCCAAAACAGAAACTTTATCGTCACTGACTTCCATTGTTTACCATTTTTTATTTACGTTTTTGACTGCCGTGAAGTTAGCTGCGCGCACATTTTTGTCTCGCATGAAGTTGGCTGCGTGTGCATATAGATGCTAGTGACAGTGTGTACACATTGAGTGACATAAAATACATCATTAAAACAGCAGCAAAACAAAACATTGCTGTTATAATGTACGCAAAATTATAGTGACGGAGTTCGTGTATATATAAACATAATACAGATGAGTCGTTACACGCAGCGACGGCAAGTGAACCAAAATTTATCTCAACAACAGCAACATACAAACAAATATAGCAAATTCTGCGCTGCAGGCCACCCAAGCATAGCTGGCATAGGGAGGTTAGAAGCCAACAAAATAAGCCCTTTAAACTTTAACGTAAAACAATAAATCAACTGACGGCTTTAATGTTTACGTTGTGTGAATTATGCGCGCGTATTAAGCGATTTGTCAAAAATCCTGCTTGGCAGTGTCAATTTGACATGTTATACTGTCACGTCTTTGAATAAGTCTTATACGAGGTGCTGTCGATAGACGACCCTAACGATACGTTTCGATAACAAGCAATTTTGAAGGCGAGAAATTTCAAAATTAAAAATTATGCAGTAGGCCATGCTAAATTTTTGGCAGCTAGAAAATGTCGTCTAGTCAAAGTTAGTCTAATTTCAAAGCCGGTGCTGTGAACACAAAAATACGGAAACTAAAAATATATATAGTGGATATATTTATTACCTATAATTTTTTTTTTTTTGTGAAAAAATCGTTTATTGAGGAGCTGCAAGTCATCCTGAGCTTGTACTCCTTTTTTGCCTACTTGGTGAATGTGTTATGATGATCTCCCCGGAGCAACATGAAGTTGACTTGGTATTGGATCGCCAAGTGCGCAGGAATATACAGGACATGATGCATGAGGCGGATGTGCAAGCAAATCTATTGGAAAGCGAAGGTCAGTCTTAGCATTAGCCTTAATGTCTGTGTGAATCAATATTGACGCAATTTAGTTTAGGCGTTTCGGCACGTGAGCGATACAACTCGGAGTCAAGCATCGATCAGGATCAGCTGCAGCAGGACACAATGGTCGGGCTGGGCACTCTCTCTGCGGATGAGATTGTCGAAGAAGATCAGGACTCCGAGCAAGCGGTGCAGGAAATACAAAACTTTCACGACATGCTCGTGGAAACGCACATCGACGTCAATGGCTCGCTGCGAAAGCGACGGGGTAATCTGCCAAAACACTCCGTCAAAATCTTGAAGCGTTGGCTCTACGAACATCGCTACAATGCGTATCCCAGTGATGCTGAGAAGTTTGCTTTGTCGCAAGAGGCCAATTTAACTGTCCTGCAAGTCTGCAATTGGTTTATCAATGCGCGTCGACGCATTCTGCCTGAGATGATTCGCCGCGAGGGCAATGATCCTTTGCATTTCACCATCTCTCGTCGAGGCAAGAAAGTAAGCCCCAACTCTTCGGGCTCCATGGGCGGCCTAAATATCCATTGCACACCAAATCCAATTACAGGCAGTCCGGCTTCAGAAGTTGTAAGCTGCTTATACGATCCGAGTGTTTATATATCTCATCAGTTGTCTCATCTGAACAGGTTGTTGGCGCTACGGAAGAGGTGCACAGTGCCGCCGAGATGCACGAGGGTATAGCCAATGTGCTTACTAACTTTGATCAATATGTGCGTACGCCCAATGGTCAGATGGTCAAAATGGAGCCAGAGTTCGATGAGAGCGTGATATACAGGTAAAGCTCAGCTTGCTTTAGCAAATTGCCCTGTAGCCTATTTGAATGCATATGAGTCCACACAATTGATCTACCTGCTCCCCAAACACAAGTTGGCAACAAGCAATTGCAAACAATCCGCTGGGCTTTCAGAGGCTGCACGCCTCATTACAAGCTACCATAATCGATAAGATACAAAGCTATCAATTGCGCAAGGCGGCCTTGAGTGATGGTAGCACCACCTGCACCACTAGCAGCGGCAGCAGTAGTGAGAGCAGCAGCAGCAGCACTTGCAGTACGAACAATTCCATGCTATCGTATAGTCCTTACGGGCAACTGTCGGCCGAATTCGATGAGGATAAGCCGTCAAGGAAGCGCGGACGCAAGCGTCAGAACGAATTGAACAAGATGTCAGATACTCTCCCACCAGATAAAGTTCTTAAGCAGGAGCGTGGGCAAGGGCAAGGGCAAGAGCAACACAAATCGCTATATCTGTCGAAAGCAGAAGTATTTGCTAAACAGGATGATTGCACTGGTGGTTTTGTGGCTGCGCTTAGGTAGCTTCATGCTTTAGTTTTAGCTATAAGTTTCGTTTGGGCTTTTGCTGTAGGCCGTCGTCTCTAATGGCCACGTTCTCATTCGCAGGTCAGAAGGTGAGGAGAGCGGCCACGACTACGAGTCCTGCGAACAAGTCAGTGAGGAGGAAGTCCGCTTCGAGACATCCGACGACTGGCAGAGTGTCATCAAGTAAGTATATATCAACACAGCAAAAGACGCTAAGGCTGTAGCTCTTAATGCTTTGCAGGACCGTTTTCAGTACCGAGGAGGTGACCACCACCAAAACGAATCCCGTCACCAGCAATGCAGTCCATTGTGATTCAGTGACCCCGCAGGTCGTCAAAAATGAAGGTAAGTGTATTCTGTGGCTTATCGAAATTATGTCTTCTATCCTATCTTCCTCGACTTCAGTAATTGCAGGCAGTCAGCATTTGCTGGATCATATGCTGGGTGCAGAGGCAACAATTGTGACGAGTTCGAATGTGGATGATGGTGTTTCGTGCGTTCCAGAGCCGGATGAAAATGTCTCCATTGCAGAGAATGAGAATACACAACTGCAGGCGCAAACACCTCCACGTCCAGGTGCGTTAACTCAAATTACTATAAGATTTATATAACAATTAAGATTATTTGCAGCTTTAAGTCGTGAGGAACGAGATAAATACAAATGTCTGTATTATCTTGTGGAAACCGCTATGGCTGTGCGTCAGAGCGATAGTGGACAGGATGAGGATCTTTCCTACATGGGAAACTATTTAAATAACTAACCCCTAAGCCAAGGATTTATATTGTACATAACTATGTATTATTTGAATTATATTTCAAGCGTCTGCTTGCGCTTTTTCAACTCGTTGAAGCATGTGACCAATGAGTGTCATTTTGTACAAAATTGTTAACAGAAACTTCACCACTCAATAGCAGTCAAATACACCATGAATAGACCCTCGAAAAATACAAATCTTGTTTTATTGGCAGAAACATTTAAACGGTCGTTTAGTATAGTATCATTTAGATAGTATGTAAGTCGGTATTTTACGGTTAGTGGTCACACTGCGCAATTACACAAATTTTAGGGTGCCCACAGTTGAACATAAAACTGTTAGTGCTAGTAAAATTGAGCTGAGTGCAGACAAATGCGAGATTTGTGTAAATAATAAAGAATGAACTAAAATGTGAATGTGAAATATGAAATGCAGTGTCAGCCTCACGTAAACGCACAAAACCACCAAGGAGAAGACGTTTTCAAACGCTGAGTGAAGCCACTTTCCACCATCCGCCTTCACACTCTTAACCTGTCGCGCTGCCTTCACCGCCTGCAGCCAGCCACAAAAACAAAAAACGCGATTTCGAGATTGCGGCTAAGCTGAGGAAGCTTTCCCATCGCAGCCACAGACCAAAATCAGGACATGAGAAGGGCATTCCAAGTTGTGCTGTGGGTTAGTATCTGAAATGCTCACTTTATGAGTGACAAATTGACAAATTGTCTTTGTTTATTTGTGGCCGATAAGATATGCTTTCGGCAATTACATACTTTCGTTTTCTTTTGTTATTGTTTCCTGTACTCGCACTTGCGTCACCAAAAGCTGTCGTTGTGATTATTAGTTTATATACATACACATATGGCTGTATGTATTTATAATATAAATAAATATTATGTGCACTTACTTATCTTCTGTTGTTGTTCTTGTTGTTTTTGCTTAACGCTTAACTACGTTGTTTCAGCTACTGTACAATTCATTAAAAGGTTTTTGACTTCCACCTTTTTCGATAACTTGCTTCCGTCGGCTGTGTGTAACGAGGGTGGTCTGAAAAATGTCCAAGCTGATCAAAAATGTCCACACTAAGCCTCGCATTTTGGCTGCGCTTAGTTGTTAGTATATATGTATGTATGTACTCTAAAATATGTCAGATCATCATATATCGCATATATATCGATAGACATGACATAATTTGAGCATTTTTGAATCTTATATTTATAAGTATCTGATTTCAGTTAACGTAAATGCACTTTAATACGATAATGATCTGTTGTATTTATGTAGAAGTAGATCGTTTCGTAAATGTCATTCTCAAATACATATGGCACAGATATATTTGTGCCGAAATGGGAACACATTTGATTTGCAAGGGTGTCTATATTTCGTCATACTTAAAAACACAATTTATTCTCAATGCTTTTTTTCACTCAGTTGCTCACTTAATTTGTCGCTTTGCTTTGCTCCCATAAAACCCCCACTGGCTATTTTTAAGCACGTGCCGTTTTCACTCTCAGGACCCATTTGATGTTGGGCATGATGGGTCTCAAGCACACACACGTAGATGCTCCCAAGTGAACATTAAATTTTTTAGCTCATCATATCTTAGAATTAAAAATTGAGAGCAATAAAACGCTGCAAATGATGCATCTCCATACGTTTGTCAGTTCATTCTTATTAATACATTGAAGCTCCACCTCTGCACACCTCGTCTGTAGTATAATAATGCAGAGTCAACCCTAACGACAAAGGGTCAAATGGCTGTCGATGCCGCTGCGCAATTAGTTGTCGCTACACCACATACTCCGTCTCCTTCTCCCAACAGGGCATCGTCTCATGTCGTCACACAGCTCGACAATTTTCTATTTTGTTTAGCTCACGTTTTAGCACAGTTCCTGCTCTCTCTCTCTAACGCTCTCACTAACGCTCTGATGTAGTCTGTGCTTGCTCAGCGGTGGCTAGCTCTTTGGATGCCTCACTTGTTGTGCCACAACGAGGCAACGCATCATTCTCAGTTGCAATTATAAGCCACGTGGGTTCTAACTGAATGTTGTGTGTGAATTTCCAAGTTTTCTTCGTGCGGGATAAATATATAAATAAAAATAATTTGATATTTTGTGCATCTCTTCGGCATGGAAACAAAGAAATTCTTCACATAGTTCTTATGAGTGTTTTTTTCGAATCTACTGATCGAAATGCTGTTGCTGCGACGGTATGTGCTAGAAGGAAGACATTCTTAATTCATGATTTCGACAAGATTAAAGAGCAATAGCTTAAGGCATTTGCCATTTACCCTTTGTTATTTGCCATTTGGGTCACGCATACGTCAAGTAAGCCGCCGATAATCCATTTCTAAAGCGGCCGCATTGTTTGCTAGTTGCAATTGCTATTGGGTCATGAAATCATAAGTCATACCGCACATTGAATAGCCTATATAGACGGAGATGCGTGTCTGCGGTTGGAGGCGCTGCCTGTCTGGGTTGAAACTATTTTTAGTGTTTCGCGAGCGAGTGAAAGCAGCAACAATCTAATTTACTCTATTCACTTGTGCTATGCGAAATTGATTCCATAAGTGAAGTCCCTTTTTATGCATGTCTAATTATAATTGTGACACAGACTGGATACCGATAGTCGGAAGTAGCGTGGCCTAAGTGGCCATGATCCTAGCTTGTGATTCTAGTTCGTAGTTATAACTACAGAGAGCGGCTAACTAGCTGCTTGTTATCAACTTTAGAGCAGCGAATAGGTTGACTTTGCCCCGAGCTCTGCATTTGAACCTTGGCTTCGCATTACGTGCGATTTGCTTGCGGCCATCTTTTTCTTTATTACCCCCAAGAGCCAAACAAAATGAGGTAAAGAGAAAACATGTGTCTGCCTGTGAGTGGGTGTGGGTGTGTGGGTGTAGGTGTGTGTGTATGTGCGCCAGTGCTGACAACTGCCTATCGTAAAAACAGGACAGAAAAATGAGACAAATGCCACTTAAAACAAGAAGGAATGTGTCAGACGGGTGCTGTCGACTGCATAATACTCGTTCGCGTTAAATATAATAAGAACTGTGGATAATGCAGTTTTATCCGATTTCCCACAGTCCGAATGATTATATATCTACATACATAACTACATACTATATATTCAAAATTCCTCTAGCAGCCTAAATAGCTCCTTTTTATACCAGATAGAGTATTTCTTGATTTGCTATTTACTAATGAGTCAAAAAAATGGATAGTCTGAAGTCAGTTATATGAATTATTTGCAATTTTTATAGAATATATTGCAAGTATAGTGAAAATATAGCAGATTAAACACTAACAGAGAAATTTATGAAACAAATATAGGATATAGTCGGTAGTGTCCGACTAAAAAATATGTTTGATATGGACCCACATTTCCAAATAAACCAAACACATCTAGGGAAAATGCTGAAATAAAAGAGCTATACATTTCTACGTAGAAAGGCTAAATGGGCAGCAGGGCCATGCACTGTGAGGGGGCAGTTAAAAAGGCTAGACGACAAAAGGCTAAATGGCCAGCACTGCTATCTGCCTCACAGCCATCAAAGCTACACGGGTATTTTAACGAATGGGGCCGCTTTTCACGGTTAGCCGTAATGCTCTGGCCTCTTGCTTGTTAAGCGTTATGTCACTCTTGGTCCGCTCATTCGTTATATTTAATACGAAATCAATCAGATTAAGCTTGATGAACCTGAATGCAAAAGTATTGCGGCTAAGGTTCTGTCAAAAGCTTCGGCTGGGCTAAATTCAATTCAAGTACATTTTTATTGATATTTTTGCTTGCAACAGCCTTCTGCTGTTCGGATATGTATGCTTAAAACTAATGTCTAGAGTTAAAAATAAATTTGTATATAAGAGTGGGTGTGGGTGTGTGGGTGTGGGTGTGTGTGTAAGCGAAAGATGGGGCAGATACAAATGATTCGCAACTCGAGATCAGGGTGAAGCCAGAGCGAACTTCAGAAAAGGTTGATAGGATTGTTGCTATGATAAGGTAAACATTTTCTAAGCATCTGCTCCATATTATCCTATAAAATAAAGCACATGTGTGATATATTTCGATATTTAGTATTGTAAATTTGACTGGGAACTGGGTACTGGGAACGGCTCAGACATAGCCACTGGATTCTAGCTTGAGAGCGCCCTCGTATGTGGGCAAGCCCGATATGTCAATGATTTTGCTCATATCCAGGCTGATGATGCCATTCTCATTGATGTGGTTTATATCGAGGTCGGCAGCAGCTTCTGCTGTCGCTGTCGCTGTTGCTGATGTCGCAGTTGATGCTGCTGCTGTTGACATCGCAGCTGAATTGTCATTCTCGTCTATGTCTATGTCTGTGTCAGCAACAGTTGCAGCTGCAGCTGCAGTCTCAGTTGCGCTGTCCACCACATTTCCATTTGCTGCATCAGCATCAATTTGATTGGGGTTTTCGATGGTGGGTTGCAGCGGCTGTTGCTGAGCACTTGCCACGTTCTCATTGGCGTCGCACTGTTCCAGGACACTTTCGCCAGATGCCGTCAACGCCTCATCCTCGGCAGCATAGCGAAACTTGCCGCACAGTGGACAGCCGCGTCTGTAGTGGCTGTGCTGCTGCTGATGGTGCTGCTGACTGTACTGCAAATAGCGCCTGCCGAAGCTATTCAGCCGCATGGCCGCCTGTGCGTGCTTGCGCGCCTGCAGTGCCAGCGGCAAAGGCGACGATGGCGACGGCATCGCCAGTGGCATCGGCATAAATGTGTCCAGTTCCTGGCAGTGGCCACTCCGCGCCGCTACAGCCGCCGCGGCTGCGTTCCACATGTTCTCCACCTCGGCACGCTGGAGCGAGCAACAGGACTGAGCATTCAATGTGCGCTGCAATTGCTTGTTTGCCATGAGTCCTGCTCCAACAGCTGTTGCGCTGTTGTTGCTGCAGCTGCTGCTGCTGCCTGCCAGTCCATCGGTATTTGATATTTCTATTACTTGCTGCGCGCTGCTTATGTCTAGGCTGGAGCGATAGCCGGGCGGCGGTGAGACGCGCTGCAGCAGCAATTGCTGCTGCTGCAATTGAAGTTGCTGCTCCTCAAGTTGCTGCTGCTGCTGCAATAGTTGCTGTTCATGCAACACTACAGCGTCATACGATGGCGGCGGCTCGTGATGCAACGCTGGCAGAGTGGCCAAGCCGTCCGTTGAGTCGCCCAAGAAGAGGCCAGAAGTCTCATAGCACTAAAGCAAAAGAAGATGCTTATTAAAAAGGAAAGGATAAATATATCACGGATACTTTAAGGTGCACAAAATAAATTGATTTATTTGTGGAGCAACCACGATTGCATCCGCCTGCTTGCGCCCGTTGACAACTTTGTGTGACATGGACCAGGCTAACGCTGATTTACGCTCGGCTGTCGCCTTTTCCCACAGGGCCAACAAACAACAATGTAAGCACTGTATAAATGAAAGTGGCCTGTACTGAGGCCAACAACTTATTAAGAGCTTGCTACACAGCAAAGTCGAGTGTCTAACGTCCATTTCAGCTGTGTGCTCGGCCTTTGCTGTTTATTTATTTATTTCTCCCTGCTTAGTTTTCGTTTTTTCATCGTATTTGTTAAATACTCCGCATTAATATTCATTACCAAAGAGTCGAGTCTTGTGGCTGTGACTAAAGATCGAATATTAATTGTTCAATTCCTGGCTGGCATTGGGTCAAAAATTTACCACAATTCAGTAAAGTCACGAAGCTTCGTCTCAACTTCGTGCTTACCCAGATCCGTGGTGCTCTCAGCGATTAGTGCCTAGTGTGATTTCTCTATGATGTATTAGCCTTGTATGAAGCTTTGCTCGGGCAGTAGCAATAAGATTAGCCTAATTGCCAAGTGCTGCATTTGTAAGATCTAACGGGCAATTGATACATAGTCTTACCTGTTCGACACTGTATATTTCCATATTGGGATCGTTTTCCAGCCACTGGTGTTGTTGCTGCCTGTAGGCGGCCTCAGTGCGCTTCTTAATGTTGCGATGGCAACAATAACAAACTACACATAAAATAGTCGTCACCAGGCAGAGCATAGACCTGCAAGAAACGAGAATAATGTCATATATATATATATATATATATATATATATATATATATATATAATATATATATATATATATATATATATAAAAGTTTCATTCAGTTCGTCAAATAAAATACCCTGTAAGCCAATGGTAGAGAACATAAGAAAATCTAGCCAAAATAAATATGCTTAGCCGTAAACCTGGTCGACAAAGCTTTGTTAAAAAGTACCTAAAGTATAACATACATATGTAAGTATGTATGTGTGCATTGTACTCACAAGTAGAATGGCCATTCCATGTGGCTTTTGTTAGTCGGCGCTGCTGCACAACTAGTCGTATATCGATTGTGAATTATAACATTTTGTGTGTTGTTGCTTGCCCCAAAGGCATTTCGACAATATTGGCTTACAAATAGATTAAATAATTGCCAAAAGCAAAATGTTATTCAACACATTGTTTACGCCACTGCATTCGCGCTGAGCTATAAACATGTGGCCACAAATAACAAACAAGAGCTGCTATGTCCGTGTAATATATATATACATATACACGTATAATTGAAGTGAATACGTTTACATACGTATTGCTGCGAAGAACTGTTGAAGGGTCCTTTGTAATCTGGATAACGCCAAGTTGTGCAGCCCAGTAACCTCGTTAATCTGTCTCTGGAATCTGTTACACATTACACAAATCAATGATGTCACTTAATCCACTTTAAACACAATATAATGCCCTTTGTCCTCTGGCATGTAGGCGCTACCTCTTACTCTCCTCTTGCTTGCCTTCTTGCTTTGCTCATTTTCCGTTGAGCCTCACGCAATTTCTCGCATGTCAACCGTTCATTAAAGGCTCCAAAAAGCGTTCCATAGTGCTGTAACAGCAGGATGAGGAGGAGGAGGAGGTGGTAGGTGGAGGTAGGAGGAGCTAAAACTATCATCGGCATGTGTAGCTTTTATTTTTGTTAAATTTTATTGACATGCTTCTAGACAATCGATAAGTAAGTAAAAACGTCGAAGCGAAATATACTCGACTGCATAATACTCGCTCAATGGGATTCAACTGTGACGCAACTGTAATGTCAGTTGGTTCTAGATCTTGCCGATTGGAACATGGAACAGTTTATCAGACAAGAATATATTCTAGATTATAGGTCATCAGTTGTTAATCTATGAAACTGATGATGGCAGTCAGCGAAGACATCATGCAACCAATATACTCTCTTTATATCATGAGCGAGTAGAAAGGTATATAAAAAAGTAGTTAAAATAAAGTTACGGTCATCGAAGCGCACGCCGTTAGCAGACATCAGAACTTTGCTGTTGTCACTTGAAGCATTTATTTTTACTAAACCCATTTCATGAGCCACTCTGATCTGAGTTTGTGTTACAGTAGAAGTAGAAGAAGAGGAGAAAATATTAATTTAAATAAGCGGGCGTCAGTTCTTAACAACAAAAAGGGGAGCAATTATGAATATGACGACTTTGTCGGGGCCCTGAGTAAGAAGCGAAGAAGCCGTCGTCTATCCAAAGGATGCTCTGCAGAGTTGCATGAATTTTTTATGTTATTAATTTGCTGCTGTCCCATAAATCATAGGGATAACCGCCTTCTAGATGATCTATGGAGCAATAGCTCTGGCGCCGAGAGATGATGAAGTATTTATATACACAAAATGTTTAGCATAATAAATAATTAGAAATATTACAAAATGCCATTTCATGGCACTTAATAGAACATATATTAGGAAGCACTCCCTAATGCTTGGCAAGTTGAAGCTTACATAGAGAAGAGTATGCTCACTGTAGTTAGGCTAAGAGTACTTTTTTTACATTGAAAAGGATCTGGCTTAATGTTGAATGTTCAAATATGCCTGTCGGAGCGTCTTAGCTAACTTTGATTGCACCATAAATGAATAATTTGAAATGAATAACGCAGCAGCGGCATTGAGAGATGCCTCACTCACCCGCCAAGCAGAAGATTCACGCTGCCATTGACAACGTGAGCGTAGGTCTGTGAGCCGCTGCCAGTGCTGCTTCCGCTGCCAGAGCCGGCGGCGCCATTGAGCAGCGATATGCCAGCTCCAATGCCGCGCTGCTGATTATAGAGACCCATGCCGCCATTGTAGTATGTCGTTATTGAGGAGCTGCTGGCGAGCTCCTGCGAATGCAGCAGCTCCTCCTCCCCCACCTCCTCGCTAGTGGGCAAAGATGTTGTAGTTATTGTTGATTCTTCTGCTGTTGCAACAGCAACAGCTGTCGTTGTCGTTGTCGTTGCTGTTGACATGACTGTTGCATTGTTTAGCTGTTGTTGTAGCTGCTTCTGCTGCTGCTGGTCCTGGTTCTGGTTCTGGTGCTGGTGCTGGTGCTGAGTGAACGGCGCGATTATTGCATAACGCTTCAAAGACATTTCCCACTATGTCTTAAAGCTAGAGACGATTGCATAACAATTAGCCAAGGCACATATTAGAATGTCCATAACACAAATTCACCAACACACACACACACACCGTGGCAGACTCAACACACCTGTACAGGCCTTTAATTGCACACGCAGGTATTACTGTTGCCTGACGCTGCAAGCGCTAGACTGAAATACCAAGGACAACGGCCCTGCCTACTTAGTGTTATCCTCGTACACGTTGTGCACGTCAGCCTGGCACGCGAACCAACGCGAGGTAACGCGCACTAGCGAGGTGCGATCGATGGCCAAGGTAGCCAGCCCAGGTACCAACAGCAGCAATAACAACAACAACAATTTGTACAAGTGTTACTATTTCTATATTCGCTGACTATTCGCGTTCTGTGTGAGCTGCGTTGCGGCGCGCTCTGTCTGCGTCTTGGCAAATGCGTTGCGCTGTTGCAACTGAGGCCCGGCTTGACTTGCTGACTAGCTGCCAGGCAAGCTGCTTGGCTGCGTGGCCAGGCTGATTTGGCTTATCCTTTGTTGTGTGCCACGACGAAGTTGTTAGGCAACCGAGAACGAGAACAGCTTCGGCTGGCTTGCCTTCGGCCAGCAACAGTAACAACTGCTTCGTTTATGCCGTTATTTCTGTTGCTGCTGCTGTCACTGTGCGCCTGTTTCAATTCGTGCCGCCATTTTGCTGTTGCTTTGCAGGCAGCCTTTCCCTTTTTAACGGCAATGATGGAGGCCAAAAACACAGCTATTTGTATTGAGCATCCTCTTTGTGTGTTCGTCTTCGTCTATTATACAAATGTGAGCGTGTGTGTGTTTGTGTGTGTGCGGTTTCTGCACGTTTCACATCAAATTGAGCGCCAACTGTTTTTGTTATGTGTGCATGATTGTTGCTGTTGTTGCTGTTGCTACTGCTAACAACACTTGTCGCCAACTGTCGTTTTTCACGGCATGCGACCATAAATAATAACGCGACTCTAAGCAACAGTCGATGCACTGCATATTGAGCATGGTGCGTATGCGTATTATTCGAAACATCCCAGACAATGCTCTTATAAATTAAGAATTTGTTTATGTTTCGATATAATTAAACATTTAGCATTCCATACAGAGTATACACTTTTTTAATCAAACAGTCGATATGCCTGTCTGGGCATTGCCATGCGCACAACCGAGCGTATACTTAATATTTGAAATAAATTTATATTTACACAAAATGTAATTATGTTTTTATGTAACTTAGCATAAATTATTATATTTCTTATATGAACATTGATGACGTTGTTTCTTTGGGCCACATGTGCCCTCAATATTGCTTTACGGCACTGTAAATGCGTCCAACCGCTGGCAGGTGGTTCAAGAACATATGTAAATACTATATATATGCACGCCATTTTTGGGACCAGCGCTAAGCTGAGCCCACTAGGCCACTAGTAAGAACTGGAAAGGTTGAAAAATCCGTTCAGAGTCGCGCTCAGTCGCAGTTACCTACACCTCGACAGTCGCACGGCCACTAGGACGTCAGAGTTGTTGGCCGTGAATAGCGTAAGGGCTTCGCATATTTTCTTTAATTCCTTGCGCCATATAAAAACGTTTAAATATAGACTTGTGCTGAAAGAACTAACACAGCAGCAGATGTAGTTACGCCTGTAAAAGAGTCCTTCAACAGTTGGCTGACAGCAGCAGGACGATTTGTCTGTAGTGAGGTTCGTCTCCATTAGCGCCAACATATTTTGATGATGGATAGTTTTCGGCGCTTTTGCTCGCTAAGCTCAACACTGCGCACGCGTTGCAGGTAAGCAGGTGCAGGTGCCCGTGTGTGCTGCGTTTTTGTGGCTCTGCAACTTACAGCCAGAAGCTCTACCTATTCCTATATAGAGTTAAAAAAGCTGACATCTGTCGGGAAAACGGCCAAGCTAATAGCAGTGCCACTAACAATTAATGAGCCAGCCACCGATGGCCTTTCCTCTTGCTTATGCATTAACGATGTATGCCTCTTGATTTATTATGCACAGACCCTCGGAAGCAAGAATGAGGATGCCCCACAAAATGGTGCACTTGCTCGCTTATGAATATAACACACTCCACACTTCACGTGTTGTGCACGTTTTCCTTACCTGTGAATGTTTGACATTTGCAATTGACCGGCCACAGCAGACTGTAAGCTATGTGGCACGTGTGCGGTCGACTCTTTCATTGACCAGCCATAGCAAACATATACAACAATAAACATACATATGTTATGTTTCGCATTCCCAACTGTAACTAATATATTAGTGAGTGGCCCGCTGAGCATGCACCGAAGGGTGTGTCCTGTGTTCGCACTGGGGCAAGTGTAAAGTCCAGCAATTGCCTACAATAAGCTTGGTGTGGCAGCTACATTAGTCATTAGTCATCAGTCAGCAGACACGAAGACTCGAAGGTCTTGCTATTGAACATGGCAGTGTGGACTAAATTGTTTTCTGTTTATACTTGGGAGACTTTAAACTCATACCCTTAACAACAATATTGACTTGATTTGTAAATACAAACAATAGTCGAGGTGTTAGGGGCTAGTAATATATTTAAATTACTTAATTACAGGCATTTAATAGGATTCCAAATAGAGGAAGATAGCTCTATAATACTGCTCAAAATGAGGTCAAATAGCCCTTAAGAGTTGGTGATGAAATCCAAGATATAGACGACCCAAAACCTTCCCAACTGAGCTGTAGTGCAGAAGGTGGTCTATGCTTAAAACTTCATCACATTCGTATTTTTTTAAATCATATTCGAGTGTGTCGTAAGAGAGGATATCAAATTTGGGGTAGACGTCTGCCACACAGTTGCATCTCTGAGATTGTATTGCCGTATTCATTTTTGAAGCCATGAAAAAGTTGGGATCGTCAATCCGGTCACATTAGTTCAGGGTAACTATACTACTCGAAATGTATCAGGCGACCCCTTTTTCATTTTTTTGGATACTTTATAACCATTTTACATTCTCCATTATGTGGCACAAACAGACAGTAAAGCTAGAAAGGAAAATTGAACATGGAAGCGAGCTCGGACTCTTCTTCCGTGCATTGCGTGCCAGATGCTATATATGAAAGACAAACAATTTGCCATGGGCTTTATGTGTCGTAAAAGCCAAAGCTAACAAGTTTAGTTCCGCAAGGAGGCAGGGGAGCAGGGAATGGAGTTCCTTTGATTTTATTGATTGTTAAGCCCAGTTCATTTTAGTTTCATCAACCAAATTGCTAACGTTAATTAAAGTTCGATGTGTTCGTTGATTTGTTTGTGGTGCGGGCTCCTTATTAAACGATGACATGAAGAACATGACATGTAATTTATTAAGTTCCAGTCTTAGTTGTTGTTCTTTGCCTATTGTTAACTATTTAATTGCTATCGAGTGCAATTTAGCAGAATTCACATTTGATTGTCATATGGCTTTGACTAAATATGTTGCAAATCGTTTTCATTTTCGTTTTCAGCCTACGTTATCTGTTTAAGATGTCACTGGCCGTTTCGTTGCGCCGTGCCTTGCTGCTGCTACTCTCAGGAGCCATTTTCATACTGACTGTGCTGTACTGGAACCAGGGCGTGATAAAGACGCAATCGTACAATGAAGCACAGCTACGTCCGCACATCCAAAAGGATCATAGCTCGATTCTCATGTGAGTACAGCGATTTCAGTTGTTTGGAATTGGTTAAATTGAGTTAAACTAATTTCTTCGTCTTAGACCGTTGGAGAAGTCGTGGACTTATAAGTGCGACAATGACAGGTGCGTGCGCGTTAATTATCACAGGAATGGAGCCAACGTGAAACGTGTGTCCTTCATCAGCTGCTCAATGACCTGCGGAGATATAAACATTTGGCCACATCCCACCTCCAAGTCGCAGGTCAGCAGTCACACGCTGCGCTTCTCCGTGGAGGATTTGCAGCTACGGTTGGATACGCCCCATCACGATGTACGCAGACGACTCAAATTGGCCTTTGATGTGCTTGTCCGGCAATTGCGACAAATACAGCGATTGGAGTATGCATCGCCGCATGCAGAAGCGATGGCATCCGCCAGCGAGCCCTCGGCCAAATCCACAGACGCTGCTGAATCGCCACTAGCTGGCGGGCTTTTCAGCTCCACTTTCGGTTCACATCGGTCTGGTGATCTGGATAGTCTGCATGTGAAGCTCTCCGTGCATGAGTCAGACGAGCTCAACTTTAATCTTGACAATGATGAGAGCTATGAATTAGTAACAAGTTGTAAGCAATGTTATACATTTTACCTAATTACTCTGAGCTCCATTTTGTTAAATATCTGTCTGTCTCTTCCTGCTCGCAGTGGATCATCGGCGTTTGATTGTGCACATCAGGGCGAAGACATTTTTTGGCGCACGTCACGGACTGTCGACGCTACAGCAGCTCATTTGGTATGACGATGAGGAACGATTGCTGCGCACCTATGCCAGCTCAGTGGTCAATGATGCGCCCAAGTTTCGTTATCGCGGCCTTATGCTGGACACCTCTCGACACTTCTTTTCCGTGGATGCAATTAAGCGCACCATTTCTGCCATGGGCTTGGCCAAACTGAATCGCTTTCATTGGCACATCACGGATGCTCAAAGCTTCCCATATATTTCGCGACATTATCCAGAGCTGGCTGAGCACGGTGCCTACTCGGACAGTGAAACATACAGCGAACAGGATGTGCGCGAGGTCAACGAATATGCCAAAATTTTTGGCGTACAGGTGCTTCTGGAAATCGATGCACCTGCGCATGCGGGCAACGGCTGGGACTGGGGACCCAAACGTGGCCTTGGCGAACTATCGCTCTGCATTAATCAGCAGCCATGGAGTTTTTATTGCGGTGAACCGCCGTGTGGTCAACTAAACCCGAAGAATAACCACACCTACCTCATACTACAGCGCTTGTACGAAGAGTTTTTGCAGCTCACGGGACCCACAGATATATTTCACCTGGGCGGCGATGAAGTCAATCTCGATTGCTGGGCTCAGTACTTTAATGATACGGATCTACGCGGTCTCTGGTGCGACTTTATGCTACAATCGAATGCTAGGTACGCTACATAGAAAACGAGTTCAGATATATGTTTGTTAATTTTGATTTTTATCCGGCTCAGACTGAAAGTGGCCAATGGGAATGTTGCACCCAAGCACGTGGTTGTCTGGTCGAGTGCGCTGACAAACACCAAGTGTCTTCCAAATAGTCAATTCGTGGTCCAGGTGTGGGGCGGCAGCACTTGGCAGGAGAACTATGATCTGCTGGACAATGGCTACAATATAATATTCTCACATGTGGATGCTTGGTATTTGGACTGTGGCTTTGGCAGCTGGCGAGCCACTGGCGAAGCCGCCTGCTCACCCTATCGCACTTGGCAAAACGTATACAAGCACCGTCCCTGGGAGCGAATGCGTCTGGATAAGAAGCGGCGAAAGCAGGTATGACACATGACTTGCTGACAATTCGCAAAGAATAGAGTGAATAAATGGTGTTGTTTTAACAGGTGCTGGGTGGCGAGGCTTGCCTATGGACCGAACAAGTGGACGAGGGTCAACTGGATAATCGATTGTGGCCACGTGTCGCAGCCCTGGCCGAACGTCTGTGGTCAGATCCAAATGACGATCATGACTTCGATATAGTGCCGCCAGAAGTATTTCGGCGTATCTCAGTGTTTAGAAATCGCCTTGTCGAGCTGGGCATCAAAGCCGAGGCGCTGTTTCCCAAGTACTGTGCGCAGAATCCCGGCGAGTGCATTTGATATTTTATGTAAAAGTAAAAGGAAAGGTGCCCCTCCCCACTCTGTGCGTTAATTAGTTAATAGTGTAATTGTTATTTTTTATTATTATTACAATACATATTAAGCGTCCACTAAACCAATGCATTAAGAAGCGAACTAAGCGGACGAGGCGACACTCTTCAAGACATTTTGCGACCAAGTGGTTTCCGGCTCCAGCAGCCACACGTAATCACGAATTTAATTTTGATGTAGTTACAATTTTGTTCAATTCTCTCGAGACATACGCACACGCACATACTCACACGCCAGTGCTGTCAATTTAGCCTTTATCGGACAGATCCAAACATTTTGTTAAGAATATGGATTAATAGGGAAAAAATTGTTGATCAGATCTTCTGTTGTGTTTTTATCCATCTGTCTTATTTTTACTAAAGGCAGCTGCCAGCACTGACTCCCACATACGTAAAAGCCCACAAGAAAACATGATAAACGCTTTGTTTTCCCTTAAATGTTTTGGCAATTGAGTAAGGAGTATTTGGTAAGTGAGACAGTGATAGTTTTTAGCTAATATACATTTATAGGAAATACGTAGATTTCATACACTCAGATGCACACAACAGGTATATAAAGTAAATACTTAGTAAGACATTCGTAGCTTAGAGAACTATGTTAATCTGGCGAACATGAGCAAATTTTGATATTTTGAAAACTTTATTCGCTAATCATGAAATGCAAGACAGCAAAAACATAAAACTTGACTTGTATGCTCAGCTATACAGACATATTGTGTGACAGCAAATTGTTTATGTTTCGTTTCGTATTAGGATTATTTTAAATTACATTCTCAGTGATACAAACAATGTGACCTTATGGAAAAATAAATAAATAGGAAGCGGAAAAAAAAAACAAAAATTAAAATTATAAAAAATACACGAAACTCTTAGGGTTAACACACGCACACACACACACATACATCGTAATTGTAACAACATTGCACGCATTGGCTCGATATTGACAACAACATGAAAAAGAAAACCTAGTAAACTAATAGCTAATTTTTAATAACAATTGTAATAATTATAGTAAAACTGCAACACAGTGCAACAATTAATTGACGACCCTATTCTTTTTCTATCTTTCGGCATATTTTGACAACATCTTGACTCGACTCGACTCCAATGATTGCTGCACTGTGCTGGCAAATCTGACCTAATCTTAGTTGATCCAAATAAATTATGTTTAAGCTTATTTTGTACTTAACAAAGAATTTGCAAACTATAAGAATCATGCGTTAGTTTTAAACATTCTGCTGTAACTTCAAGTCACTTTTTCAACAAAATATAAAACGTCAAATCGAAACAAGAATCTTTTGGCTGACAAATGGAGTTCAATTCAATTCATATTTGTGTCTTTGTTTTTTGTGTTTTTACAATTATAAATTCTCAGCTTTTAAACAAAGTCGGTTAAATCTATGCTGTGAAAGCGATTCAATGAGCCAATACGTGTGTGCAGCGAGGGTCTCAAGCAGATGACGCACTCCTCGGTGCTGTAAGAGATTGGGATTAATATATAATTTAAAGTTGAATAAGTAATTCCAGTTCGTTGTAACTTGCAAAAATTAATACTTTAATAGTCTGCTCAATACAATACTTATAGACAAATATATTTATATGTATATAACACGCGCGGCGTGCGGTATGTACATATATATCATTCTAAATGTCCAGCGGGCACGGGACTTGTCGAAGTCAGTCTACAAAAACGATAAAAATTAAGGGTAATAAAATCAATAAATTAAAATAGGTAAAAAATAATAACAATTAAAGTTAGTTATTAAAATAAATATAAAACTTTGTAGTGGAGCTCATTATACTCGTTCACTGTCCAAGAATGAAACTTAATTTATATTCCGATCATGATCATTTATAGGTAACTCTGTAGAGGTCAACAGGGAGACACCGCAAGGCTTTAAGACTGTAAAGGATAGTCTTTCCCTCCTCATGTAGAAGATTTGGATCGTTCGGTGATATAGACACAGCTTCGTGAACGAGTATAAAAAGAAATTGTTCATGCAGCACTAAGTAGAGGTTAGTTGAAGCGAAAACGTGAGAGGGAGGCGATTGGGCAGGGAAAAGATGGTACTACAAGTATAAGCGGGACTATTGCGTATACGCACCGTAGACTTTCAGTACGCGAGCGCTGCGAGTAGTCTTTGGATGTGCGATGTCTGAAATGGAAATTAAGTTTTTAAGCGACAACAGCGAGCCACAGCAAAAACGGAAAGAAAAAATAAATGCAATGAAATATGATAAAGACAACAACAAGCCAGATATGTGGTGATCGAATGCCTATATGAGGATTTGTCTGTTTTATATCCATTTATAAAACTAATCAGACAGTAAACAGACCTGCGATTCTTGCGGGAGTTGCTGCGATGAATGTTTCGGCTCTCCCGCCATATGACGAAACGATGTCGCAACGTCTGCCGCACTTCTGAGTTCAGAAAGCAATAGAACAGAGCCACGAAGAAACCCTAGAGTAAGATAGAAATGGATATTAAAAATGAAACGAGTTTCCGTTTTAATGGCTCATACTCCCACCTGCGTGCTGAGTAGAAAGGCGCGTAATGCCTCAAAGAGATTTCGACTAATGCCCTGCTCGGGTCCAGTTAACACCAGTAGATAGGTGATGCCAAAGAGGGGTATTAGCACCAGCAGAGCCTTAGAGGCCTTATAATACTGTCGCGTTTCGAATGTTTGCGTCGAACGCAGTTTGGTGATGAGCACCTGACACAAAAGAACGTTTGATTATTCATATCCAATGCACACTGAAGTGGCACAATGAGGACTTACCCACATAATACGTATAAGAAAGACTAAATTAACAAGAATCGCCAACGAAGCGGGCCCTTTGAATATCCAATCAATATGAGATTCTCGCATCCAGGCACATTCAATTTCCAGCTACACGCATAAATAAGTTATCAACAATAGCAAAGGTCAAACTTATGACGCACTTACCCCATTAAAATGCTCGTTCTCCAGATGTGATGCAAATGCCTTGGCAATGGACCACACCAAAATACAGAGAGCCGGACAGCCCCAGCCAATCAATGCGTAGATAACAAAGCTAATATTCTCGCTGGAGAACGTTTGTACGACCAAAATATAAAGATAGAGACCTGAAAAGCGTATTTGCTAATCAAGTTGAGTTGAACAATATATTGGACTCAGAGCTCACCTTCGACGAACATCCAGAAAAAATTAGTCAGGTAAAAGTATTGAAACATTATGACCAGCGTAATGCAGCCAGCCTGACTAGATTCAGTGGTTATCTAAAAGGACATGGGAATACCTCTTAGACTATATTATGTGATTAATAAACGCCCACGAACCACTTGCAGGAAGAGTGTTAGGATCCAGAGCAGCGCCGAGGTGATGTAAGTTAGAAATAGATTCGCATGGATTGTGTTTCTCAGACAGCGTAAGTCTCTGCAGCAAAGACAAATTAATAGAAAACGCATTGTAGAGAATGCGGTCAGGCAGTACAACTCACTTAAAGCTTAGGAATATTATAAGCGCCACCACCAAAGTTGCAAAACTCATAAAATAACCACCAGTATAGATAATGGCAGGCAGGTCGACGCTAGCCGAGAAATCTGGGACATCGGCCACGGAGCCCGACTGCTGGTGGCAGCTGCTATAGTTGGAGTAATGATTCCATGTGCCATTCGCGTGGCAATATCGCGTTGCATTCTCTAGTAACAGGGAGACCAGGCCATATAGAGACCATACTATACTAATTGATTATTGTTATCCAATGCTCACCTGTTGTGTCATAGTGTACACCTTTAAACTCCTCGAAACAGGACAGCACAGCCCAACTGCTGGCTTTGGTACGCGGCCAACACAGCACCGAATCAAAGGAGGTGGGACAATGCAAATCCTGTTAGATTACAGTCAATATTAAAATAAAATATTATAATAAATACTTAAAGCTTTTTATAGATGATCTAAATTTATGCGCAATAAATGAGATTTATACAAAGCAAAGAAATTACACTAAAAGTGTATATAGCAAGGGGAGTATGGAAAATTGACAAGCTATTTATAGACATATTTTATTTTTAAATAAATCTATTTTTTATTTTTCATGTTCTCTTCCTCCCATCTTTTGTCCAAAACTAAAATAAAAATTCAATTTATTTTGTTCTAAAGTTATATTCCGCTCAACAAAATTTATATTTATCTTTTAAACTGCCCTCGTATACTCTTAATAAATCGCAGCTGTTTACTTTTGCCCATTAAACTCATTTGCAAAAAACCAAATTCAATAAAATTCAACCAAAATAAATAAGCAAAAGCGCTCTTTTTCTGATTGCTTGCCATAAATAATCGATCATTGATATTACCAGTTGGCTATTGGCAATTGGCTATGTGAATGGCCAAGTATTTGTTTATCAGCAAATAAAACAGTAACACATGTTAACAAAATCGTGCATCATCGCTTTGATTTAAACCTTCTTATCAGGCGCGCCATTTGCCTCTCGCTGATGTCACAGTTTGTGCCAATGTCGATTAGAAATAAAATGGATTTTATACTTTAATTGAAACAGACAAAAAAACAGTCCATTTTCCATTCAAATATTCTTAGTATATTTCATTCAAGTGCAAACAACTGAAGTTTGAGTCCAATCGACTTGGAATTGACGTGGAAAAGATATGAAAATTATCTATAACTTATAGTCCTTACATATATAGCCCAGAATGTAAGATTGCCAATGCTATACTGCTACACTATTATACTATTGTACTAATCTATGCTATACTACTATACTATACTCCTATAATATAATATTCTTCTATATTTTCTACACTACACTATACTATACTATACTATGCTATACTATACTATACTATGCTATACTATACTTTATAATACTATAATATACTATATAATACTATAAGTTGAACACTTTTCAGAGCTGTTTGCTAATTGAACGATCTCTTTTATGGTAAAGCTACGATCAAGTCGATACGGCGTGAGCACGAGCACGACTGTGAAGAATAGAGAGAAAACGGATCAACAGTCCAGAATCTCTTTACGAATATAAATCTTTGACAAGGCTACATCCAATATTAATAAAATTAATAAACCCACATTCATTTACGTGCTGTGTATTTTAATATTCAATTATATTTGTCGCGACTGCAATTGAATCAATCTTTAGGCTGCTCTCTTATTCTCTGTTTCTATTATGTTAAATCTACTTATCTTTGTCTATATGTTGCAGAGTAACACATTGATATTAGTAAATACATTTGAATGCTCTTAAAGACTTCAATTAGTTCACAACAGCCACACTCACCGGCTTGACATTTGATGATGCATTGCTGCTGCTGCTGCTGTTACTGTATAGGCGCTGCTCCAGCTCTACTTGGTGCCTGCACTGTTCTTCCAGGGTTCGATTGATAAGTAGAGCACCGCTGTGCAGCTGCTGGGTGCCAATTAGGGCGCTGGCTCGCTGCAGCATATCCAATGAGAAGTTGGCAATGGCATTGGCAATGTTCTCCGCCGAGGCGCCATCCAGGCTCTCGACTAACGCTTGCAGCTCCTCCTCGGCCATACGAAATGTCGCGGCTGTCAAGGCTGTCGATAGGTAACTAACTGCCAAGGCAATTGCTTATTGTAGAGGCTCAGCCCTTAAATGCACTCCTGTACATTTGCAGCTTACTCTCCGTTCGCAGTTGAGCATATGTATTTGCCGTACTTTTCACTGACTGCTGTAGCTGTTGCCTCCCACTGCGAACATCTCAGCTGGAGGTCAGTTGCGGGTGTGGACAGGGAGCACGAACCTGGCACACACTTCCTCGTCTCTCGCTCTTTGTGCTGGGCTGCACAATTAAACAGCTCAGCAATGGACACAGACAGAAATTGCGCAAATATGTTGACGAGCTGAAACGAAGTGAAAGAACGAGTGTATCTCTGCGGCTTGATGATATCTGTGTGTCTGATAAAATCAAGCAATGAACTTATTCACGCACTATTCAAGTCCAGAAAGGCAGGGCCACAAGGCCTCTGGGTTTGTATGGCACACATATCGAAATAGCGCTGAGTCGTCTTATTTGATTTGTATACATATATATACATATATATGTGTGTATGCACGCATATATAGAACTTATAAAAATCTGTACAAATAATACATGCTTAAATCACGTGGCTCTGTCTCTCTACATACATATGCAGATAATGTGCAGATAAATAAACAACAATCTTTATGGCCTCTACACTTTTGGGGCGGGGCTACTGTGACTATGACTCTTACTGTTACTGTGACTCTGAATCCCATACACTCGGACCGAAAGGGAATATCTCTAAGTGCAGACCATTTGAGTGAACCTGATCAAAACTAGTTATCGTCGGCACCTTTTGCCTTTCATTACAACATTTCATATAGAATTTTGTGATAATTATCTGTGAATAGAGTTTAACTATATACAATTATAAAGAATATTATATAGAATCATTTTTGCCCATATCTTAAGCAGCATCATTTCAATTGCATCTTTAAAAGGGAATCAATTATTCGAAAAGTAGAGATTGTCGCCGTGATGACTAATAACTAATAACTAATGACTAATGACTAATGACTAATGATTAATGACTAGCAATGCTATTCAGCAGAGCAATGAAGACACAAATAGATGAAAACCTCAGTTAGTTGAAGTTGTTGCTCACATTGCTGGCTTTAATTAAAGGTGCTTCAGGTGGGTAATTAGATATACACGTACTTATTGTGTCGTTGACATGCGACACAACTGTTGCCCGAAACAACTGCTAAGAGCTTGCTTCAAACACGCCAATTATTTATTAATGAATAAACAGCAGTTGACCAGGTAATCACAGTCAGAGTCACGAACAATTTAAGGTATATTTATTTGAGTTATCTTTTTTGAAGCTCAAGTTCAAGAAAATACTAATTTAACATAAATATAAAGCTATTTAACTCTTGAATCTAAGAAAGTTAAATAATTATTTGGGGGACTAAAGTTTGATATATTTGCCAGCTTGACTCCAAGTTTCAGAATCTCTTCTTTGCATTTCAGCCCTGACTTTGATCTAGGTCTAGTTAGACAGAAACATATTTGTAGTCGCGCTAGTTATGGACTTGGGGATCGGCAATATTGCAGAGTTCTGGCCGGGAAGCTAGCCAATTAGCCAAATGCCAGTTTGTGGCGCATGCCGTGATTAAATATTTGGCGAGCTGCGATTTATTTATGATGCTACGGGGCAAACAAGCGCAATATTTGTACGGGTGCGTTAGATTATGATTTTTATTTTTTTTTGTTAAGGCTTGCTATTCCATTAAAGCAGCGTCGACGGTGGCGGCGTCTGAGGCTGAGGCTAAGGCTGAGGCTGAGGCGGCTAATTTGGCTGCTAATGCGCACAATTAACAGCTAAAGCTAAATGCAAATAAACAGTCTTCGCAGCTGCCTCCAATGTGTAAATAGAGCAAATAATATTCTCCTGCTGTCTGCCATCGGCTGTAAGCGTTATAATTATATTTGCCAGGCTGCGATCTGTAAATGATTTATTAAGTGTCAAAACAAATGAAAGCCAAATAGGTAAACCTTTATATATTGCATTACACACATGTGGGACCGTCATTATATGGCATATATAGATGACAGTATCGGGGCTGTAATGATAAAGAAAATGCCAAATCGACAAGGGCTATCATAAGACCCTATCAATTATATGTCTTTTCTGTGGTTATTATCGGCCTATTGGCATGCCATATGCCATGTGCCATATGCTATGTGCCATTGGCCAGCTGCAGCGTAATAAAAGTCACGTAATAGCTGAAAAGGTCACAAGCTAAAATTTTATGAATGAATAAAGTCCGAGAGAAAGCAATTGCTATTACAATTGCAATTGGAGCTGAAAGTGTCGTCAGCTGGAAAGGGTGCAAATCAAAGTCAGATGCAGTCGGGCGATATGATCGATATTTATGAATGCCGGAAAGCAAATAAATAGCTTGTTTGCCGGCCGGCCCTGCTACCCGTCAGCACGTCCGCCCGTCTGCCCGTCCGCCCGTCCGCTCAGTTGCCCGATTGAATGGCTGTCTTCCTGCCTCGGCGCAATCGACTCGCTCAAGTCGACACACAAAAGGCAAACAAATTAAAGCCAAAGAAAACAAGCACACACATTTAGTATGCATGCGCCTGTGGCTATATAGCCATAAGTTTACAAGCAAAAACGAAAATGTTAAGACTCAATAAATGGCACTGCGTGGCCCTCACACCGTATGCGCGTTTTGCGGCATTAAGTATACGTCGAGTTAGCAAGTTCAAAACTTCAAACAAATTTAGCTCAACACTCAGATAAGGGCTGCCTGTGCATAAAGTTATTTCATGTGAAGCAGATACGTGGGCAGATCCAAAAATTTCATTTGCAATTATTATATAAATAATAAAGGAAGCTGCAGGCGACTTTATTGCTGGCAACACACGTACCCCATCCACAGATCGCAGTTCGCAGTTCGCAGTTCAGAGTTAGCTGTTCGCAGTTCGCAGTTAACAATTCACAATTCGCTGTGAAGACCCTGTAAACATTATGAAATTTTTTGAACAAATTCATTAGTTTACAGAAGCCATGCCAAAGTTTGTTTTATCTCTTTTGTAATTCCGAAATACCTACATGCGCGCCAGCTAATGGAGTACCATTGAATTCAATTAGCCTAATAAGGGCGTGACACAAATATATATTGCATTTAGAGTAAACTACAGCTACTGTCAAATAGTTGCACTGATTGCGCTCTTCAGGCAAAGTGGACTCAATTGTCTTAATGCAGTCTCAACATATTTTGCACTCGCACTCAGAAATCCATTTGGCTATCTGCTTCAACTATTCGCTCGCCACTTAAGTATAATTAAAAATTTCTATTTACTTAATAATTCAGAATCTAGAGCTATAAACAAATAAGTCGGTGCTACTTTTTCCCCAATACCCTCGCCAAATCGAGCGAGTTCAATGATATTAGTTGGCGCAGCTAAGCAAATATGAGTCTCAAGAATAACTAATTAACTGTGGCTTCTTTTTGAAAGCTTTCGAAGAGATATAGTAAAAATGCTTTCCTTTTAACTAATTACTCGATTCAACGTAAGGCGAGGGTAACTCATAGTCGACCCGTCTCATGGTTCTCTATGGGTTAGTTCGCTGCTCTTTTAATTTGAAATATCGCGTTGTTAGCGCTTTTCGATTTTTTATTTAATGTTTATTTTAAGCACTGGAGGCGACTAAAAACTCACTGCAAAGTCTTACATTGTTTATCTTTGGTCAACAACGAAAGGCAACTGCATCGAAGAGCGTGGGCGACGGCATTTATGTATTAATATATATAACTTATCTATGTATATATTTACATGTATATTTGTATGTAAACAGAATGATCTTATATGATTTAATATCCATTTTTGTGAAAGAATCAGTAAGGAACTCGTAGGAAGAGTTCAATTGGCTTGGCTTTTGTGTATTGCAAATTGTTTATCTGATGAGACTAATCAGACGTTTATTTATCAATTTAAAAGTCTCATTGTGAGCGCCAATAGGGTGCGTTGGTAAGTGATCAACAGTCTGCCGGGGCGCTCGAACTCAGTTGGTTAAGAAAAGATCATTTTTATTGGTTGTTTATTGGCCCAATGTGCTAATGCAGTCTATATATACAGAATTGAGGCAATTCTTTAGGTTTTTTTTATAATTCAAGTGTGAAATCAGCCGCTATTGAGTTTCATCCCAGCCAAAAGTCAGAAGTCAGAACAAATGTTTAAATTACCGTCTCACCCACATCTACTCACTCGCTCACATGTTGTCAGCCTTAAATGTTTATCGCCTTTATCATTTTTTATTACTTAACTCGCACACACACATATACAATTATTATTAATGTATATATATTTATATATATATTTATTAACATATATTCAAAACTCACGCGTCGCTGCTCAGCACAGTTAATTTTGGATCGCACGCAAACATAGAATATTTTAATTGCAGATAGCGAAATGATAAAATATGTATATTTAGTCACACATTACAAGACAAGAGTAAAACATAATAAACTGTCTGTAATTTTATATTTTATTTTTGTTTTTTTTTTTTAAATTTGTTTATATTTTTGTGTGACTTTTTTGGCTTTCCGAATCTATAATGTTATAAAGGTTGCGGAGGCTGCGACGAGATTCGCAATCAAGATAACGAAGTCAACCGACCAAAAGCTCACGTCTAATAACGGCAACTGACAGCGATGTACTACGACCGGGAGGGAGCTTTCGCGTCTGTTCGTTCGCTGTTTCTTACCGTGCGGGAGTGAAGCCCACACACAAGCAAACTTTGCCCTGACGACGCCCACAAATAAAGAAAACACAGGATACGACGACACCAGGCACAGTGGTCATGGATGCAGTGGATTAGCTTAATCTAAGTCCAATGAAAAGATTTATTACTCCAGTTTGAGCTACAATATCATTTCAATGCCCATAATTAAATGTGAGTGTATTGGCTGTGTGCAGCATGTGTTTGTTGTGTTCTCCTCCACTTATTAAAAATTCATACAAGCAAATATTCCCTTTCTTTAGTATAACTTATCTATTAGTTACCCAGATTATGTGGTTCTGATGTCCCTAATTCACGCTGTTTTTGTTTATTAACCATTTGACCCAATGGTTTCATCAAAATAGTATTGATGTATAATTTTGATTCAAATTTTGTCCAATATCCATCAGAGATTAAGAATTCCAAAAACAAGTTGAACAACTTGTATACAATCTGTAAATGACGCAACTTTTATTATAAACATTCGTCTGTATTTGTCAACAGTAAGCAAGACTTATTTTGATAAGCATTCAGATTGTAGTAGTTTTTTAGTAAGTTAAAAAGAACTGACAACAAAGCTGTAAAGCTTTCCGCAAAAAATTAAAAAATTAAAAATTAAATTAAATTAATTTGGTATTTTCTAGAATATTTATTAACTATTAATTAACAAAATTCGATGTTATGATTTTCGTAGCATTTGCTCCACTGTGCGATGCTCGCAACAACTTGTGGCTATGGCAACCTGATTAGGTCTGTGTCAGTGTGTGAGTGCAGAAGAGAACTAAAGCTCCCGCTTAACTGAGACCGACATTTTTATACTCTATGCCCATAATTGAACGTGAGTGTATTGGCCTTGTGCAGCATGTGTTTGTTGTGTTCCCAAGCACAACATAGTTCAGTCCGCCTGGGCCTAGCAATTACTGTCATCACTTAGTGCCAAAGGAACTCTACTCTTCATAGCTACTCCTGAAACAGGGTATCTTATTCAGGCTTTACTACATCAGAGATAGCTTTTGCATTTGCATTTGCATTGAATTGTCATCGAATGTGACGATGTCGTTGCCTATGCCTTAACACGACACCTGCAATTAACAATCAAACTGAATGGGCCGTTAAATACTTTTTGTCGATTACTTATTGCTGCGATAACAAATAAGCACCCTGTGCTGAAAGCGGCTCAAAAAACGCATTGTGATAGACGAACTTAAAATGATGAAAAACATGATTAACATATGGAAAAGACAATTGAACTGTTGTGAATAACAATTTATAATCCATTCGAAGGAAGCGTTGAGAATTGTAGAGAATTGCGAGCTTCAAATACTTGGAAATTGCAAAAAAAGTTAACGATATAGTCTATATATCGAAATTCAATCTATTAAAGACACTAAATTTCGAATAACATATTACATTTGTATTTATACATTTATACAATGTTCCAAGTGCAATTGCCCTCTTAACGGCTGGCTGGGCGCCACATTTCACAGCCGATGGAGTCTGAGTGTTGCCGCGGACAACTGAAATCAATGGAAAACTGATGCAAATTGTGTTCGGCCTCATTAACCCGCACATCGTCCATGTCATGGCCTATGGCTGTTGGTAGACGGCCACAAAAGAACTGCGCGAAATTCAAATGGAAGAGCTGTGGCGGCGACATCTCCTGCTCAAACTCATATGGGCGATACTCAAACCGATTTGAATCATGTCCCAACCCAAAGAACGTGTCATAAGCCAGTTGGAGTCCGTTGAAATCTGCCAATCGCTCCTTCAGCGATGCTGTTGGCGAGTGCTGGACACATTTTAGGGCAGCTTGAAATTTGACATTTTGACGTATCTGTAATCCGAGTACCAACTCGTTGCCCGCGGCATCGAAGAGTATGCCCTCCTGCTCGAAGGCGTGACTAAGCTCGTGACCGAGTATAAAGCCCATCAGACTATGTCGAAAAACGGAATGCTGTCGATAATCGTAAAAGGGCCACTGCATGAAGACCAATGGAACGGTCAACATATTTCGCTCATGCTCAAAATAAGGCGCATTGCGGGCTCTAACCAAGTCATCATTCACATAGTAGTATTTCAGTTGCACAGTCGCTCCTGGTTGCCTCAACGGCAAATGCTGCAGATGCGTACGTAAACGCAGGGCCTGCCAAAAGTTTTCCACAAAGTCGTCAGCCGTAAATGATGCACTGGCATAGTGATTATTATAGAAATCATTATCGGTGCTCGCTGTATCCGGTAGGTTGCCCAGTTTCAATTGCATGTTCGCCAGCTTGGCATGTAGATAGGTTAACTGCTCGGAACTTAGCTCCAATCGATTCAGCTCCAAGTATTTGGCAAACGTGCCGCGTAAGCTGGCAAACATCTGCTGCAGCTGCCGCATGTCCTCCGACCTTGTTCTATATACATAACGATCGTAGAGGTGGTTCATGCCCAAGGGAAGCAACGCACTCATATGATGTATGCAACTGTGCGCTGTGGAGCGTGGCTTGGCTTCCTTTACAAAGCTAGCCAGTCGCTCCCTTAGATAGAATTCCAAAATGGTTTTATTACTTTCACGCAGCAGCTCGCCCAGCTTTCGGAAATATTCCACATCGCTAATCTGCACGAGTAGCTTATCATCTCTGGGCTCCATTTCCAGCAGTTCCTCAAAGTAGGTTTGCCACTCGATCTGCGGTATTTCCTGCTTCAGCTTGCTCAATGTCCACAGGTGCAGCAGCGACTCCTCGTTGTGATGTTTCTCCCGTAAATCACGCAGAGCCTTTTCCAACAGCTGGAGGCCAGTTCTTAGAGGCTTCAAAAAGGCAGTTGAAGTACAATTTATATTTCATTTACTTTTTGATTTCACTCACCAAGTGGTTGTTTCGAGCCACTGGCCTTTTGAGCTCCACTACATAGCGGAGCGAGTCGTTGTAAGCAACATCCGCCATCTCATCGAAGAAAACACCATTCAATCCATATCTGCGAAGTCTGGCCGTTGCCCGCGTCCATTCGAAGGCATCGCCAGAGAGTAGTTTCTGTGGCAATTGGATCTGCTTCTCCTGTGGATGACCTACACATGAACTGAAATAGTCCTGGAGTTGCTTAAATAGGCGTGGAGGATCCATATTGCTGTTGTCTGTCAGAACAGCAATCATTGCATCGGCATATCTCTTCTCCGCCAGCTGAAAGTTGTCCACGTAGTTGGCAGACCAATTACCACATGCAAACGCCCAGAAATTTGTACAAGGCGAGACGCGCCGATCCAGATTCGACCGGATGCTGTGCATCGTGGCTAAATTAATATCCGCTTTGCAGTGAGTCACAGCCCAAACAATGCACCACAATAAACCAAAAATTATTCTTAACATTTCGCTTCTACTTCTCGCACTGAAATTAAGATTTAATGTTGAATCCATCCAACGCCTCAACCTTATCTGCCTCTGCGCTGCAGTTTAAATACGAAAGTATTATACATGATGATATTATATAGAATATATACATTAATATATATTGTGATAAAAAGCATATATGGTATGGAAGTTCTAATAAAATACATTTTATTGTTATGTTGATTACGAAACATTTATGATCCAAAATATTTAGTACCTATTATAAAAACAAATAATTGGCATTGGTTTATGCTGAGCTAGCCTAAATATTTGTTATAAATATACAATATATATATTTTATTACATATTTTAAGTTTCGCAACAAACCCGCCATCAACTTTTTAAAAAACTTATTTATATTTCAGATTATTTTTTAAGCTTTTGCTTTCTGTCGACTGTCTTCTTGGATTTTTTCAACTGCCCCAACTGCTTTGACTTATTTTTCAGTTTGTTTTGCATTTTGATGGGCTTTCCTTCCAGCAATGGCAGTTCATCTATATCCACTCTCGGCGCCTGTGAAAGTTTCTTAGTTAATTTAGACGTTGGCTTAGCATTGTGTTCATTTTTTTGCGCCGTAGCTTTTTGCTCATTTTTCAGCACTTTCTGTTTCTTATTGCCATTCGATTGTGGTGTCGTCTGCTTATTTTTGACTATTGGGGAAGTAGCAACGGTGTTTTCTTTTTTCTCGGCAGAGTCAGGCGCCGTCTGCTCTTTCTTTGCCTTGTTGGTCACTTTGATGGGCTTCTCAAATACCTTGGCAACATATTTCGTCTTACTTTGTTCAAGCTTTTTCTTTTTTAGGTCATGTTCTACGTCCGTAAGGTTGGGCTTGCCAGCACGTTTTCCGTACGTTTTTCGGGATCCTTCAATGGGTTCCGTTGCCTCCTCTTCCTTAGTTTCTGCCGTATTCGATTCAGGCTGATCTGATGCAAGTGCTTCATCTAACTGCTTCTCATCCGCTTCTTGTTGCTCCTTAGTGATGGGAATGGTATTTGAGAACTTTTTCAGTTTAGCCACATAAAAGCCATCCATATTGTTTGTATGCGGATAAAAGCGCATGCTCAAATTTAAGCTGGGATGGTAGCGATGCTGGCGGAACTTGGTAAAGCCAGGTTCACCAAAATCAATACCTAAAGGCACAAGCTTAACATTTCGCTTCTTAAGAGCGTAGTCGATGACCCATTCATTCTCCTCGGGCAGTACTGAACAAGTGGAATATACAACATATCCACCGGTGGAAGATTTAGCATCCACGCAATCGATGGCGGTAAGCAAAAGCTTGCGCTGCAAATTATAGCATCGCTGTACATCGATCTCCGATTTAGTTGTCTTTACACTAGGATCCTTGGAGACAACGCCTGTGCCAGTGCATGGCGCATCGAGCAGCACACGATCAAAGCCCGTCATTATGTTTCTAAACTTGGTCGCATCTTCACAGCTAACAACAGCATTCACAATGCCCAAGCGATGAAAGTTGGCAACAACGGCCTTGATGCGATCCCGGTTTGCATCGTTGGCAAATAACACGCCCGTGTTCTTCATAACGGCAGCTATGTGTGATCCCTTGCCACCAGGTGCAGAACACATATCTAGCACTCGCTCGTTCTCCTGCGGAGCCAGCGCAATCACTGGCAGCATCGACGAAGCACCCTGTATCATATATTGACCAGCTAAATACTCAGGCGTGGCGCCCAGTGGAACAGTTGAATTAAATATGACAAGGCCCACGTTTGTCCACTTGCCCAGCGGATCGAGATTGACGCCACGATTAATTAACGCGCCAGCAAGGTCTCGACGACGTGTCTTTAGAGAATTTGTGCGTATAGTTAACGGACGCGCCACCTAAGAAATAAATAAATAAAATAAAAATTAATTACTATCCACAAATTAGAAATAGTACTTTAAGAACCCACCTCAGACGCCTCCAAGTACTCCATAAGATCGCTCAACTTAAATATATCCATGAGCTTCGACATAAGAAACTCATTATAGCTGTAGTACAAACATAGGTCCAAACGGAGCTGGTCAACATACTCGCTACGTGCACGACCTTCCTGCCGATATTTGCCAAAGTCCGAGAGTACCTGTATTATATCCTTAATACGCTGTTGGACATCCTGTAAAGATAGCTCCTTCTCAGCATCTTCGCCGGGCTCTGGTAAATGGAACACTTCCGACTGATCGACAGACATCTGCATTTCCTCCTGTGCCAATTTATCATCTTTGTCCCGACGCTTCTTAAGTTTTTTGCTAGCACGCTCAATAGGCAATGTGTCATCATCATCATCATCATCATCATCATCATCATCATCATCATCATCATCATCATCATCATCATCATCATCATCTTCATTGTCTGATTCTTCATCGGTTGCTTGATCTTCAGCATCGTCATCAAAAAGATCGTCCAATTTACCGACTTGAGCTTCGTCATCATCCTCATCAATTGATTCCTCCTCTTCTCCATCGGTTACATCATTTTCCTCATCGTCTTCCGCTTCTTCCGAACTAGATTCAAATTCATTCTCGGGCTCTTGTTCCTCTTCTAGTTCCTCATCTGATTCTTGCTTCTTCGCTTTCTGCTGCTTTTTCGACTTCAACTTTAGCCATTCATTATCGTCATTTTTGAAGCCATTTGACTTTTGTTTTTTGATTGGCACAAGTTGCGGCACTTCCTCGTCTGATGACTCTGGCGGTTGGTTCGCTTCGGGCTCGCTCTCGCTCTCGCTGTGATACTTTTTCTGTTTACGAGGCTGTTGTGCACGTTTATCCTTTAATTTCGCCTTCTGCACTACCTTTTTTTGTTCCCGCTTGGCAACGCGCTGTTTTTGACGGTGTGACAATCTCTTATCCTCATCGTCGAGCGGCGCTGAAAACAAATATTTTAATATATTTGTTCAGTGGCAGTAGCATTATTATAAATACCAAATGATTTCTTCGGAAACTTTGGTGCTCCCTGTTTGCGCGCCTTTCGACCTGGCCCTTTCTTTTGTTTTTCACTATATTCAGCTTTGCGTCCCATATTTCAGTCCCTCCACGCTTCGCTAGTGAAAAATGTTTTTGAAAAAATGTGTGCCTCCACGTGCAGTATCTCACATGGAGTTTCGCAACACTGACTTGCGCCGATATTAGACAAAATATGTAGAAAAATAACAACTATCGTGTCATGAAATGCAAAGGAGTTATGCTTGCTTAGTACTTTAAAGAATACAATTAAAATAAAATAAAAATTACGTTTAACTTTAAATATAATCTCCATAAATAAAGTAAATTACCGCCAAGGCCAAAATAACATTCGACAAAGCCAATTTACAAACAGATACCGTCTCGTATTATTAGCGCTCAGCTGCATGCGAACGTTTTGCAACACTGGCTATAATTAGTTGGACCATTCATTGAATTTAAAACGTAAACATGAAAAATGTGAAAATTTAAGTCTGGCAATTGGTGTAACATAGGTAAATAGAAATGGACATTGCCAGCATTGAGCTTAGCGTGGAAGCGCTCATTGGCTCGCTCGTGGCGCTGAGCATGCTCTTCATTTTCTGTCGCAGCATTTTAATGGAAGATGTCATTTGCATATCGGGGAAAACACGTCATAGTTGGAAATCAATAAAAATCATTGAACAAGTATGTGTCAAGAAAACTTCATATGTACCTAGTACTATTTTCTATCTATCACTTTTCGTAGGCCTGCTTTTGTAATGTGTGTGAGATTTTGTTGACACCGTCTGCGGGTCTCTTCTGCGACTGTTGCGGCCTTTGCACGCACTCGGAGCCGACATGTCAAAGGCAGGCGGACGCTCGTTATCACTGCAAGGACAAATGGCTACGAAATACAGACGCAGTACGTCATTTGTGGGTGCGCGGCAATTTGCCTATGAATTACAGTTGCACGGAGTGCGGCCAGGAAGCTGAACACGATCATCATAGCAGCAGCTTGGGACCAGGTCTCTATGGCTGGCGATGTGCCTGGTGCCAACGATGTTACCACGACATCTGCTATAAGAAAGTTGACGCCAAAGGTGAATGTGACTTTGGAGAGTTTCGGGACATGATATATCCGCCTTACAGCATTGTAGCAGCCAGGACACGAGAATCGGTGCGTTTGCATATCGCAGGCATTAAACCACCCGACATTGAAAACTGGGAACCACTAATTGTTATAGCTAATACGAAATCTGGCAGTAACACAGCCGCAAATGTCTTGTCGCTATTGCGTGGCTATCTGCACCCAATGCAGGTGATGGAACTGGGCTCAAGAGGACCGCTTGATGCCCTCCAATGGGTAGCAAAAACCAGTCCACGTCCATGTCGCATTTTAGTTGCAGGTGGTGATGGAACAATTGGCTGGGTGCTTAACACCATCTACATGCTGAACATAAAACCTCAACCATCAGTGGCTATCATGCCACTGGGCACCGGCAACGATTTGTCCCGTGTGTTGGGCTGGGGCGCTGAGCCGCCTTCAGTGCTCGATCCACTGGAGATATTGCGAAGCATTAGACGTGCCAAATCCGTTAATCTTGATAGATATGATCTGCAAATTGAGAAACTGCACTATCGTCTTCCCATCCAGATGCAGCCCTTGAAGACCATACACGTCTATAACTATTTTAGCGTGGGCGTCGACGCATACATCACCTACAATTTCCATAAGACACGCGAATCTCGATTCTATCTGCTCAGCAGCCGCATTTTTAACAAAGTGAGACAGCTATCAATTACTAGTTTAACCTCTTAAATTAATTTCTTGTTTATGCCCATGCAGCTGCTATACTTCACCTTTGGTACACATCAGGTCATGCAGCCGGACTGCGAACGCATTGATAAGAAACTTGAACTTCATCTAGATAACAAACTAGTCGAACTGCCGGAGCTACAATCGTTGGTGTTTCTTAATATTGATTCCTGGGGCGCTGGCTGCAAACTGTGCGAGCTGAGCAACTCGAATGGCGAAACGCGCATTGTTAACTCCATCTCTGATGGCATGATGGAAGTGTTTGGCATAGTCTCATCCTTTCACATTGCTCAGCTGCAATGCAATATAAGCAAACCCGTGCGCATTGGCCAAGCCAAGCAGATAAGGGTATGCAACCGATCATCATTCTTTGTTTATAGCCTTAAATGATAATTGATTGCAGCTACGGGTGAATGGGACGGTACCCATGCAGGCTGATGGCGAGCCTTGGATGCAGGCGCCAGCAGAAATACGTCTGCAAGCACGCAGCCAAGCTCGTGTACTGAAGGCAGAGCCTGCAGCCAACCAATTGCAGTAATCTCAAACGTTATCACTAAATGTGCCACGGATGGATTGATTGATGTTAAAATTGTACTTAACTCCCCTCTTCGAAAATCTAGGGTGTTTTGACCCATTGAAGCTAACCAAAGCAACTTATTTTAGATCCTAGTTAGCCAAACTTAAAATTTTTTAATTTATGGATATAGTCAATTTAGATATTAGTTGGAATTAATACAAATACAAAAAGTTTCAAGGTGTTTGACTTTTAAAAGCATGTCACTTTATTCTTCTCCTGTTATTGTATGTTAAATGTTCGACTGGTGCTTAACATGCGGAGACGCATAACATTTGGGATTGGGGATTTGTTTATTTATTTGTAGTTTATCGAAAGGCGGGTAATAAACGAAAGCAACGATGTTCCTGCGTTCCAGCGCCTTAGAGCATAGTTAGCTCCATAATGGCATTTACGATGTCGTTTCTGTTGTTCTTCAGCGCCTTAATGGCCTTTCCACGCGTCGTATTCGCCTGCGTTATAACCAACTCAATGTCCTTTTCATCGACGTCCGTTCCGTCAACCTCTTCCTCATCTTCTTCGGCAATTGGTGCCACAGAAGTGGTGGCACCGACGCTATCAGTAGCAAGAGGACCTTCTGGTGCCTTGAACTTCTCGGCGGCAGCCACTTGAGCCTGCTGCGACAAGTCTTCGATCTTAGCCTCACCGAATACAATGTAAGTGTCACTGTGGGGGTTCTTGTACACATCTGGATTATTGATGACGAACAAGATGTTCTTCGACTTGCGTATAGTCACGCGGTTAACACCTTGAATCTGCTTCAGCCCAAGCTTCAGCATGATTTTCCGTGCCTTCTTCTCGCCGCGCGACTGCTTTGCCTTGGAAACCATATCAATGGGCAACCCTGTGGCACCGCCGCCCAGCTGTGTGGTGCCGGTTTCAGCCTCCTCCAATTCGGGAATCATATCCGAATCGCTCTCGCTGCCATCATCCTCGACGCGTACATCCCCATCCTCCGGTTGCTTCGCCTCAGCGGAGGTCGAAGGTGCTTCGTTTTTGATTTCAGTTAGCTCTGGCATGTTTACCTATTAAGTGCAACATAAAAACAAAATACATTAGTTTTAATGCGCAACGTTTTATAACAAGCCGGTGATGGGGTGATTTTTCCCATCGATTTTTCGAGAACAATTTTCTTAAAACTATTGGTATATTTAATAAAATATATACAAAATATTATAGTTCAATTTGTTCTCTTTTTTGTACAGTTTTCAACTCATACTTTTAAGACGTGATGTCAGCTGAAATTAATAATTACTTACCTCTTAAAAGCGGCTGCAGCACGGAATCGCTAAACGTTTTTCGTGAAAAGAAATATTGCCATCTGGTCAAAAATTCGTGTAGTGGCAACGTTAAATCGATAGTAGCCAGGCATACCGATAACTGTGCAATCGACATCGTATGTAAAGTGTAGATTGCTGCGTGCTCTGACACTTGGCGCAATATTTGAAAATAATTGCTCAGCAATATGTCAATAGATCAAAGACCGTTCTCAACAATAGACTACTAAGTACTATATAAGCCATGCCTACGCATAACAAGCGAACTAATAACTGTAATTACTATCCAATTTCCAATTAAACTGTATAAACAGCATTGATATTCCAGACATAATTACAGTTTTACAAGTAAAGCCTGTGCAAAGGGTTAAAATAACACAATTACGAAGGACAGTTGCTGTGCCCATATAGGAGCCAGCCTACAAATTGTAAAAAAGGCGTGTCAATTGCTGGGTAAACATTGGACAGCTCCTCGTTATGTGCCGATGTTGCGGTTAACTGCGAACACATGTTCGACTTTGCATTTCGTATACGAGCCGAAAACCCTAATGGTTATTAAATTTGTATTAGTTGTGGAATATAATTTAGGGTTGGTAGCCTCACACAAGCGCACATTCACCAAAGCTCCATAAGAATTTGTAGTATAACCCATTTCATCAGTGCTGTGAACAGCAGACATTTACATTGCAAACTAATCAGTTTAAAAACGGCTAAATGGACAGCACTGACCGTCTTATTGATATTGATGCACTCACAGTTGATGCAGTTGTAATTGTTTGTGTTTTATTTTGTGCGCATTTTTGAGCGCTGCAAACGAGTCACAAATATGCAAAATATTCAAAACAATTTGTCAGTAAATAATTTCGATATGCATCTGTATCTGTGTGTGTATTTGAGGGCCCCCACCACATACATACACACATATATAGACGACATCCCGGGTGTCAACAGCGCCCTGATTTATTTGAGCGCATGAAACGCTTCGTTGCATTTCGTTAATTTCTCCGTTTTCCGCAAAGGGAACAAACAGCGAACAGCAAACAGCAACATAACATCTACACACACAAACACTTACTCATATGTAGCAAATACAAAATATCTTTATGCAGGCTCTATGCCAAATAAAGTTGAATCAGCGCCAAATGAAAATCAGACCTTTTTATCATAATAACAATAATCGCCGACAAGGCGCATAATTATATTTTAATTTATTCCCAATGTAAATAAAATATTGCAATTTAAAGCGCTCATCAAATATTTCAAACACTTAAACGTGACCAAATGCTGTTTACAAACATTTGCTTTTTTTTTTGTTGGCAAAAATGTAGTCAATTATGGCCAATTTAAGCCGCAAATGCAAATTGACAAACGTATTACTTGTGGCTCGCATAATAAATTAACAATTCGATGGCGGAACTTATATTTTTATGAGCAATAAAATTAGATGAAAAGAGAGATCTGGGACGTTAATCATTAAGTTCTTAATTCCTCTTAAGTGTTATCTTAAAGTGTAAAAACATATTAAGTTAATTTATATTCATATTCAATTGATTTTGCTTGGTACAGGCAAGTGCCACCCTTACCTGCGCTCACGCAGTCAACCCGAAAAGCCAGCTAATATGCCACTTGAGAGTTAACTCTATTTCCCACATCCTGGCATAAACTAAGCTAAGCAACTGCTAACAATGTGGATATCGATATTGTCCTTATTCATGGTTAGTCTGATTACCACATGAATCAAGCAGCAATTAAGCACTCCTGTATTCCTTTAAGTGCCTGTATTTGTGGAGCTTCAAGAACAACCCCAAACACAAATAGAAAACATACCGGTTTGACAGCAATTAACGCACAGCCAATCAGAGACGTCTACCGCTCTAACACAGCGCGCCATATTGGTCATTAACAAGGCGGAGCTAGTTCGTGTTCGCTCTCTCTCACTCGCTCACTCCCGCGCTGAGTATGTCTGCGGTGGTTGTTTTCGACTGGGCGAGTGAGCTGTGTGCTGTGCATGCGGCATCGTTGGGTTTCATTTGCGCGCAGATCTTTGAACGGTTCACTACGTCACGTATCGCGCGCTCCGACATATTCGAAGAGAGTAAACAAATTTTAAGTTGACAATGCAAAACGACCATACGGCGCTGCTGCCGCCACCGCCGCCGGTAGAAAGCAGCAGCAAGCTGATCAGCAAACCGTTACCGAAACCCTTTTCCATAGAGAGTCTAATTGCGAATCAAAGAACTGCCGTTATTCCTGCATCCAATAGTGATCACGAACAGGAAAGAGAACGAGAACAAGAACGGGAACGGGAACGGGAACGGGATCGAGAACGGGAAAGTAATAGTCAAGAGCTTAATGCACGTGCTATGCTGGGTCTGACACAGTTTCCACTTTACAACCCCTGGCTGCATGGCTACTTTGCCCAGAACCACGAACGGCTCTCACATCTAATTGCCGGCGGCGGTGGTGGTGGCGGCGGTGGCAGCGGTTACCTGGCTGCACCGTTTGCCGGCAAGGAGCCACACTCACCGTCACAGTCACTGCCACAGTCACAGTCACATGCCTTGGACAGCCTCAGCCTCAGTCCGACAAAGCCCAATGAGCTGCCTCTGCCTCATCCGCTGGACACTCGATTCCTGCCCTTCAATGCTGCTGCAGCCGCTGCCGCCGCAGCTGCTGCTGCTGCTGCTCCCTCTGATCTAAGCTATCGTCGTCTCGCAGAACTCATGAACCAGGATTATGTGCATAGTCTGAGCGTACATGCCAGACTCCAACACATGGCCGAGAGCCAACATCATCATCATCATCATCAGCCCATGGCTTTAGCGCCAAGCCAACAGCACGAGCCATCACCACCTCAGCAATCATCGCCCTCGAAATCAGCAAGTCCTGCAGAACCTGCTGTCGATGTCGGCATGGACGAGGACTATGAGTGCAGCGGCGATTCCTGCAGCGACATCAGCCTCACTATGTCGCCCCAAAACTACGCCACGGAGCTCGACAAGAGTCGCAATGGAGGTAGGTGACAAAGCTTAAGCGAATCTAAGATGTTGGCAGTATTAGCTTAGAAATCAGTTAATGTACTTTAACAATGATGAAACTGGTAACTGTTTTAGCCAAGTATAACTTATGATTGTATATTTTATAAGGACAGCAATCTGAACTGAAACTTGATTCAAATTTAAATCTTTTGGATCATTCGATGAAACAAAGATTAATAATACGTTTTATTCTTCATATTGGCATCAATTCTAAAGAAGAGAATAAGTTATGTATGTGTGGTTCGTTGAGCTCGTCGTTTTATCCTGCACAGGTTGATCTGTACCTGTAAGAGGTTACAAAAAGTTTCTGCTGGTAGAACCTTGAAGATGTTGAAGTTAGTTACAAGGTGTAAATGGAGCATTCCAAATAGTAATAATTGAAAAAGATTAAGTTTATTCATTGAAATATTCACGTTGGGCTCTGCTAAGTAATCCTCTTCAGTTACAAAACAATTCTAGAAGAACTTCTAGACTCTATTTTCGGTATGGTCTTAAGCTTTTCAAACTTGATCTGTTCCCCAACTGCTCACTGATTGGGTGATTATACGGAGTTATAACTAGTTATAACTGATTTTACGGAGATCTAACTAGTTATAACTATTATGATAATAATTGAAAAAGTTCTTAAGGAACCGTTCTGAAACAGCAAAAAGCTAACTTCTGTGGCTGTCTCTCACCGTTCTTGAAGTCCAAGTTATTCTTCTTCTTGTAGTGGGTTTAAAGTGGTTTTGTCATGGTAATTAAAATGAGGCAGTCAAGTCATAGACAAAATTAGCATAAAACACATTTACGACCCAATGTTTGATGTCAATCAAAAGCTGCAAAGTTCTCCGAGGAGAACTGAGACTGACAGCCAGAGCGAAAGAGCGAAAGAGAGCGACAAAGAAAGTGAGTAAGAGTGAGAGGGAATATAACAATAACATCATAAATGGAGCTGACATTTTGACAAACGTAACGATTTAGTCATTGAAATGGAATGGAAGAGAAAAGTTTTAGCTAACCGCATTTCCATGACTTCTTCTGACTGAGGGTCTCCTCTGCAGAAGTTAGGCGAATCGAATTGGCACACACAGAGAGGTATAATGTATTCATAACTGAATTTCATATGATGTTGGGGGTGCGCATACAGCACTCGATGATGGTCCACCACCGCCGTGCACAGTGCAAATAAATCAGTGACAGGGCAGGCGATGGGCACATTTGAAGCGTGTAAGTGTTAAAAAAGCGTTTAAGCGTTAACAAAAATAATCAGGCATCTCTGAGGGGATGAACTTGCTAAGCTGCGGTCACTCTCTCTCTCTCACTCACTTGCTCTCATGCCCACCAACTTGCTCTCTCACTCTCTCTCTCTCTCTGTCTTCTTCCTACTCACACTTGAGTTCGGCTTGCAAATTGCTGTTGTTGTTGTGGTTGGAATGGGCGGGAAGGGAACGAATGGTTTGGAATGGGCTCACACATGTCTCCAGTTATAACTAAATATGTTTGCCACAAATGTTATGACACAGCCCATTGACGACAGAAGTCGAAGTCAGCATCAGGGTCTAAAGTTTGTTAAGTAGTGTTAATGGGGGATGCGCATCTAATGCGAAAGCTTAAGTCGTTAGAGATATGAATTGTTAATAAGATTTCTGAAGTTCTGAAGCTCTGCGTTGATTTCTCTATTCATTATATTCATTTCGTAGCATACACCAACTCGGACAGTGAGGATTGCAGCGATGACGAGGGCAGTCAGTCGCGCCATGAAGCCGGCGGCAAGGAGTCGCAGAGCGGTGGCAGCAACAGCTCCTCCAAGTCTCGTCGGCGACGCACAGCCTTCACGTCGGAGCAGCTGCTCGAGCTGGAACGCGAATTCCATGCCAAAAAGTATCTCAGCCTAACGGAGCGCAGTCAAATAGCCACAAGTCTGAAACTAAGCGAAGTCCAGGTGTGTTAACAGGGCCAATATAAACAGTTATTGAGACAATATGATACTGAAAGCATAATCTCTGAAGATGCTGAACTTTATAGAATTTGAGAGTAAATCCTTTCAGAATCATGTCTATTCTCTCTTTTAGCCTTCGTTTTGTTAACTTTTCCTGTGCCTCTTCTGGTTTTCTACCTTATTTTGGTTTAGGTAAAAATCTGGTTTCAAAATCGTCGCGCCAAATGGAAACGCGTTAAGGCCGGACTCACGTCGCACGGCTTGGGCCGAAATGGCGGTTCGAGTGGCACCAAAATTGTAGTGCCCATACCAGTGCATGTAAACCGCTTTGCGGTGCGCTCGCAGCACCAGCAGCTGGAGAAAATGTGCCTCAGCGGGCCCAAACCGGATCTGCGCAAGAAACTGCCAACGGAAACGATCAGCGGCTTCGAAAAGTTTAATGCCAACACCGTTGGCTCTGCCTCAACTGTGGGCGTAGGCGTGGGCGTGGCCATGGGTGTAGGTATGCCGTCGATTGGCCCCGCTGCAGCCTCGCTGGCCCTGGCGCGTAGTATTTACTGAAAGAGCCGAAGAGCTAGTATTTACTGAAAGAGCCGAAGAGCTGAATAACATCTTTGTTAACATTTTTGCTGTACATAAAATATGTCTCTCCCCCAAGAATTTGGCTCAAGTGTAGAGACAAACTTTTGTAAATAAACACACAATTTAATTCAAAACAAACTATAGATTTTATTACATAACATTTTTCGTCGAGCTCAACTACGTAATTGCTGACTCTTTTGTTCTCTTTCAATTCTCAACGAGCAACGGGAGCTGACAGTCCTAAAGCCTAGTGTGGGTGAGCGAGATGGCTATTATTCTTAATACGTACGTATGAGCAAGGCACAAGTCTTTGCTTCTATGAGATGAGAATTGTAGCCTTAAACCTAACGCGATCGAGCTCTCTCTCTCTATCTCCCTCTCTTAATAAGTCCCGCACAAAAGTGCAGTGCACATAAACATGTATGCACTTGAAGCAATGCTTCCGTTTTAAGAGAGCAGTATTGCAGACATAAGCCCAGTGCGATCAAGCGAGATGGCAGCTTTCTCTCTTTCTTAGCAAGTCTCGCACTTCGATTTCAAATTCTTCCCTTTTATGATAGCAGAAAAGCAAAAGCGTCTGCCATTACATATATATAAAATTTCATCTTCTCTTGGATATTTTTGGGTAGGATATCTAAGCTTTGTCGTGCTTGAGTAATATATTTTTCGAGTCGATACACACATACATAAACATACACATAGCATTCATATGTTTGCATGAGTTGAACAGAGTGTGCTAAACACAGCAGTTGAACTGCTCAAGAGCCTAAATGCTGCTAATAATTCACTGCTAACCAGCGCAATAAATTCCTGGCTATCGGTGCACGCCTCCAAGCTGACAAAATCAGTTCCCAGTTGCCCATTTATTCTGGGCCACTTAAGGGCCAAAACAAAATTTGGTGTCAATTCGAACAATTAAACTGCCAATTTGTGCGATTTAACACGGCAGGCCCCGAAGGCAAAATGTTGTTCAGCCTTTTTCCCAGTTCGCCGTGTGACTAATTTTTGTAATTTAACGCACCAAATTGTCGCAAATAAATGAGAGAGCGAGAGAGAGAGAGGGAGAGTTTGTATGAGATTTGATAGCGACTACTCCTCATGGCCATATCAAACAATCACTCCAGGTGTCTCACGTGTCACGCCTCTTCACAGAGAGCGAGAGAAAGGAGGGCTCACACATGGTGAGTTATTAGTTTTGTAATCCGCAGCCCTCAGCCATCAGCCCTCAGCCTTCAGCTTCTCTCTGTGTGTGTGTGTGTGAATTGTTAATTGCATTAGCGACTTATTGGCTTCGACAATTGACTTTTGTTTGCAGAGTAAAAAGTACAAGTAAGCTTATCGCGCACGGGTATACTCGACTAACGAATGATCGCTCATAGTAATTTATAATTTAATTTTTATAATCATAATTTAATAATTTATAATCATATTCAGTTGCTAAATTTAGTTCTAACTATGGCAAATATAGTTGTTTCTCAAAGAGCCCTCAAGAAAGAAAAGTCGTGAGAATTTATTAGAGTAAATTATATACGATTATACATACAAATTGGAAGTCTCTGGCCCAACTCAATATACTCACTTTGTTGACTATGTGAGCGAGTATCGTGTACTCGTGGCTCTAGCCACCCTGTAAATGGGAAGTTCTATGGCCAGGCACCCTTCTGGTATTATTGTATTGTTGTATGATTCTGTCGTCTCGTTGCTCGTTTCGTTTTGCAGTTTTATGTTGGGACACGCCTCCAAGCATGAGTTTTTATTATTGTAACACTTAGGCAGGGAATTTTTGGGTGCCGGCTGCGAGAAGTCAGCTACTGCTACTGCCACTGCTCTTTTAGGGGTATTCGAAAACTGAAATTGCGGCAAATGAACAACGTATCACTGGATGCTGACGATGATGATGCTAATGTCGTGTGTAAGTGTTTGTTCGGCTGCGGTGACTGTAGAGGGAGCTACAGATAAAGGGATAAAACAAATATCACGGAAACACATGAGAGAAAAGATTCTCATATGAGCTATATGCAACTGGGGAAATAAAGAGTATAAAGTTAGAATTGACAATTACACTAGCTATTGAAGCTCATTGACAGTTCGATGGGGCCGGACCCATTTGGAATAGAGTATTCGTCTGGCTGGCCGTATCTGCAGCCGTAAAGCTTTGCGGTAAATTATTCTGCCATTAATTACGTCCGGATTGGTGTCGCTTTAAACAGTTAAACAACCATAATGCAGCACGTTAAAAATCACTTAAAAATCATTAAAAATTATGTAAAAGTAACCCCAAGCAGCCAAAGTATTCTCTTTTTTCACACGGCGCATTTTGTATACCGTACAATTGAATTTCGAAAAGTTAATACAAATTCTGAAGACCTCTTTAAAATAAGGTATAATCATTTACCTGAGTGTTGACTACTTTCTTACTTTAACTTACTTTAAACTGACTTTAGTCCACTTGCGTCTCACTACTTATGAAAGCAACTACATTAAATCTAACGATATTTATAGCCAAAGTAATCAGCTTGCCTATAAAGTCCGTATGGACTCAATTTGAAAATATATCTATAGAAACTATTAAGAAGCAACATTTTGGAAAAAGTCGGCAACAGGAAATCTGTTAGCATAGTCGCGGCTTGGAAAGAAAAAGGGGGTCATAGTTGAATGCAGCGGGGTCATAAATCAAATGCGAAATGCTCGCTGTCATAATTTGTCATAAGGCGGGGACACGCCCTCCATTTGCCTGAGGCCGTTTTTGCTTGAGTTGGCTGAGAATAGCTAGACTTTGAAATTCGAAACATGTGGCAAATTTTTGAAACTCGAGTTTCTGCTTGCTATATTGTTGCCCGCTGCCAGAGTCCGTGACCGAGACCGACTTCTTACCAACTTATTACTTGACGTACTTTGTCAACCAAATTCGATAGCATGCAAAGAGAAGCAGAGGACTCCCATTTAAAAAAGGCTAAATCAGTTCAGATTGGCAGTCAGAGTCAGAGTCAGAGAGGGCCGTTCACCAATAATCACTAAAATTCTTAAACAAAGGCTAGATCTGTCCAGTAACCAAATATCAGTAGTAGAAATTGCAATTGTAGAGGTCGCCCTGACGATCGCATTTGCTGCCCACTTTAGTTTGTATCTGTCAATCGGACTGTCAGTAGGCAGGGGGATGAGGAGGGGGCAGGCGAAGACTCGTTTGCTAGAGTCCGTCACGGTCGCCGTTGAAGAAATTCTCTTGAAAACCGAAAAAAAATGCACTCACGCACCTGAATCGCTAATCAGAGGAGCACCCAAGGCCCGCCGCCAATCCACGGTCTGTGGCGGCAATGCATTTTTTCTTTATTCTTTTCTTTTTTCTCTCTGCTGCTGTCTTGTGAATTAATTAATTACATTTTTATGATTTTATTAATTTCCCAACAAATATGAGATTGGGAATGTATTCGGGTATGTCTCGACTGTGTCTTCGTCTCTGCCTCCGTCTCCGTCTGCCTTGGCGACTCCCTCTCTCGTCGAGCCTTTCTCCAATTCCCATGGCTTATGGGCACGTACGATGAGCTCGTAATATAATAATGAATGTAAATTGCCTCAATGAGCGATTTAATGTCTTAATACATTATTTACAATGCATGTTCATTATTGTCAGTCTCTGTTGCACCTAAACAATGCCACGCCCCCACTCACTCGGGCTAAACGCCCCCAAGCGAAGTGACCGACAATTGACATTTCCACAAACAATTTGAATATCTAATTATTACTCAAAGTAAATGCGATTCATGATGCCATTGTAATAGGAACAGCAACAAAAAATGGATAAATAAGCATGACTATAAGATACTCTGCACGTAACTTAAGAGAGATGGAGAGGGGGAAGTAGGAGAGGGAGCGCGAACAAAGAGAGAAGACGAGAAAGAGAAGGTTTTACTAAGTCCAGTTATCTGTATTTGAAATAGAGAGAGGAGAGACAGAGAGCAGATACAGGGAGAGAAGAGAAAGAGGGGATAGAGAGAGAGAAAAGAGAGAAAATAGACAGAGGAGCTAGAGAGAGGAGAAAGACGACAGAGAGAGAGAGAGAGTGGGATAATGAGAATTGTTTTTAAAAATAACTGTATTTAAATTAGTATATACAGTAATAAAACAAAAATAAAAAGTATTTATTTTATAGGAATTTTTTCCGAATACCATCATTCCTAATAGAGAATTATTATTAATAATAATAAATATAAATGTCAAATTCCGACATTTAAAAATTCTGCTATACCCTTGATAACTATTTATATAGGTAATAACTATAAAAAAGTAAACAAAGTGCCGACTGCATGTGCCTAGATTAACAATTCCATCATAATCAATGGAAATAAAGACTTAATGAAGTTTGAAAAATATTGAAATCGATTTGCAGCTGGCGGCTGCCCTTTTTTTTATTAATTTGGGGAGTTTTCGGTCACAAAGGAAGCCATTCATCAAACACTGTCCAAAATTTCGTGCAAGCTAATTAAATATAAATATTTTATATTGTGGCCCAGTCCCAGAAAGCTTCACGGTGAAAAGCCTAGTTTGCGACGGCTTGAACCATGGAATGGAACGTGGGGATTATACAAACTGATCAGCTGCCCACCTTTGTATGTGGCCCACCTTTGCGACATTTATCACTGGGCAAACACTTCCGCTTTGCCACATAGGTCGCATCCTGATCCTGACCGCATAATAAAGCAAATTTGGTCGTGTGCACGTACTCCGATTCGTTGGGTGCTAGAGCACGATGTGTGGTCCCGGGGAGAGGGAGCGAGAGAAAGAGAGATCGTTTAAGATGAGTTACGAGGCCAACCATCGATTTATCTACGTGCCCTGTTCAAAATGTTGTTTATATCTGTGGACTGCACTCTGCGGTCTGCCTGTCCCAAAAAGGACACGTGCACGCGTCAGATAATTGATAAAATTGCTCAGATAAGATTCGGGAGTTTCAGTTAAGTAATTGATATTCCTGTCGACAAGTCAAGTTCCACTGGCTACCCGCTGAGCCGAGCTGAACTGGGTGCAAAAGCAATCTACGGCGACTAAAAAACCGACAGACAATTTATGCCACAGCATTCGGAACTGCCAACACCCACACACAGGAAGAGAAAGAGACGGAAATACATACTATATATACAGATATATATATATGATATTTGGTGAGTTAGCAAAAAAGCAAGAAAAAAATCTGGGAATAATAAAAAAAGATGCTTGCCGCACACAAAAATCACATCATTGTCATCTTCTGGCTAGCAATTTGGGAACCCTCTTTTTTTGCAACGCCCACCGACCCAAGGGCCGACTCACCGACCACCGTCTCTAAGTCTGTCTCTGTCTCTTTCCCTGTCTGTCTGGACTCGCTCTAGTTCCGCCCATCGGCTTCCGTCCACACATAAGTGCCAGCCAGCTTTTGAGTGAGTCTCACTTTTTTGCTGTGGCTCTTGCTGTTGTTATATGTAGTTTGAACGCTTTCAGCGGTTAATGTACTGAAATGTGACGGAATGGGTGGCGCATGTCCATAATTACAAAAACCACCCACCGAGCATGTGGTGGCCACTTGCCAGTGCCTCTGCCTCTGCCAGTAAAAAAAAGTGATGACGTAGTTTGTGGCACAACTCAATTGTTTGGCAACGCCCACCGCTCAGCAGGCGGTCAATTTTTGCGGTAATCATCGTCGCGCGACTTGAACGACTGTTAAATGCTACCGGCGGCTTTTGGCTGCATAGCAGATAGACCGGATAAGCACACTCAATTAGAAAACTAAACAATGTAATTTTGTTAGATGATTTGAATTAAAGTATTTACAACTGCTAATTCGTTTTGCCTCACATTTCGTAGCAGTTTGCTCTGGTAAGTGAGCTTCAGTCATTAATCGATAGTCCCTAAAGTAAACTTGCTCTTGCATTTTCACTGATTGTCGCGTGAATAAAAAACAAAATATATATAAAACATTCCTGAAAGAAACGAAGTAAAAATTAATACTAAATAAACATATTTATTGCATAAACATATTATATAGATTGCAATTGCAATTGGACTTTTCGCACCTCATACTGAACAGCTTTAGTATGCGAGCTTCAGTAATTAATCGATAGCCCCTAAGAGAAGATACAACTTTCGCACGAACAACCGTTAACTTAAAATGGCATGTAAGTAAATGAATTCAATTAAAATTAATTTTGTTTTATTTGTTCTTGCGCATGTAACTCTCTGCTGCTATTTTCTTGAGCTGATTAGCCGTGGCCTTATCAGTTTGATTAACTAGATTTAAAAGAGCACCATCCTCCAGCTGCAAGAGCTTATGTGGTGCTCCAAATTCGATTATTTTCCCTGCATCTATAACTAGGACCCTGTCGTTGTCCATGACTGTGTGAAGACGATGAGCAATGGTCAACACCGTGCAATGGGCAAATTTGGTACAAATTGTTTCCTGAATAAGCTTGTCAGTGCTGTAATTATAAGTAATTAATTTAATCAACATATTTGCAAGATATTATTGATTACTTACTTAGCATCCACATTAGCCGTCGCCTCGTCCATGATGATTATTCGATTATTGCGGAGTATGGCTCGGGCTAGGCAAACCAATTGCCTTTGGCCCATGCTGAAGTTCGAGCCGCCATCTTGCATATAGCACGAGAGCCCGCCCTCCAAGCTGGCAACGTATTTCTTCAGCTTTACATCGTCGAGAGCGTTCCAAAGCTCCTCATCGCTCTTCATACCAAATGGATCGAGATTGAAGCGCAAGGTGCCAAAGAAGAGGACTGACTCCTGTGGTATGATTGAAATACGACTGCGTAGATCGTGCAGTCCTAGTTGGGCAATGTCCTGACCATCTATCTCAATGAGCCCTTCATTGACAGCTAGCCGGAACAGTGCTTGAATAATCGAGGATTTACCAGCGCCCGTGCGCCCCACAATGCCAATCTTCTCCATGGGCTGTGACTCAAAGGTTATACCTTTTAGAATTTCTATATCGTCTGGGGCATACTTCATGCGTAGATTAGAGAAGCGTAGATGACCCTTTTGTGGCCAGTCTGACGAAAGATTTATCTCCTTTGCTGTTTCCAGTGCCGGTTCAGATGGTGTCTTTGCGTATTCCAATATACGCTCCACACTTGTCATCTTATTCTCCAGCTCTGCTGTCTGCCTCATACCCCATTGACACATTATCACCAGTGTCATGGATTGGGTGATAGCCAAGCCAACATCACCGCTGTAGAAGGTCTGATTGATAACCAGGAAACTGAATGTCGCAGCCAGTATGTAAACAACACAAATGAGATCCGTCCAAAAGGAAAAGGCACGATTGGCGCTCGTATAGAGAAAAAGTGCTGAAGAGTTCGTATTCTGATGGCCATGGAAAGTGTGCTCCAATTGTGGCATAGCATCCAACGCTCGTATAGTAGTCAAGCCTTGAAATGTTTGATTGGCATGCGTGTAAACAGGACTACGAGCTAGCAATGAAAAATGACTGTTAGTAAGAATTATGCTTTACTCATTGACTTACTTAAGCTCTCAATGCGTTTCAGACTGCGACTGGCACCTATGTAAAATGAACGGCAAAAGTACATCAAAATGGCCATAATAGCTGCTGGAATGAGTAGCCAATAGTTGGCGATTGCCACGATGACTAAGACAGCCACCACATCCACAAAGAACTGTAGTAGATGATAAATTATAATATAAGTTTACCTTAATTATAGATTGATTTACCTGCAAAGAGTCCATCATAGCCTGGGGCAAGGCCACATCCACGCTCTCAATATCACTAGAGAAGCGATTGAGCACTCGACCCGAGGGATTGGCATTAAAGAAGAACATGCGAGCCCGTATAATCCCAACGAAGAGCAAATTATGCAATCGTAGTGAAATACGTAAACATAACAGAAAGAAGCCAAAGGTGCGCAACAAATAGAGAGCCAAGGTGCACAGTAAGAGGACCGCGTACCAGGTCACCATTCGAGCGCGTGTCTTTTCGAATTGCTCTGTTGTTTCATACACTCGATTCTCCTCCCAGGTAGCCCAGCGAGAAATAAAGATGTCCATAACTGCTTCGCAGACTCGAGCGACAACAAAGAGCGCGAGCACCAAGAAAACTAAAGTGGGCGCGCCCAGAGCACGGAAATAATCCATATACGTATCGTAGCTAACAGCTCCTTTTTGCTGACGCTCTGCGAAGGCACTCTCCTTATTAGATTGACCATCCACAGTCTTTGTAGGATCCTGAAAAAGCTTAGAGTTTCTGTCCACTTGGCTAAGCACCCTCTTTACCAGCTGCTTGTCAGCCTCGATGGCATCCAAATCTGGAGCTGCATGCTTCTCAATAACGTCTCGCAAGTCCGCGTAGCTGCCTTGTTGTGTTAGTCGTCCGGACTCGAAGAGCAGCAAGTGGTCCACATTCTGCAGCAACTGCACATGATGGGTCACCAATATGCGCAGCTTGTCTCCTAAGAATCGATTAAAGCACTTGTCCATTAGCAGTTTGCCCACTCGTGAGTCTACCGCAGCTAGAGGATCATCGAACAAATATATATCTGCCTTGCGATATACAGCCCGGGCCAGACTTATCCTTGCCTTCTGTCCACCACTTAAACTGATGCCCCGTTCACCGACTACAGTGGCATCCCCATGTGGCAGCAGAGCTAGATCACAGTCTAGCTGGCAGGCGTGCACCACAGCTCGATAGCGCTGCTCAATGTATGGTTCCACAAAGAGTATATTTTCACGTATACTGGCTTGGAAGATCCAGGGCTCCTGTGGGGCATAGCTCAACTTGCCGTGCACTTCGATGCGACCCTGCATGAGCTCTACTTCGCCTAAGATCACATTTAAGAGCGTACTCTTGCCAGAGCCCACGTTGCCCACAATGCCCACCAATTGTGTTGGAAGAAGCTTAAAGCTGATGTCTTCAATATGCGCACGTCTTGCCTGCAGAACGCTTGGCTTATTCCAGCTTGCGCTCACGTGGCTAAAAGTGAGAGACTTTTCCAGGCTCTCTATGCAGTGCAGACGACCCACAGGAAGAGACTTTGCAGGTGTCTTGGTTAAGTCCAATTGCAATGTGGGATTATCTCTGCAGTGGGAGGAGCACTCTTCGCTCGTGGGCGATTCAGTTTGTTGTAGGAACTGCGTCACGCGCCTTGCACTGACCACTGTCTGTGCCCAGGTGGTAATGGCCAAGGGCCAAAAGTGCTGCAGGGAATCATTCAGCAAACTGTAGTAAGACGAGAGTATAAACACTTTTCTTGACGTAACCACATCACCTGTATACACATAAGCAATGAGACTCAGGAACAGGGACACCTTCGATATCATATTGGTGCACTGCAACGCAGCGTATATGCTCATGGAACCTCGGATTGCTTTAATCTCCATCTTTCGCACGTTGGCTATCAATTTTGCAAAAGATTGCTCCCACGCATACATTTTGATCACCTGTATCGCACCTATAATCTCATTCATCAGCTTTACACGGCGATCCCGTTGTTCCGCAGAACTAGTGCGAAATTTGGCTGCAGCCTTGGCAGCCCACGCTTGAAGTGGAATCAGCAGCGCAATGAAGGCAATTCCTATTAATGACGTCCAGCCAATCTTAGTGTACATAATGTAGCCAAAAATACACGCCTCCACGGGTCCTTTCCACAAATCATGAAAGAAATAGAAACACAGATCGAACTGCGGCAAATCGATTGACATCACTGATATGGCCAAAGCGCCAAGTCCATCTCTGCCATTGATCGCTGCACGTAAACACTTTCTATATATCAGTCCAGCAAAGGCTACGCGAATCCTTGTGCCCACGGCAAACACGAAAAACATAAATGGGTGAAATATCAGTGAAGTCACCAGTGCACACAGCACAATGCCCGTGGCGTAGAGATAGGCGCTGTCCTTGCTAATACTCGTTTGCCCTTCAGCAAAGTATGATATTAAACCACCCAAAAATAGGGGCTGCAAGGCGCTGTAATGAAATTATATTAGAGTATGAGAATCACTCACACAGAGTGCTTTAGAGGTTCAGGGAATCGCATACTAAAGTACTTATATTGAAACGCACTAAGATTCCGCATATTCAAGTTGTTTATATGATTATACTTACTGTATAACGATCTCCAGGATTGAGTAGATCACGCAAGCAGGCACAAACTGCCAGCCGTAATGAGCGAAGATCAGATGCAACGAACTTGGTTGCTTGCGTTGAGATTCGCGTATCCATGGCTGTTGCAAATCCTCCGTCAATTTCTCACTATCGAAGCAGGGTAAATTTGCATATAGATCGCTTTCCGATAGCTCCTCTCGCCTCCCTTGCCAAAATAAATGGCGCATCCACCTAAATTATTAAAGTAACAATCAGCCTTAAGTTGACTATTGATTGGAACTACGTGCTGCTATGCAGACAATATTCTACGGATCTCTCGAATTACCAATAAATGATAAAACAAAAGCTAACGCATAAGGAATATTTTGTCGAATACCTTATCGGGACAGCCTAGACTTACGGAGCTTAAATGGCTTTTATTTCTCAATCAATATTAAATCAAGAATGAACCGAACTTATTTAATTTTTTTATATGAGATTCTATATTATTTATTAATTATTATAAGAAACGATTTATATTATTACATCATTTATTGATGATATTATTACAGCTCAGTGATATTATTGAAATTCACTTAATATTATTTTGAAAATATTTTTCTTTTGTATTGCTTAACGTATTATTTTATCATGTTTTTATAATTGTTAATTTATTTCATTTTGTTATTTTTAAGATTTTATTGTATTATTAAACTCACAGAAAAAACCATTTTGAGAATATGTTAGCCTTTTGATAGGGATTTGTTTGGCGTTTACGATTTGATGGAGTATTCATAGCGCCGCCATTCACAAAAATTTACAAACTCTATCGTCTATGGCAGACGATTTTCAAATGCGCCCCATAGCACCCTTTCATGCCGTTTTATAGCTAATTTCTGTGTTTGTTTGAAGTGCTTGATTAAGTCGTCATCAAAACATACTTTAAAATATTTTGCACTAGGCACAACACAAACGATTGATAAGAAGCAATGGAGGCTAGTTGGGCCAATGAGACTGGGCTCTGATATTATTTGGCTAATAGATGTTGTTAAATGCGTAATCAATGGGGTAATAGTATAGGAAAATGTCGGCCATTTGTGTGTGTCATACATTAAATGCAGATTGCAGCTAAATTATAAATATACATACATATACAAGAGAGACTTATAAATCTTTGGAGCTTTGACTAATTCGGCATTGTCTCTTAATGATAAATCCTGATTAGCTTTAATTTGGCTAGCAGGGGCAACGTTCTACGACAGTTCTTCGAGGTTGCACAATCTAATCAAGAAGCGACTTAAGATTCTAATTTCATTATAAATTTCGTCACAGATAAGTTGACTATACGATAAATATAGTTGAGAAACATTCTTTAGTCGAACGCTAAAGCTTTAATAACACAAGTACGAGCAGAAGGCAATAAATACAAACAAAGACACAAACATTGGAATGAACCACTCAATAAGACAGACAGGCTAATGGGTTCGACAATACGTTAAAATTTCTATAATGACCTATGAGAGTTTTAAGGCAGGCTATGGAGCTCCTCCAGTGTATAAAGCTGATCAGTGCGATTGTAGACATCCTGCATATACCGTAACATATTAGGCAGCCTTTGAACGGCGTTCGAGACATTCGCATCGCTGCAGACACGCTTGAAGAGCTCACCGCGCGTGGGTATTGCAAACATTGCAACTTGAGCACCTTTTCGAATAAGGAAGGGGTGATGCTTGGCTAGGGTATCATTGTAAGCTGATTTGCAGATATGGTGCGCCTTTTCCTCATCTGCCACGTCTTGCAGACGGTGTAGAAACTCGTACACAAACTCTGCAAGAAATGAAATTAGATAAGATAAGAATCTGTTATCTATTTGACAGAGTACTACCTAAGCCACGATGCAGACGCAATAAGGTGCGACTGCCCGACACGTAGCCTTTCTGTCGCAGCAGGCTGGCTTCTTTCTCATACAACAGCATAGTTTTAATACTATCGAAGTGTTTGTTATCTTCGTTGTCCTGCTGTCGCAGATTGTACAGTATATCCAGTTTGTTGCGCACGTCACTGCTTACAAAAGTAAACACGCTGCCCATCAGTAGGAAGAACCTGATTCAGCAAAACTTGTTAATTTGTTTACAAGTGTTTTCCATTCTAATTACTTCATAATCTCCTCATACGCTTCCAAATAGTCTTCCATCCGGACATCATCATCGTCAATTAAACTACCTTCAAATAAATCTGCGACTTTTTCAATATCAAAGCACTTTTCTGCAGCTGCAGAATCGCTAGCAGAAGACATTTTCGACTTCCTATTATTATTCTACAACGTATATGTTTAGTCAATAAAAACAATAAAGTATCAGCAATCGATATCAGCACAAAAATTTCGATACGATATTTATTGTTTTCTCGAATGCTCTTTACGTTTTCGATAGGCTAGTCAGTTACGTCAAATAGAAAAGGCGCAAACTGTACGATAGTTGATTACCGTGTTCTTATTTGCTAAATTTCACTATACCGTCGTCTACATCGATATAAATAAATCATCTGTTTTAAAAGCAAACGTGAAATTAATTCAGAAATGTCTTCTGCCACTTTACTTACAAAAGCCCAATTACAAAATGCATTGAATAGCATATCCGCTGGCTTTCTAACGTCCGCAGAAGCAAATAAAACTGAGCCAATTTTGTCGCCATTTAAGAAACTTGGTGTACTCATTGACCTCGAAGATATTGAAGAAGCTAAGGAGACAAAGATTCCGCTATACAAAAATGTGAATACAAAGACAACACAAACGCAGTACTACAGCTGCATTCAATGTCGGCGGCAGTTGCCAACTGCACACCTGTTGGATCTGCATATAACCGAGCAACATGATTTATATTTCGCAGTCAGCGTTGAGCGAGGTGACAAGCCCCACTACACATGTTACATTGAAGAATGTCCTTTAAAGTTCTTTCTGCCTGCTGAGCGAAAGGATCATTGCATCAAAGTGCACAAATTCCCTGCCAACTACCGATTTGATCAGGGAAAACTTCCTACCAAAGCAAAGAGTTCCATAAGAAAGGCAACTAACGCAATGGATGTAAATGTGGGTGAAAATATGAATGATGGAAAGCTTCCATATATCAAGGCTTTCAGCTTCGGTCATCCAACGCAGCGAACTTTCAATTCCCGCAAGGAAAAGGCACTTCTCGATGTGCAGGCAATGAGGGAGGCACTGGACGATATGGACTAAGTTTTTTTATATCATTTTATTACTCGAAGTTGATTTTATAAGATACTGCTGTTAATTAACTTGTGGAAATCTCGAAGATCATTTGCTTTTGATGCTAAGCCTGCAAAATAAACAAACGCAAATGAATTGCTTGTCAGGTCATATTTGTAGTTACTTCACTTACTTTCCCGTATTGGCGTTGATGTAGTGGTAAGCAACAACGAGCAGGAAGAGAAAAACACCCAGGACATTTGAAAAAATTGCCAATTGCACATCAGTTATCATTTTGATACAGAGACTCTGCAAACAGAAAATAATAAATTCTTAAGGGCTTCTGGTGACACGTCATGTTTACAGAGAGTGTTGTTCTATAACATGCACACACAATGAATATGGCAAGTTACTGTCATATTGTCATATGTTAGTTATAACTTTAATTAACCATTTTTTTTCGAAAACATGAGATGTGTTTTATATTTACTTTTTATTTCTAAAAAACAAGCCGGTTTTGTTTAGAGCACAATAATTGCCAGAGATGCAAGATAACTATCGATTGATACAAATCTATGGACAGACCTTATTACTATCGATATGAATAAAGGCAGCACTGGTAATTGCCAGAGATGCAAGCTAACTATCGATTAATACATATCAATGGACGTACATTCTTATCGCCACTACTATCGATATGAATAAACGCAGCACTGATAATTGCCAGAGATGCAAGCTAACTATCGAATGTACAAATAGTGACAGACCTTCATATATCCACTATTTGTATTTTGCTGTCGAAAATACTAAAAGCGGTATATTAAGACAATTGTCATTAAGTTATATGAAAAGCCCAAAACTGTATATTCAAAGCTTGACTTTGTAATTTGTAACATATATGAAATTTGACAACCTTATTATAAACATAGCTTAGAAATCAATTAAATTTTTCTTTTGTTATATTTTAAGTATTTTAATCAAAAGCTAAAGACTCATATTAACATAATACTTATTGATGATTGCAGATATTGCAAATCGAATTTTACATAATCTTAAGGTCACTTTAGTGAATATAATCTTTAAGAATCAGCAAACGCTTCTATCTCAGAGTTATACATTAAGTTGTAATATTAATATTAAATACAAAATTTGTTTACATTAACATAGCTAAAAACGAACGAAAGCTGTGCTTTTGCCGTGCTTTAAAATCTTCAACAGGTAACAGAATTTGACAGATCCTTGTTAATTTGCTTATAAATTATGGAATTTGTGTCCTAAACGATTGTTAAATCCATTATTCAAATGAATTGCGGGCTAATTTGTTGTGACAACAACCGTTGAATGTGTTTGACTGACATCCTGGGAGCTACGTGGCAAATAGGACTTCCCATTCGGTTTCGCGGGAAACAGATCAGATACGTAGTTTGCCTGAAAGAAAAAAGATGGAAATGATTCTGATTATTAAAGTGCAGTTTAGAGTGAAATTTTGTAAAGGTAGCAATAAAGATGGCTCCTAAAAGTATGGTATGATTCTTATAGGCGGCAAATAGTTGTGCAAGAAAACTGAGTCCACGTCCAATAAACCAAATGAAGCGTAAAATTGCTGATCTATATTTTTGCATATGTGTGTATGTAGCTGCAGCTGGTCAATTTGAAGCTAATGTGGCAGCCACGATTGCATGCCACATGCCATATTGCAGCAGGTGTTGAAAGCGAGCCAATTAAATGCACGAATATTTCGAAGCTAATGGCGCACTTCTAACAAAAAGCCGACTTAAAGGAAACGCCACGATGTGTGTGTGAGTGTGTGTTAATGTCAATTAATATTATTTTAATAGCTAAGAATCTTGATATTACAAAAGATTTGAAATCTCTCTCTCTCTCTCTGTTCACTGGATCTTAGCTTCTTTGGTGGGCCAAACTGTTTGCAAGTTGAAACACGCTTTGGGCATAAAGTAGCTCTAGAAAAAGATGATCAAGTGAGATGTGTGTGTATAAGACTTGCCGTATATAGTATGTGAAATGATAAAAAGTTGAGGGGGAGAAGAAGGAAAAGAACATACCACAATCACTGCACAAGCAGCTCCAATTGCTGAACCAGCCAGAACATCCGACCAATGGTGCTTGTAGTCGGAGACACGGCTCAGCGCCGTATACCAGGCAATCATAATGAAGAGGAATTGTAGAAAGTGTCGCAGCAGCTTCGAGCCACGCCAATTCATGCGGGCTTGCAGGTAGAGCTGGACAAAGAGGGAGAGAGAGATGCTTAACATAAGGGGCAACATGTAACGAGCTCAACTTACTGCCACATAGACCATGGTGTAGAAGGTGAAGCTGGAGTGTCCACTGGGAAACGAGAGTCGCATCTCTTTCAGCATCCGCGCCGAGCTGCCCACACCTTGGCACTCGAAGTCCATTATATATTTGCCCACATTCGTGGCGTTCTCGCAGGTCGACCAATCAGGCATCTGCGGCTGGCACACCTGAGCAACGTCCATAAGAACAAACAGTCAAACATTGAGAACTGAGTCAAATGAGCGCAGCCGCTAAAGCTGCTTAGCTACAGTTACTGGTTGCCCTGGCTATGGGCAACTCTCATTTGTCCCCTTCCCTTTGGCTACTTGCAACATGTGCTACGCATTTAATGCTCAATTTTGCAGCGCTGTTGCCGCACTTCACTAAATAATAGGGCGTCTCTGTGCTGTTTAGCAGCTGGGGGAGTCCATAACCAGCAGCATACGAAGTGCCCCACCAACAAACCAAGGCTATCTCTGGTGAGGCGCGATTATGCGAGGGTAGCTTACAAAGTATTTGGATGAGATATATATAGCTAATCTATACATATAGCTAATAGGTAATCTCTTGAACAAGCCACCCTCGCTTGGCAAACACTTTAAATATTTATCAAATGCAAATAAAGAAGATAAAAGGAATATCTAGGGGAAGGCGAAGGCCTTGGCAAATATCTTTTATATATGTTATATTAATTAAATATACTCTCTGTCTCTCTGTCTTTCTTTGCCTACCTAGAGCAGCGTCAATGAGCCAACCCTCTCAATGTCGCTAACTGGATTGCAACTTATAAATAGCCCCTTCGTGTGTGTCTGCTGCCTCCTGTCTCGCGTGTCATATGTTAAGCGCGTTGCATATGTTGCATATTAAAATTAATTGGCAATTTGAGTTGCTTAATTGTCATTCGATGGCCCCGCTTACCGCTATGAAGTGTGGACGCAATCGGCCAATTGAGTACTTGGCTATATCCGTCGTCAGTTGACTGGCAGCGGCGCCGAATGCAAAGACACCCATTTTCTTATAGCACTCGACCAGCCAGTCGGGTATCTCGTACGACATGAAGATATAGCGTCTCGCCGATCCAGTGCCAGAGGCATTCGCATTTCTCGACCTTTGCAGCTCAACGATGAGCATCTGTATGGGAGAGAATAAACGGAATGATTAGACTATTACGATCTGGCAACTCAGAATCAGTAGCATAACAGTTATTGTGACCGGTATCGGTATCTGCATGAGAGAATGGCAACGCCAAGACACTGAAACTGGGCAACAGTGGCGTATAACAGTTATTATAACAGTTTTGAAGGAGTCGCAACCATCAATATGTAGAAAATTACTTGCTTTGGATAGAAAAAGGCTAAATTACCAACACTGCCATCCAATATGGAAGAGGAAGAGTGCGAATGAGAGCTTAAGCTTGGGGAAGTAGTTAGAAATCGCAATTGCGGAAGTTAAATAAATAATTTTTCTGGAGGCAATAAGAAATGCTAATTGCTCTGCACTAATTATGAGAAGGGAGAGTGAAAGAGAACTTGTTGAATAGGCTGCTGAGAAGAGAGAAAAAAGAAAAGGCTAAGCTAATGTCTGGCAAAAAGATTAAATTGTGAGGCAGTAGAAAGGCTAGATCTGTCTGAAATAAAGCCACAAAGAATAGGAGACAGAGAGGCAGAGAAGACGACCTTTAGAAGTAATGAAGAGACAGTAGAAAAGGCTACTTTTGTGTGGCAAAAGGGGCTAAGTTATCAGCACTAATTACAAATGTATTTATCAATGAACCATTTCCTTTTAGCACATTCCTTGTGGACAGTTTGTTTTCTTAGGAAGGGCCAATATAAATAGAGCCAGGGGCGGAGGCGGAAGCCGAGGTAAATAGGGAAATAAATAATTGTTGCACAGATTTTCGGGCAATATTTGAGGGAACGAGTTGTTTAGTTTAGGCAGGCGCTGGGCTACGCTGGGCTAGAAGGTACGCAAATAGTCGTAAATTCGGGCCGTTTTTGCTTGTATTTAGGTTTCAGGGGAACTAGGGCCAGGCCATTAGCCAGTTTATAGCCCATCGTTTGCTTTTTAGAGACACAAACAGATGCTTGCTCTGGTTTCATTTACAACATGTGGAGTGGACAGCAGATGCCTCGATCTATCACTCTCCTCCTCTTTCTTCTCTGTGGCGACTCCCACTGCAGTTGAGCAAGAGCTTAAAAGTGGAGCACACATTGACTGTCTATGTGAACTTGAAATGATTGTGCAATAGACTCCAGGGTATCAAATATAAAAAACATCAACTGGCTGACACATGCTTGACATCATTTAACATGGGTGGCCACTTGGGTGCTTCGCCGGTCCCCAAAGAGCCCGCAGCGCTTAATACGCAGTGCACTTTATATCAATTTCAATTGCCCACTTACCACGCCCACTGGTATAACCAGGCCTATGATGTACAGCATCCAGTTGCGCACAGTGGACTCCTTGAAGGGATGCTTCAGCGATTCATCGTCACAGAAGAAGCCGCGCTTGTACGGATCCCCAAACAGAAAGAACCAAAGTATGGGCAAGCCAACTGCAAAATAGAAAAGAACAGGGAATTAGAGAAAGCAGTTGATAAAGTAAATGGTAGTTCCAAAAGTATTCTCCACAGTCGCTTGTCAGAGAACATAAGCCGCCATGATTTATCAATATGCATTTAGTAGGTCATTGGGACTTGGGCATTATCAAGGGGCTCCCTCTCCGGGTTTCGGTGTGCCTGACACTGTTGACTTACGATATGTCTAAGCTATTGATAAGATTACCAATCGGCGGCGTTGTGAAGGGAGACATCAAGACGACATCGACGACCCGCCCTAAAGCAACTATTTTTGTCTGCAACAGCTGCAAGCAGGGGGACTTTCGGGATAGTTGAGGGGCTCCGGGTGCTCCGAAAGGGGCTTAGAACAACTCGTGTCGGACCTTTCAGCAAGCTACACAACTGCTGCAGACACGCGCTCTTTTAATTAAACATGCAGCACCATTGACAAGTAGGAAGCACTGTAGTCGGGTTTAACTGACTGCAGAGTGAATAAGGAAGGAATTAAAAAAGAAGTAACTGTAGAATATATAGATCTAGCTGAATGTAGACCTGGTCTGGAGTGATATCATCCGAAAACTTGCTAATCACAAGATCTCCCCAGGGGGAAGTATCGAAGTTTGCTCTCAGCAACGCTACGCTCGAGTGTACAGTGCAGACTCGCTTAGACGACCCTGAGCGAGTATATTAAATAATTATGCAGCACCATTAATAATAACTAGCAGGCATACAAATTGCTTTCGCCTGGACAAGTGGTCACAGTTTGATTGATTGACTGATCAAGCCATCCATCAAAGGTCCAACGATCGCAAGTGTCAGCGACACTTGAAATATGTTTGTTTTTCTTGATTACAGCGAGAGATCTGCCAGCTACGCGACACGGCGCGTGAGGACGTATATCTAATTAAAATTAGATTAAGTGCAGGCCAGAGAGGTTGTTGTAGCTAGAGCACTAGCTGCCACAGTTGATGCCAAGTCAACGGATGGCTAATTGCCATTGCAATTGTGCGTATTACCTGCGTGAAAGATGCTCAGCGATGCGGTGCCCATTAGGCGCACTGCGAGGGTTGCCTAATGCGTGTAACAGCGGACCAGAAAGACTATTTGGAATGGCTATTTATAGATGCAAATGGCCATTGGCTAGATGTAGACGGCGTCGACTACTTGATGGCGCCGAAAGACATGTAAACTGGGAGCGACACGATGTTCTTTATGCAGTTTTATACTCGCTCCAGTAGGCCACACGGGCATATTGGCAGCTAAGTCGGAGCTAAAGACTTCACATATGGCTTTGTGATATTCTCTTTGTGTCGCACTTAAAAATTGCTATATTCATTGTTACAGTATTGTTAATATTACTTGTATACGCTCACGAGGCGCGTGACAAATCGCAAACTTCCATATCTTTTGAGACTTGGAATTTGGTATATAATTGTGCAGTCATATATATATATATATATATCTATATATATATATGTCTAGAGAGGGAAAATAGTTTATCTCGCACAGTTTTGAAGCTGGAGCTCAATCTCAAGCTGCAGCTAGAATGAAAAAATGTTGCAGCTGAGTCACTGTTGCCTTGCCTTTAACAATATTTTGAATTTCCTTATAATTTTGCTTTGATATTAAGTCTAACAATTAAGCACTTCGAAATTTGTCTCCATTCTTTCCCATAGTTCTATATTAGCATGCGAAGCGAGGGCAGTTTAATGAGTGAGCCACGCTTAGCAGCAGTGCAAGCTGAGCACATCGGAAGTACTCGAATACACTCAACTATTTATAGAACTTTTTATAGCAGGAGTACTTGAGTTGGCGTCGATTGCCCGCAGAGTCAGACATAGGAGCAGAGTGCAAAAAGCAGGATTATGGATTTTTAGCCACAGTCAGTCACTGTGAAAGGCACATGAATAGCTGGCGACAAAGGTAGGACCCTAAAAAGAAAGTGAGGCAAATGTGAGCGCAGCTGCATTCGAGGGGAACAGGTTCGATCTTTGTCTTTGGGAGTGACTTAACATTGGATGCTGGGAAACTGATGCTGGGCTGCAGCCATTGTTCCCAGATTAGAGTCGTGTTGCAGCAGAGCAAGTGACCTTTGTATGCGGGCGGCTTATCCCAGCCCAAACAGTAGCCACTATCTGGGGTATCTAGCGCATCTATAGATATGGATTTTTATGTCTTTCGTCTCGAAGTATAGAAAGGGAAAAGTACAATTTTCAGTTAAATGGAACAGAGAGAACTCTGTATGGAAGCATAACTAAGTAGATTGAATTTATGTTTTTGCTGCCCTTTGTTTTTTTTTTTTTTTTTTGATGAGAGATTCTCATTCGAAATGGTGGAACATGGGCGGAAGTGGTTCGTTTAGAGGCAAATCTGTCGCACTTTGATTTAAATTTTATAGAAAGTGCTTTGCGTTCATTTGGTGTCAAGTCCATTTCAATAATGCCCCTCAGCCACACACACACACCCACATACACACATACACACACTCACACCCACAGACAAAACAATTTGTTTGTTAAACAAAGAGGTAAACGCTCTAGAAACTATAAAGGGAGGGGGGTGGTAAATATTAACCTCATCCACCTCCAGATATGATTCAAACGAAGCCGCAGCTGCCACCGACGTACGCCACATCTGAGTCTCAACTTATCTGTGCAGTTGCCCACAGATACTTTTGTGTCTTTGGATGCTGTCGCTCTCTCTCTGTCTAGGCGCGTACACAAACACTTTGTGGCCCACACAAACATTGGGCGGCACTTCATAAAGGCTGCCGCTGCTTAACGTGCAACACAAAGAGCTGCAACTATTTCGAACTGGGAATTACGAAAGCTGAAACATAGAACTCTTCTCTGGCAAAGATTCTACTATCAGTGCTGTTCATTTAGCACTTTTCCAGCCAGCCAAGAGACAAATATTTGACCATATTTTAGGCATTTTCTAATGAAAGCGAAAACCAAATCTTATCTCATCTGGCGGCAGCTAATGAAGACAATAACTGTCTGGTTGCTCAATTCTAATAGCATTAATTAAACAAGACGGAAGTTTAATTAAAGACAATTAATACCAAAGATTTGGACTCTTAACCTCTAGCCAGCCTCGCTGACTCGCTGCAGACTCCAGACTCCAGACTCCAGACACCCGACGTCAGTCTCAGTCTCCAGCATAAGCTCTAAGGATGACTGACAGCTCTCATTGATCGATCAGCGAAGGACAAAAGCAAAGCAAAAAAAATATTCATTTGCGAATTTCGGAGTATAAGAGTTTGAGAATATACGAAGAGTCGATTATATAAATTTGAGAGTATAAGAGTTTAAGAGTAAATACGCTTAAGAAGCAGTCTCGACTTGACCACTCTTAATTGCTTTTATATACACATCGGACACAGACACAGACCTCGACTGAGAAACGCATTCAGGCATCTAAAGTATAGGGCAACATCTTTGGTAATTTCGGGCTGCAGTACGCCACATCAGTTGCAGGGACAATGCAGTGAGATCGCCAAAGCGAGGGCGACTGCGACACATGAATTGCAATGTGCAGTGCACATGCAGCTGAGTACCAGGAATTCCCAGAGAGATGCAACAAAGGTGTCGCTCAGGTAGGGGCCAGACACCTTTGTCATGACAGGTTTGAAATATTACCAATAGCTCAAAATCAGAAAGAGACTGATGAGGCACAGATAATTACATATGCTTTGAATGCCTCACTAACTGTAGCAACTGACAGAATAGAAAAGGTTTACTCGACATCAAAGATATCCTACAGCTAATAAATGGGGATTAAATACACGATTACAATGGAACTTAGGTTTAATTCGCCTATAGGAAGTGTTTCTGTGTCGTTCACAAACTGAAAATAGAGGAATGATAGATAGATACCCTGTAATCAATTAGCTAGTTGCTCAGAATATGATTGTGCTTCGATTCTTTATAACTTTCGCATTGCTATTAAAGATTTGAAACACATTAAAGATACCCTACAGTCAGTAAGAACAATACTCTTCAATTAGAACTATTTTTTGTTTCCAGGGTATAAGCACGCCGATCATCGTTTTCTTTTGGCAGCTGTCTCGCCTTCGTACGTGTTTGTTATTTTGTTATTGTGGCTTTTGGCTGGAAAGTAAACAATAATATTAAGGGAAAGAAGAAGAGCGAGATTGCATCCATTGGCCATGACAATAAAGCAAATGCGTAGCATAAATATTTTTCTTTCTACTTAGTTTTTCGTTTGAACATAGGGAATATCACTCCAGCCCCTCCTCGGCACAATAAATTATTGGAGTGCGTACGCACTTTTTTCTTTTTCTTTTTCTTTTAATTTTTCTTTCTCTTTTATGAGTTTAATGACTCCACCAAAATACAAGTCGAGGGGGAGTTTTCCCAATTGGTTGTGCTGCAGCTCGTTCGCATTCAATTAACGTCAAACAGAGACGCTCGACGTTTATTTTGAGTCCAATTTTGGGATTGTTAAGGTATGTTGAAGACCCAACCACAATAGCTGAAGTGGAGGCACGCACTCAGCCTCTGCTCGGCGTATCACTCTATCAGCGCCTTCTGTGTCAAAACTAATTTACGTTCAAATTAGTTGGCGACAGACGAAAACGTCTAACAGATTCGACAGCCACTCAAGTTAAAGTCTCTTAATATAGCTCTTAAAAGTTGCTCTCTTACTAAAAAATACACAATTATCTGATTGGAGTGAATATTTAATTGGAACTTATAAGATGTTGAAGCTGTCTCTTAAAAGCTGTTCTCTTTCTGAAAGTTTACAGTATATCTGATTTATGTTATGTTAAGCTAATTGGAATTTATTTGTTGCAAGCTGTTCGGTGCCTAAAAGGTCACACACAAATCGAATCCGAATGTATTAGAATTTGTATAAAAACCAATTAGAATTTATTTGTGGATGGATAACTTTCGGTGTTTTTACATATTTGATTAAGTGTGCAGCTGTTAAAAGTTTTTTCGTCTTATTCATGGATTCCAATGGGGCTTTTACTTTCGATAAGGGACTATAAATGGAAACGATTTGATTATTTGATTATGTTGAAATATTGAAAATTATTTTTACTTTTTATTGCCTTTTATGGATAAGATTACTTAAGTGTCATGAGTAAATACCCCTATTCTGAGCACAGATAATGTTTCAAACTCTATAAACTTGGCTATATCTTAAATTAATTTCCTTTTTTATTGCCAAAACTTAAGATAGATAAGCGAAATCTTATTCAGACAAAGCTGATTCATCAAGGATTAATGTCCGGTTATATATAGACACTTTTGAGGGTTCAACACGTCTTGCAGCACCTTTTGGCATAAACGAATGAGTCAGCCTCAGTTATCTGAGCTACCTGCTGCCAATCTACAGTTATTTATGTTCAGATGTGTGTAGGAGCCCCTTTTTAAGACATTGCAGTATTCTGTGAATCACATATGTCAACTGTTCAAATAAGTAAGTAGCACAGGGAAGCTGTAAATACTTGAGTATTTATGTTAGAAACAAACAAACACAAGGTGTTCCACCTAGTTGCCAATTGGAAAAACATTTAAAGCCCGGTTGAATGAGTCATGTAGATTAAGAGAGAGGGAGAGAGCGGGTGCAAAAGAGAGTCTGGGCACTAAACAATCAAAGACGCACTTCGAATAGCCAACGGGTTTTACGGTAATACAATAAATATTATGAATTGCTTAGTCGAAACACGTTTTTTAGTCAACGACTGCTGATAAAGACTAAAATATAATATTGCTGATTGTGAAGCACACACACATGTGAAGACTCCCCCATATAGTTGGCAGCATGTACCGTTTTTTTGGTGACTTTATTTTGCATGCAAATGTTGACAAAAGGCGTAGCATAAGGGAAGCAGTGTCAGCTAAACGAATAAAAATAGCTATAATTGAGTTCTGTGACTTGATTAGCGGGCGATTTGAATGCTTTTTATTTAAACACTTAAATTGTGGTTGCGGTAAATACGAAAATATTATGCCAAACAACTTACAATAAATGTTTAGCTGTTCCGAAAGAGCGCAACAGCTTGTAGTTCTCTGAGAGAGAAAGCTCTGTTGAGCAAGGGCAACTCAGCGAAGCGCGCACGCACACATCTAAAATGCCGAAAATTACATAAAAAGAAATATACAAAACAAACATTGCGACACACGAGAAGACGGCAAATGCATACATATGCATGAGCGCGCACACACACGCACACGAGTGCACGCACAGATTCGGATTTACGTATATGCATATGGTAGTATGGTTGCCGCGTGCGAAATTACGAGAGGCAAACACTTACCGCAGAGCAAAATCAAAATATCGAGGCCCACACGGCATAAAATTCGTTTGTTTGTGTCCATATTTTTTGTGTGCTGCTGTTGTTGTTGTGTGTGATTGCTGTTGCTGTTGTTGTTGTTGTTATTTACACCTTGCAATCGCTCCTCAATAATGGCGTTACTGTCGTTGTTGGCAGTCAGCGCTGTCGTCTGTGCAGGTGGAGAAATGCCAATGTTGATGACGTGTTTGTTGTAGTTGCTGCTGGCCACGTTAGCGACTAAGCCTGCACTCAATTGACTTTCCGGCCGACGCAGCGGTGTTGTCTCGCTCGCTGACGATTCGTTACTCATTTCGAAATCGATTGGGTGCTTTCGGTTAACTTAAAAATGTTGCTGACAAAAGCTTAGCAGAGCTTTGCTCTCTCACTCTCTCTCTCTCACTGTCTTGACAATGAACTTGGGCTTTACTGACGGCGCAGGCAGCTGCTTGTGACGTTCAGGTAAATTTCTGAAAGAGCGTTAAAAAGATCAGAATTAATAAAGGAAATTTCGCTGTTACACAGGGCACATTTATTAAGTTTGCCTGTATGAGTAATGTCTGCGGAAGCCCCTAAGATTAAGAAATGCAGCCCGTGACAACTTCATTTCGGAGTTATCATGCTGTGATTCATTGCAGCTATGATTCGCATATCGAAATTCAACAGGTATTTGGGTATTTTTTAACCTCGATTCAAGTTTTTGTTGTATTGAAACTAAATTCCAACTTAGATAAAATCTGTTGCTAATCAGCCAACGACTCCAGGTTTGTGAGATTTATAAGCTCAAAGCATACAGGTGTTTCATATCAACTTCGTTGCTTCTTAGATTTCAATGTCGAACGCGAATTGCTTATATCAGCCGCACAGACGTATTATTTTATTATTGTTATTTACACGGCAAAAAAACAAAAAACAAATAAGTACAACGACCGCACATGGATGAACTGGACACCTGGACACTTGGACACATGGACAGGGGGACAGCCTGTAGAGCTGTCGGTGTCGTCTTGCGGTCTTCTTACGATGACAGCGTCGTCAGTCTGTCTGCGAGCTGCATCTACTACCCATCTAGGTAGACGGGGCGGACGGAAGGGGAGGGCAGGGCTCCAATAATCAGTGTGAAATTGAATGCCTCGACTTCCGGACAGTTTGCTGACGTTTATTCATGTTTGGTTGCCACTTTTTGGATTTTTATTTTTGTTAGCGCCACAAAGTCATAAATTCGAGCTCATATACATGTGTATACATTATATTTAATATGCAATTTGCATTTACTCTTATGATTATGTTTTTTTGTTAATTTCAATATGCCATTCGTTGCGCTCAACGGGCAACAGATGGCGCTGGCTGACCTTATTTCGCAGCAGGCGCGACATTCGTCTCCAACAGGCCGGTGGCGGGGCAGGAATGGTGTGCAAGGCTGCCTCAGCTGGTGGTCATTGCCCGTCCATAAAAATAAAAAACGATTAACCCCAGCATCAAGAAATATGCCTTAAGAATTCAATAGTCAGCTGCATTCAGAGAGGGAATTTTTTGTTTTTTGTGCCTCGGTGCGATAAAGGTTAATAACACATGTCTAGGTTTATCTATTTATAAGTTGATTAAGCCACAGTTACAATTTTAAGCAACGTAATCGGAGCCACAAACTTTGTTGCTAAAGACATTTTCTAAGTATGGGAAATTAACTAGTTCGAAGCAAACTTTGTTTATAAACATTTGCTAAGAAAAAAATGGTCCTTTTGGCAGGGATATTACTGATTGACATTAAGTTAGGGAAATTAACTGGTTGCTGAAGGAAATTACTCTGCATTGGCAGCTGAAGCTTGTTTTGCTATCTATAAATAGTTCTTGGCTGTTGGGAAGCCTAGCGAATCATTGACTCGATCTCTGTTGGCCATATTTGAAGCTGACAACTGCAGATCCCCAATCGAATGCGGCAGCTCGTGGAATTCTCTATGCTGCTCTTTACTCTCCACTCTTCACTCTCTGTTCTGGCTGTCTTTTGTTTGACGTTGGCCACTGCCACTAGTTGCTAAGGATTGTTGTTCCAGCTACAGGTTCTCATTGCAGTTAAGGCTGCTTATTACAACGCCCTTTTTTACGTCCGAGTAAGTTAACGAAATTGCATAAAATTACAGAGATTCTATTTGCACAGACTCTGGCCACAATCTTGGCCAATAAGCGCTGCACGACTCACTGAGCACAGAGTGCTGATCGCTGCTCATTACGATCGAAAACAGCTACAGTGAACTACAGTGAAATCCCTGTTGAGATGCATAAGATATTGAAATCTTTCATAATTTATTGAACAACCTTCGCCCGTGTTCATTTTTACTCCTCTTTCTTATCAGCTCCAGTTGCGTTTGCTGTTCACTATAATCTCGTTAAGTAAATAATTATTTGCATTTTGGCCAACTGCCAATACGACGCGAGTCGGCTGTCACCGATTGCCCAATACTCTATACACAGAACTAAATGTAATCCAAAGATAAATGAGGAGAGACGAATAAGGCACAAAGCCAATATGCCCACTCGCACTATCTGAACGGGTATAAATACATAAACAGAGAAGGTGACGGGCTTGCTGTTTCATAAAAATCGATCAAATTATTAAATTCATCATGAAACGCAATTCAGACTGGCCGCCGTTGCTGATTAGGCGAGCCCACCTGCCCGCACCATACACCTGAGCAAATGATAAGCAGTACGCAGTCATTAAACACAGCTCGACACTAACTGCACTCTATTTGGATCTTAAACATTGACTCCTATGAGTTGACCTTGGCCCCCAGCTGGCCCCAAGTGAAAATCGATTTTCGCATCGATGTGAGGGAAACATATATCAGAAGTTGATACGGCCCCATACGAATACGAATGGATATTTGCGGGAATTGTTTGCCAATTTGTGCTGGCTTCATTCATTACACAATGCCTTTGAACACCTTTAAACATCTTTGTTTATAAATTGGCTTTAATTTTTTTGGCTTGTTTTGTTTACTTTGGCATTAAAATATATGGGAAGCTCACTTTCCTGTTTTCAATGCTATTTAAATTGAATTCGAGGAGAGATAAAAATAAAAGTAAATTAAAATTATAATCTTTATTAATTGAACTCACGCACACACACAAATATAAATAAAAATAGATATTTTTACCTTTTTGCCAATTGAATTGAATTTTCGCCTGTGGAAAGCAGCTGGGAAAATTTCTGAGCTTGCTGCTTTGCTTCTAGCGTCAGGTAACAGTTATTTATTCATGATTGTTATGCATAAACAAATTACGAAAGAAAGCACAAAAAAATTTCTCGCAACAGATTTTCCTATAGAGTAGTAGACGGAACTGGACCGAGCCGAACCGACCGAACACATCCGCGGCATAAATTGAACTAAAACACTATGAAGGGAGAGACAGCAAACGTGCCTTGTGTTTGTCACACGCACCGACACAGGCAGATAATGGATGAGAGCGAGAGAATTCGTTCTATGCTCTCATCGAGTTTTGTGAGAATGACACGGAATGTGCGCACTCGCATTGGCCAGGTGAGGCAAAGGCATATTCTAAGCTTAGATAAGATATATGTTGTATGTTTGGAAATCAATGGAATTTCATAAAAATAATAATAGTAATGAGGTCACGATACCAGCAGCATAATTAATAACTCGACAGATAGCCGATGTTTTAAATAAATTCCCATTTAGCAAGTTATTTCTATTTCGAAAGAGAGAGCGCCAGCAGTGCCGAATGCTAAGGATTTGTATATCTGTGCAAATTGTTTAGTCTAAAGCACTGTAGTCTTTTTCGGTTCATCTTCACATCTCAAGCTCAAATTGACTATTCGCTCGAAAGAGAGAGCGCTTGCTGCTCTCTTTGGCACTCTCAGAGCAGCTGATATCGTTTTAAAGGTGTTTGAACAATGCGCCATTGGCGTTGGTGGTGGGTTGCTTCGCTGCGCGCTCAGTTCTCTGGGCATTGTCGAGCGCTGCGGTCGCTTATTTTTCTCGATCGCTTCAGTTAAATCTTTGTCTTTGCATTCTTTGCGTTTTCGTCGCTGACGGCGCTGCGCATGCGAAAGAATAACGCGCAAGTAGTAAACTAAAATAACGGAATATAAGAAACAACAATAATAATTATGGCTATTTAAGCAACCTCGACGAAGTGCGAATTCAAGTGCAAATAATTTTAAAATGAAGAAAAAAATAACTTAAAAAGTTGTCCATGTTTTGTGCGTTGCCAGCAGAATTGAAGCAACATTTCGCAATTTCCGAGTGAAACGGCTCTTCTGACCGACAAAAAAGTCAGATTTTTTGTTTATTTTACATTATTGATCGGCGGGTTTCTCATTTACGCAACGCCGACGCTTATCACCAAGCCAAGCCAGAAAGGCAACGTTCCTGCCTTTCTCAATAGCCAAATCAGCCAAAGTAAATAGCATTCGAAGCGAGTCCATTAGCGTATGCCCAAATATTTGAGGCTCTCCTTCTCGCTGTGCTGATAACGATGCCCACACACATTGCCAGCAAGGTGCACTAGAGCCACACCCACACAATGAGCAGCCTTCGGCCCGCTAGTGTCTGCGATACGACGCCGCTGCAGCGTTTTGAGAGCCAGAGCAGCAGCGGCGAGGAGCCGTCCTCGCCAACAGCGGCGAGCATTGTAGCAGCCGCCGCCGCCGCTGCCGCCGCCGCTTCAGCTGCGTCCACTTCCAATTCTCACCAACTCCAACTCCAGCTTCAACACCAACACCCACTGCAGCAACAGGAGCAGCTCCACAACAACAATAATAATATTAACGACAATGTAAAAGTTGATTTGCAGCTGCCACCGTTTGTGGGGGTTACAGCGGACGCAATGCGTCTAGCGAATGGACATTCAGCAAATGGCGCCAAGCAGCGCCGCCGTGGAACAGCTCAAATCTTTGGACGCGTTGCAGTGGACGTGAGTCTGCTTTTCTGCCGTGAGTATTGATTCCAAGTTTATTTGGCATGAAATACAGAACAGACTTCGAAATCTATATATACGCGAGGGTGGATAGAAGATAATTAAATAGAAAACTACAAATTTATTTACTACTGATAACATTGCTACAATTCAAATTGTACTGTTATCTTTACTATTCTGCTACTATTAGTCTACTACTATTCAACTCTAAGACTCAACAACTAGTACTACCTTTCTATTACTGGCATGCTAATACTACCATGTTTATACTCATATTTTACATTGGCTTCTGATATTAATTTGGTTCTACTTTAATGTTTTTACTTCTGTTCTCCTATAATTACTATTATTTTGCTACTACTACTCCTGCTGTTCTACCACTTTGCTAATATTCTACTACTATTGTGGTATTACTACTACTACAATTAACCTACTACTACTATTCTATTTTTACTACTACTTTGATAGTAGTTCACCTTCTACGTTTCACTTACTAATTTTCTACTGCTACTACACTCCTAGTACTACTAGTATTACCACTCTTCTACTACTATTAGTACTACTGCCACTAGTTGAGTACAACTATTTCAATTAGTTTACTGCATTTATTTAAACTGTGTGTTTATACCTTGATTTAGGTGGTGTGAGATCGAACATTAACTTTGAGAATATATTTATGTATAAACTTATATAGCATTGCTAGAATTGCCAGACTTCTCTTCATTTCTTCTACTACTTTTACGATGTGCTATATCACATTTTGTACCAATTGATCTCTGGCACTGCATGCGTCCATTTAAAGGTCCCGCTCCGGTTCTACTGTCTGCATAGAGCATGAGAGTGAAGTATGTGCCATATCAGAGTTTTAGCTGTCGTCCAGCTATGCTTTATCTGTTCCCCTCTCTGGTCACCTCTTGGCGCCTTCTGTGCCATCATTGTTATCGGAGACCCCGAGCGAGCATCATACGCTTAGGTTGTTATTCATTTAATTAATAATAACACTAGGAATGCTATTTTTTTTTAATAAATAAGCATCTGTGCTGTTGGGGGCCCTCCAACAGATGCCCAATGACGGACCAAATATATGAGAATTCGCTCATCGAGTGTTGTCTGATTTATATTTGACTTAATTTACGCAAATGTTTTTTCTGGGGTGAATTTATTGTACAAAGTGCTGTGAAAATACCAACAGCAACAACAACAATGAAATGAAAACATCATCATTCATCAGCTTGATTTCGAATTGGAACTGTGTGGCACTTGGCTCTGTTTGTTTACAGAGCTCTAATTTGGGCGCGATCAGCAGACCTTGCACCGATGAGCTAGTGCGTCAGCTAGAATCCGAAACCGCATGGCAATGATGATGATGATGATAATGATAATGATAATGATGATGATAATGATGATGATGATGATGATCTAGACCGCCCTTGACAGACAACTTGGCTTAAAGTCTACACTCTTATTGCACTATAGAAATCTGTCTTCATATATATATCTACAGCAATGCTGATAATGATAATAAGAATTGATAATATTAATAATAATTATTATTATTTTGCTTATTTTAACCTATTAAAGTTGGCTTCACCATGTTCGGCTTATCGTTGTACGTTGAGCCGCATAAGCGTGGTTTCTTCTGCAACGATCTCTCTTTGAGGCATCCTTATAAGGAATCCACCATACGTAGTTGGATGCTGTATCTGATGTGTGTATTGCTGCCCGTTGCTATGGTAAATTTTCGCTAAATCAAAGTGGAAATTCTCAATTTTAATCATTGCACATGGCACAGATTTTGCTGGTTGAATTTTATAGGGCGCAGGACTGGTCGAGGCATCATAATCAGCCGGGCAGTGGCTACTATTTGTGCCACATGGAGCTCCCACACTGGGCGGTGGACAGCTATCGTATGATTAGCACCTTGTTTTTTGGTCTGGCAGTCGAGCAGATGACAACGGACTTGGCCAAATATACCATTGGACGATTGCGACCTCATTTCTTTACCGTAAGAAGCAGAAGACAAAGACTTGCTAAGGCAAGTCTAATCACAATTCTTTCATTTCAGCTCTGTAAGCCTATGCTACTCGATGGGACGACTTGCGCCGATTACGTCAATGAAGGCCGCTACATTGAGGAGTACACTTGCACGGCTAAAGATATAAGTGTGAAGCAATTCAAGAATATGCATCTCTCTTTTCCTAGTGGCCATTCAAGCTTTGTATTCTTCTCCATGATCTACTTGGCGGTGCGTAAAAAATACATATATACATATACATATAGATGTACATAAGCATATACATATACACAGCACACTCATAATGGTGCAATATGTATATATTCACTTCTTATGTATTCATTTAGGCTTAGAAGAATCGAGATGGCCTCTCGCTATCTTAGCTACTCACACATAATTGCTCTCTCAAATGTTTGTATGTACACACGTATGTATATTGAAATGAATCTTTGCATACTTATGCAATTATTACTCTCGCACTCTCTTTTCTATTTATTTTCTGCTGAAAGTGAATATTGCAATAGAGTAAAAGGATTTGCTTGCCTAATGGAATATGACAAGCCTTAGGTTAAGCGCAAGCGAGCGAGATGACCTCTTGCTATCCTAATTACTCTTATATAATTACTCTTATAAAATTGCGCTATTTTTAAACGCAGCTGTGCATATTCCAAAGCAATTCCTACACTCTCTCTCTCTCTATCTCTCTCTTCTACCCTATTTGTTTTCTGCTGAGAGTGAATATATTGTAAAACAGTTAAATGGCTTGCCAAGCTCATTTAAAAGCACACACATATACAATTGATTGTTTTGTAATTGAAATCCTTTTTGTTCGTAGATCTATTTGCAGCGTCGCGTGAACTGCTCGCGCCTTCGAATGCTGCGACACCTGTTGCAATTCCTCTTGGTAATGTTCGCCTGGTATACGGCTCTGACGCGTGTCTCCGACTACAAACACCATTGGTCAGATGTCTTAGCTGGCAGCGCGATAGGCATTGTCTATGCTTTTCTAGTGGTAAGTTATAGCTCACTCTTTCTCTCTATCTCTCATATACATATATATATTAATTCGATATTTTCTTTGCTGCAGACATCGAATTTTTGGTAACCTGACAAAATCGAACCGAGTTCAAACCCCAATCAATTGGCTTTTAAATTTTACGTTCATGGATTGCCTTCGTCTCTACGTATGTGTGCAACTCTATTTATAACTGTTTCTGCGAATATGGTGCATATATATGGATATACATATTTATATATACATTTATATATGCTTATATATGTGTGTACTACTTATGTACAATGTACATCGTCTCTATTCCAATGTGTAGGTGTGTTTTATCCATATTTTTACTTAATAAAATTTTATGTGTATGTCAAAAAACGAATTGTCTTTGATTTGAAAGGAAAATATTATGGAGCGAGTTTCCTTAATAACAGGGCTCAATCGTAGTTGCAAGGGTTGCAAGAGTTGAATGTGCGGAAAATGAGGCTACTGAAATAAAGAAGTAAGGGTGCTCTGATTGGGAATGCTCGACTAGCAATTATTTCATACTGCATATGGAATGCCTGCTACATACATTTGGAGAACTCATCGTACCCCCCTTCTGAATGCTTACCTCTTACGACAAACCTGAGACAGAGGCTGTGTTGGTATTCAAATAGCCGCCATCGACAAGACATCGCTGTACAGGAGCACTACGGACAGTAGACAGTGGTCAGAAAACATTTTGCAATTGCCGTTAGCTGAATGATTGAAGTTGACTTTAATTGCTGTTAGCGCCAGATAAAGAATTGAGTTATGTGCAGACCGGTAGACAGTCAGTCAGGCAGCCAGGTAGCCAGGTTGCCAGGCAGCCAGGTTAACAATTACCATTGGCCAATTGGCTGGGTTCGTGGCCAGCTGCAATTAGCATATTAATCGAATTTACTGCCATTCGCGCACACTCGACACGCGCTCAACGAGATGCAGATGGAGAGGGGCCGAGGAGAAGAGGCGCTGGCAGCCGAACTGAGACGAGATGGGCCCAGACAGACGTCTTGTTTGATAGCCTCTGCTATCAGCACTTAGCCAAAAGCTGTGAGATTGATGCGCCTGTAAAATGTCAATGAAATGGTTTTCTAATGCCCGATCGCTAGCTGAAAACGGGTATATTTGGTTTCCACCTTTTCAAATGACGAAATTGTGTGTCCTCAATTGGGGTTAATATATCTCAGCATATGTAAATGGTACCACTTAAGGCCCTATTTTACTCAGGGACTTGTGCTGTTTCTCTTAACGTCTGCCCGAAGTACGTCTCTGTGTTTGGATTGAGTTCCTTTATCCTAGACGCTCAAAATGTCAGTCTGTGAGGACCTACTGAGGCTCCAGAGTTGTCATATGTTGTGTATACTGGGACATACCCCGCTGGTCAATGAAGTTCCCTATGTGACAGCTTTTTCAACTTTTTCAGATCTTCTTTGTAGTTCGATCCACTGATCTATAAGCAATATAATCAGCTCATTGAAGCGAGGTGAGTTTAATGTGGCTCTTACACAGTGAGCGGGTATCGCTGCCGTCCCTAGCATCCGACTTCAACTTCTTTTTGTTGTCATCGAGTTGGGTCTTCAAGCTCTCCCCTTCGACATTTGATGCATTCGAGCGATTGACTGGAAGGCCTGTTCCGAATGGCAATTAACACAATTTTTTATATCCATTTTATCGTCAAGAACTACATTGCTCTTTCCTCCATTTCCACAGTTTTCCACATTTCACTGAGGCGCTTTTCAATTGGACTTTCGTGTTGCTTCAATTGCTTCAAGTTTTATGTCGAAATCTTTGGACGCTATCAGCTCTAAAGCCGAATCGTGTTCAAGAAGCCAGCTGCAGAGTGAGTGAGGGAGAGAGAGGAGGCTAGAGGGAGAGAGAGAGGAATAGAGAAGAAAACTTTTTGAATATGACAAAATGCCAGAGGGCGTGAAGGCTGCGTCCATTTGCTGCTCCCAGTGGGGTGTTAAATTGACTGGCAATTTCCATTCAGTTTCGAGCGGAACATTAATTTTACCATGAAAATTACAGATTGCAAAGGTAACAACAATAACAATAACACCAGCATCTACTCTTGTTTATAGCGAGAAGTGTGCAAAATTACATTAGGGTAGAATTTCCCATTCATAATAATCGTAGTGCAATGGGTATAATTTCCGCTCAGCGGGGTGGCTTAGCATGATCAGCTCGATCAGCCCTTTTACTAAACATGGATTCAATTATTTGCTACATTTTAATTACCTCATTGATGTACATCTTAGATGTAAATGTAAGATGTAGAGGTAAAATGTAGATGTCAAATGTAGATGCAATAAGATTGAGATCTTAGATCTTAGTACTTTTATTTTAGATTCTACATGTTAGATCCTACAGTTCAGATGTCAGATTTTAGATTTTTGATCTTAGGTTTTAGACCTAATTTTAAGATCCAATTTTTAGTTATAATTTGTAGTCTCCGATTTAAGATTTAATTTTTAGATCTTTTATTTTTAGGTCAAATATATTTTAGATCTTACATTTTAGATTTAGACTTCAGATCCCTGAGTTTAGTACTTATATTTTAGATCTCAGACTGTAGATCTAAGCTTAAAAATAGAGCTTAAAGTTTAGATTTTCAGTTTTATAAGTTATTGATTGTCGATTATCTTATTAATCTAAAGTTCCCTCTTTCAGAGGCAGGGAGTTTTCTGGTAAGGGTATTTCGTATTCATGTATCCCAGCATATATTGCTTTGCTGCCGCTAGGCAAGGCCACAACTTATGCTAGAGCCATGTCCATTGCGAAAAGCGCTAAATTTTTACCACGTGCAAGAACGAAACGAATGGAAAATCTGCACAGTCATAAGATCGTTAAGGCAAAACGTGGGCCAGCTCTGCGTGGGTTTTCATTTTCTCTCCTTCTATACTCTGCACACATTGCAATGTGATCGGGGTATATTACTACTTTGTAACGCGTCAGAAGAAGGCTAGCTTGCTGTCATATATTATCAGTATCGACAGCTGAGTCCAGATATCTCTGATTCTATTATTATAATATTTTTCTTCATTTATTATCAATTTCTTAGGCCAATTACTTAAAATCGATAAGTATCTATATTTCGACTTGGGTTTTTCTGCATAACACGAGGACTATAAATTCTGACGTTTTCTGTAACTCTCCTCAATTCCCTAAGAAATGAGCTCTGTACAAGTTCCAGGGTATTTCGTAGTCGTGCAGGCTCTATTCTCTACTTGTTTAATAAGAGTCCCTGTGCTAGGCCTTTGTCTTGCACGTACTCGTCGCAACTTGTGGGCAAGCGGACGCAATAGGTGGTCGGGCAGAGCGGTCACCTCAGTCACCTCGGTTACCTCAATCACCTGATCGCATTGTCCTGCACCTAGGTGTGCTGTTCTTATTTATTGTAGTTGGACAATTAGTGGGCAGTGGTGCAATTTACGTTGGCACTAAACGCTTATAAATGAGCTCTAGACAATTTTTAGATACGCGCATAATTTATGCCCCATTTGGGCCCAGTGGCTAAGCAAGCGATCTATAAATCTTCTGGCAGAGCCCCTCAAAGATAAGGCTCGGCCCTGCCCAGGCTAAAGCGGTTTCTCAATGAAGTTTCCTGCCAGCAGCCACATAAATCTGTAGATACAGATTTAGCTTAAAGCCTGAGATAGCTACGGACTGAGATAGTTAACGCATTTGAACGGTTTCAAGCAACGCCTCGATTTGCCTTTGGTTCCTTCGAACCGGTCTGCCCTAGCTCGTTGCCATTGCGGGTTACTTTTCAATTGAATGCACTTTTCGCATGCTTCGTCGTCTTCGTCATAGTCACGTTTGGTTAACAATCGTTGTCGACTGGGAATGTGTCACATAAATAAGCAACAAACCTCCCTGGTTACCCCTTCGTCCTCCTTCAGCAACCCGTGACGCAGAGCACATAAAACACACCTCGCAGCAGGCTGCCAGCGCCTCCTTTGACACTTCTCGCCCTGCTTTCCTTCTCCCTTCCGCTTTCCTTCTCTGCTTCTTCATGTGACTCACTTTGCCCTCCTTGCGCCCCTTTCCCAGCCCAAGGTCTTAGCTCAGAAGCTGTAAATGTTCTTTGAATAGACGATCAAGCACCTTTAGCTCAATCGCTATCTTAGCTTTTCTTACAATATGACTAAGTTTATATATACATATATCAAATATCTATGTATATATATGAATGGACATCATTATGCTTTAAAAATATTATTAACAAAGTTCATTTGGAACAACAATGCAAATTGTGGGTGTGGGTGTGTGTGTGTTGTGTTGTTTGCTAAGTACGTAACATTGGAATATCAGCTCTGCGCAGGCATCAGGTATTTTCTGGTCGGACATTCCCGACTAGAGCACTCTCACTGCTGCTATATACCTTTGACTTATGCCACTTTCTCTCTCGCTCTTTGCCACTGTCAAGCTGCCAGTCTAAGACGACGTCTCTGGCGCCGATCGCATTGATGACAAACTTCCCGCTGGTTTTTCGCGATAAAAATAGAGGAGTGGAAGTATTTGCGTTGATTGTGTTTACAGATTTCGCCTGCTGCGAGCTGTGGGGGCGAGGTGCAAGAGATGAGCTTGTCTTGTCCAGCCGTAGAGACTAATCCCAGCTGAAAAGTTCATAAATTGCACATCGTATGGAACAACAGATGCATTAGCTTATGGCCAACAACATGAGTTTATATAAGTATATATAATTGCACATTTGGTTGAGTGCATGGAAATTCCTTCACGCTACATACAACAAGGCTGCAATTTGTTGAGGAGCGCAGCAGATGAGCTAAATCAGTGCGTTTTTAATTGAATAAACGCAGCAGTTATAAATGTTTACATTAAGTGTCTGCTTTGTCCCCTTTGCCCCCCTAAAAGGGGGGCTCCTGTCCTGCCCCTGTCGATCAAGTTTAATTAGCGGCAACAAGTTGAGCAACGGATGCGTTCAATTATGCCCGACATGAGCTGAAGCTGGAGTAACAGCGGCGCCATGTACACCTAACACCCCGCCAAGAGCTGAAAAAGAGACGGAGAGAGAAGGGGAAACACTTAACCTGTAGCCTGGTGTCAGAAAAATTGTCACTAGCCTGCGGGCTACACCGTTTCTTCAATATCGGTCATTGCATTTTGTGTGTGATCAATTAGCCAGGTGACCGATCAACATTTTGTAACTGGGAACGCGTGTCGCATTTGCATTTGCAATTTATGGCTCGAGAGCGTGATTCGCGTTTCCTCAATGCAGCAACGTGTGATTTATATATCAGTCATAAGCATACATACGTGCAAATATAACGCTAAAGGTGTGAAATCAATATTTGACATTGTTTCAATCAAAGATTACTACATGAATACTAAAAGCAATTGGCTCATCGGCTTGAATGAATTTATGAGATTTGAATAGCGCGCCACAATTGGCACTGTTAATGTACAGTGTTTGGTAGTAACACTCTGTTCACTGTTGACTTATGTTTTCCGTTTTAATTTACGCGCCACTCTGTTAGTCAGTTGTGAATTGACTGGATGTTAACTCAGCTTGGCACTGTTAACAAACCGCCGCTGGTCACATCTATCTACCACAGCTGTTATGCCATTCACACAAATAAGCTAATAGATAAATCCAATCGGTATCGTAATCGAAGGCACACCTGAAGTCGCGTTCGCGTTGTCATCATCGCTCCAAAAACCTCCATACACAAGATTGTGCCGTTTGAACACACGAAAACGTGTGTGTTTTTGCTTAAAATAGGCAGTAAAGTTGCTAGTGTTCTTATGTCTGCTGCGCACAGCTGTTGCGGGTGATAAAAAATAGTGCAACAAGTGGTTTTTAACTTGCTTTTAATACTACTCAATCAAAGTGCCTTACTCTCATACACACTTACACAGCGACGCGCGCACACACACAGAGACGGTTTTTTACCTGTCAGCTTCAACACATACAAGCGCATACGTAGGCAACAACAAGTTTTGAGTGAGCTGTATGCCTGGAATCCAATAAGATAATTACGCCGAAAATGCTAAGCGCATGCACATAATTTAAGAAAAGAGCTCAGTCTCTCAGTGAGTAACAAAAACAAAAACAACTGCCTAAATCCCCGACGCGAGGATTAGTATCGCGTTTTCGTATGTGATAAAGGAAGAGGAAGAAAGAGCGAGAAAGAGAGTCGTCTCTCTCTGTGTTTGTGTGTGAGTGCGATCTCCTTTACAACAACAACAACAAAAGCTCTTAACAAATTGAAACAAGTGTATTTTAAATATAGATTACAAAGTTCACTTAAGCAAATACGACATAAGCTAGGTAATTATACACATAACTCACATTTTTCACTTTTGCTTTTACATACACACATGAATATATAAGCAGACACACACACTTGCATATGTGTGCATCTCTCATTGACATTGTTTTTGCTTTTTTCTTTGCATACTATGTAAAAGTTTTTGCGCGTTTTCTCTGCCGCGTATTGCAAAAGATATATACATACATTTACACATATATACATATTTCGTATGGTATTTTCTTTTTATCATTTCTCACTGCCCTCGCTGCTCTCTTTTTTTATTGTTTTTACCTTTCTATACTTTTAACAGTCATCATCGTTTTGCACTTGTTTCTAAATTTTGCCATCTCTTTCTTACTGAAGAAATGGCAAGAGTGCTAACAGTGGGTCTAATACGAAATTTTTATCGGTCTACCCGAAGTTTCTTGTTTGTCTACCAAGCACACAACACAGCACACATACACGTATGCAATGGCTAATAAATGAATGCCGCCGCATTGGAATGCTAGTTTGCCGATGAAAATTTTTGTTTTTGTGCTGCCGTTCCTGTTCTCAATACATTTTGTATTAGGTGGCCGTTGTCAACGGGTTTGGTTATCACTGCACAGCACACACATACATACGCAAAGAGCTAATTTCAATAAACAAACTACAGACTGAGTCGCTTCGTTATTTCCGTTGCTTGTCCACCTTTTCTGTGTCAATCACCTGTTTTTCACACGCCAACGACCAAAGCATTCAACAAAAACAACTTCAGCAGAGCAACAATAAATTCGCCCTGTTCTCTTACTCCTTGTTCAGCCATTCCATAGCGGCAAAGCAAGTCAAGCTGAATTCGCCGTGTTTCCTGCCGCAACAACAGCTGTTCGTTTCAGTTTTGTTTATCTTGTAACAGTCGTTTATAGTCTAGCTAAAAGCAACACAAACTAAAAATTTTACATATTTCAGTTAAATTTGAAAACTTTAACAATTATTTTACTTGACTTAAACAAGATAATGCAAGTAATAAATAATAAATGTTAAAAAGCATGCGGAACCCCTCTGATTGTTAACATTAACATTAACATTAACATGGAATAGCGCTGTTGACCTCAGTCGTTTTTCGACATTCGTGCGCGTCACAAGGATATGCGCAAGGATAATTTCACAAAGCCACTCACATGCACACACAGTCACAAACACGTTGCAGTTAGACAAGCCACATTTACGTAGCGGCTTTTCAATTATTTAAGCCAAAAGCTGACGTGCAAGTTGAGTTTATGGCTGCAACTCAAGCCAGCCGCAGCAGATGAGATAGAGATAGAGATAAAGACAGATATACAGATAGAAATGTAAGATGAAAGAATGCAATAACATAAAGCGGACAAGTAGAAAAGTAGAAAAGTGGAAAAGTGTATTAAATAAATAAAGGCACCTGAGCCGTGGCTTTAACCTAAGTATTTAAAACATTTTGTCGTTATCTATTCCAGTTAATAGAGATTCAACAACACACACAATAATGGAGTCCATGGAATACGAGATGGCTCGCAATATGACGCTGCTGTTCTTCCTGGAGCGTTTGCTGGATAAAGGAGAGCCACGCACCGTTCACGATTTATCCTGCCAATTTGGCAACAAGGAGTTCACCAAGGAAATGCGACAAATTGCCGGCGGCAGTCAATCGGGTGAGTTGGACAGCAAATTGTACTCGCTCATGCAGTGAGAAGAGAGTATATTAGTTATGTGACAGACTGTAAAGTGGGTAACATTCATGATGACCTTCTCTATTGATAGACCTATAATGGCCATTGAAGCAAGGCTAATATTTGAGTTAATTTTACAGTCAAACAGCTGTAACCAGAAACCAGTTGAAAACTAATACTGAACATATTTGTACACCTGTATGTATGCGGGTTCAATGTCTGTTTCTTGTTGTTATTGTTTGTGTTGTTATCTCTTAAGTGCTTCACTTGTCCAAGTGCACATTTCATCAATGTCAGCTTCCAATCCAGTCGGCGCCAGTTTTGGCCTAGCAATTGAAGCTGCTCAAATTCGCATGTGAAAATCGTTTGGAGTGGAATTTACACAGCTCCAGCATATCCTGTATTAACTTATTTTTTGTAACTTTTTCAACTTACAATAGCTTATTATTTATCCAGTATTGGTAGACATGTTTCTTTATAAGGTGTGTTGTGCAATTGATATAAGAAGGGCATTAGACGAGTCAGCTTGAAATTGAAAGAGAGTTTATTTAGTAACTTTTATATTCGGGTTCAAATACCAGGCTATATTATGAATGAAATATTGTCCAGGTTTATTATATCGTTTTATTAATATTATTGTTTGACATTTTGTAAATATAACCCTCTATAAAAACAGTTATGCCCATTTCAGACATTCGGCTACTGTTGGGTATAAAACCTCGAACTAGCTTTTGTTTTTTTTCAGGGTTTTCTTTTCTGTTTTAACTCAATCGATATTACACGTGCCTTTCCTATCCAAGTTATTGTTGCTTAAGACGCGCTACGTTTTGTTTACGTCTTCAAGTCTCTATAGATAGTTAGATGAGAATACCCATTTGCACGTCATGATCGAGTATAAAAAGGAAACAGTTCAACACACACAAAAAAACATATTGAGATGTTTGTGTGCTTCAAAAATAGAAATACACAACTCTTCAGAAAAAAGTCTTATAAATAAACATCCACTGGAGGGCAGTGCACTGCACTTTCTTCGATCCATCTATTTATCTATTAAAAAAGTCTTTCCAAAAATTCATTAGCGTATTAATAGAAGCTGTCCCCAAGGTGATTTGTACAGGAAGTGGGAAGGTATTAATCAGTTTGGGCTAGGGGAGTGGCACCGTTTAGCCAAGTTAGTCCTGTTTTTTGACAACAATTTGTGTTTTGTTATTGTTTTTTATTATGGTATTTTCATAGTTGAGTTGTTGTTTACTTTGGCATGCCTTGCTAATTTTTTCTCTTACAACACATTTTATTTGTTCACACTTTGTGGTTGCATTAATTGCACTCATAAAATAAGTGCAACAAATGCAATCAGCAAATACTTATCGCACTTTAAAATACATATGTCTTTTAAACTTCAAATCGTGTTTCGCTTTGAATACAGCTATAAACTGTTTGCAAGTGCAGAACAACGCATAAGGCAAGAGCCAACAAGAAGTGGCTAAGATAATATCTACTAACCATGCGAACACATACATATAAAAAAACAACACAGACAATTTTTTTTTTTTTTTTTTTTTTTTTTTTTTTTTTTTTTTTTTTTTTTTTATTTCTTTATTTTGTTGCAGCTTATTGTCTTAGACTCTATAGCGCATTTAGCTCTAAACCTTAACTAATGGGAGGGCAGATATGCCAATTATTCTGCACTTGTAGCTACTATCTTAATTAGTTCTAATATTGTCTAGAGGATGCGATCTCTTCAGTCTTCGCCTATTGTTGTTTATAGCCAGGTTGCTTGCGAGATGGTTAGGATGCGCTGCAAGTCTGTCCGCGTATCTTGAACTGTGTCGCCCAATGAGTTCAGCAACTGTGGGAATTGCTAAATCCCTATGTAAGACTGAGTTTCTTACAAACCAGCTGGCTCCAGTCCATCTGCGTAGTGCTTTATTCTGCAGGGTCTGAATTTTGTTCCTTGTAGTCTTCGCCGAGGAGCCCCATAGGGAGATACCATATACGAAGGTTGGGACAACTATTGCCTTGTAGATGGCGGCCTTGCTGCTGTAAGACAACTTGCTTGAAGCTCTCAGCATCCAGTCGAGGGTTTTTAGCTTGCTTTTGCATTTTGAGGTTACTTGACTTATGTGCGCTTTAAAAGTCAGCCTTCTGTCAAGAGTGATACCAAGGTACTTTACTTTTGAGGCTTTGGGAATAGTGGGCCCCAATGCAACGCTTGGGCAATCTCCTCTTCTAGTGGCGAAGGTAGTATGTACAGACTTTTGTGCATTAATGGTGATACACCACCGTTTTGCCCAGCGTCCGAAAGAGTCCAGATATTTTTGTAGTGAGTCTGAAGCTTCTTGCGCAGATACGTGACGTGATAAGATGGCGGTGTCATCTGCATAGGTCGCTATGAGTACTGCATCTGTACTTCCTATATTTGGCTCGGGAGTTGGCATATCTCCTGTGAATAAAGTATAAAGTGTTGGGCCTAGAACACTACCCTGTGGTACTCCAGCCATAATTGGTCTAGTCAAGGATACTGCTTGCCCCCTTGACACTTGGAAGGTTCTTCCAATAAGGTATGAGGATAGCAACGCGAAAAATGGGGCTGGAAGGGTGGTCCTCACTTTCTGCAGCAGTCCCAGGTGCCAAACTCGATCAAACGACAGACAATTTATGCGGCAGAACCCACACCACACTTTGCTTGAGTCATCTGCGCTCTCTTCACTTGTCCCACGCACATACAATTTATGCTCTTAATCGAGCTATTGACCAGTGCGATCCAAAGAAAGTGTCTCTCTCTCAGTCTTCACTTGTCCCATGCCCTGTACTCTCCTTTACTCTCTTGCATTGCAAGCAAGCAATCGGCTAGTGCGATCGAGCGAGATGGCGCCTCTTGCGCTTTCCTCACCATTCCATTTTGTGTTTAAGCTCATTCTTTCATTATCATTGTTTCTGTTTATGTATGTGTGCGTATATGCCTGTAATTCTTGCTCTCCTACGAAAGAAGCATTTTAAAATAGTAAAAGGATCTGCCAAATTCACACACAAATTTAATTTTCGCAGCATAATTTTTGAGTAGGACATCAAAGCATTTACGTTAAATTATTCCTAATGAGCGGACGGTTGTAGATGTATGAGCATATATGTAAGAGTGTGCGTAGGCTTTGCTGAATGAAAATGTAGATTTAAAGTGGTTTTTGGATATATATCTGCATTCAATTATATACTGTATGGAAATAATACTGTTAGTTGCAGCCGTGCTTACTTAACTTAAGAGCTATATGCCAATTTTGTCTTAAGTAACCGTTCTGTAGCTTTCTTTGGATGCATTACCTCTACTTTTTATCCAAAAAAAAAAAAAAAAAAAAAAAACAATAACAAACAGCTTAAAGCGTATTTCGTAAGCCCGAAAAATAAGCCCGACAAACTAGATGGAAACACTCCTATAAACATATTTTATGTGTGGCACCTTTTCTTGTCAACGTTTTTTTTCGTGCTTGCTTATTCCACTTGTAAGCCGTTAAGGGCCAACTCTCTGTACCTTTGATATTTTCATAATGCTTAGCTTAAACCCGAGTCGATGTTGAGGCGGATTCCATTTGATGATGATGTGGGTAAATTTGCTTTTCTTGTTTGGCTTGCAATAGAAAAAGTGTCGATTACGTGACAGAAATGTTCAATTGAATTTCAAATATTATAGCAAACACTATTCTAGAGAGACTGAGAGGAAGATAGACACAGAGAGAGAGACAGGGAGTGGAAGAGAGAAGGAAATAGATGCCCATTTGTTGCTTCAATAATGCATAAGTTTAGTTTTGTTGAGCTCTCTCTCCGTCTCCCTCTCTCTCACTGTGTGTGTGCTTCTCTCTCTATTCCCCAGTGGTTGATGAGGGTTTAAAGGAGCCAAACAAGAAAACATTTACAAAATTAATGTCGCAAGCAATTTTTGTGCCAACTTAACAGCAACTGAAACATTGACACATTGAAAGCTGTTAGAAAGCGCCAAACGCTTAATTTCTATGGCAATTTCTCAGCTTAAAGACTATTAACTAATATGTGATAATGGCTTAGCAAACAGTAACCAAAATTCCATTGCTAATTTGACAAGCGAAAACCTAAATAATAAGCAAAAAGAACGTTCTAATGGGCACTCACAGACTACACAATACTCGTTCCCAGCTCGAAAACATATTGCCAAACGGAACATGTAAATTAATCTGTAGCGTTGGTCAGCTACAAAACTCCTCTATGTGTTATATGATATGTATATGTGTTATACGTTATATGTTATTCATCAAATAGGCGAGCCTCTTGATGAACACACACATAAATAGCATAATCCAAATATACTCCATTTGACATTGCGAGCGGACATAAAAACAAGTTTTGCATGCGATTCGCGCGAATCATTTGACCAAACTTGACCGGGCCATTAACTGTTGACTATTAGTCGATGTGGCTGTAGCTGCGACTGCGGCTGTGGCTGTTGTCAAATAGTTGCACACAAACATATTCCATTTATATATTGGCGGGGCTATCGATGGAGGTCTCCAAGACATGCTTTGTTATTTTTTGCGTAATCGATTGGCAACGCATTTGTCAGTTGAGCCAGCTGAGCACACATAATGCGAGGGCGAGGGTGGTTTTAGCAAATGCAGAAGACAGACCTAAGACTTGCTGCACTCTAGAGCATATGTTAAAATATCCAGCTAAATATATCCATATCAACTGATAAGAAGGAATGCCTCCTACATGCATTTTAGCCAAAAGCCAATATACCCTGCTTAGCCATTCGCAATGTGTGTGCAGGGTATTAAGGGCAGCTCCTCTTTAGACTCTTGGAAGCTGTGTGCTTGTTGATTTTGCTGGCTGTTCAATGATCGATGGACCATCGTGTGCCTGTTTCGCTTTTAGCCCTTTAACATGTTCAGCTTTTTGACTTTGGCCTCCCGTTTGCAGACGACAAGGAACATAAATTTAACGATTTTATGCCGACAGCAGTCGGCTGGCCCATTTGGAATCCTTCAGCAAGCTGCTCTCCTGCTCCTCGTGCTCCTCGTGCTCCTTTGGCATTGCGTGTCAGCAGTTGTGCGTCTGCCAGCTGGCAAGGTTTTTCCTGTTATTATTCTTAGCTTGGGGCGAAATGGAAATGTGGAAATGTGAAATCAAAGTGGAGTTGGCGGAGGGAGAGCTTCAAGCTCGACATTGATTATTTGACTTGAGCAACAAACTTAACAGCACAATTTGATATTTATTAATATGGCCTAATGAAACAAATGTTTCAATTAATTGATTCATAATGAAGTCAGCCAAATGTGCCTTCAACTCCACCTAGAATCCATTTGCCCAGCAGCAAATTGAACTTTCCCAACTTGAAGACATAAAATCTTGAATTTATGTGCACATAACCCTTTTCGGCTACACCTGCTGAATTTTCTAAAGGTGTAAAGGTTACATTTCAATAAGCAACATGAAATATGCACACACATGCATACATATATAAGCGTGTGTGTGTGTGTTTGTATATATTTATAGAAAATGTGCTCGTTGCATTTGAAAATTGGCCACAAAAACTCTTGTGTCCAATAATGTGAGGCGAGTGAGTGAGCATTAAATGTGCCTGCGCCGACACCTGCTGCCGCCCACTCCACCTGCTCCTCGGGGGCATGCCGTCGGCCCCCTTAAAATATATATATTTTTGCCAAGAAATGTCGCTGGCAAGTATTGTTGCCTCTGTATCATAATATTTTGCTTGGCAGTGTCTCAGGAAGCTATAAGCGAGGGCTGCTCCTAAAGTTTTAAAGATTTCTAAGTCCTTATATACTATAATCTAACATACTCAAGATTCCAGACTTCAGTGGTCTACTTGGAAGAGTACGAGATACCCTGAACCATGCGCAGAGCTGCGATTTTAATCTTTCTTTAATACTTCCAATGAGTTAAGCCTATAAAAAATAGAGGATAGGAAAGTATACTATATAGGTATATAGATATATTCCAACTAGTCCTTAAGTAGCTTAAGATTTTAGTATGCTGTGAGAAAAATGCTTAAGTTTAAGTTTTGAAAAATTAGCTATATCCTAATAATTGGAGAAAATCATTTATAATTTCTTTTTATTTATATGACTTAAATCTTAGATCTATTCGAAGATTTTTTTAAAATTATTTGGCCTCTTTTCTAAGCATTCAACTTTGAGCTTTGCAAAATTGTTTTCATGTCAGTCTATTTTATTTTTGGAGGATTTTGTGAATGCTAAGTTACCTGTTACCAAATACTCAATGTGTTATTCACCTGGCTCCTCAGTGCTGGGCATACGATTTGATGACGGCGTTTTGCTCTCGGCCGACACGCTCGTCACCTATGGCACCTTGGCCAGGTACCAGAATGTCAATCGAGTGATTCGGATCAATGATAATGTTCTGCTAGGTGGTGGGGGGGATTTCGCTGACATACAGTCCCTGGTGCGTACGATCAATCAGAAGGTAGTCGACGATTACTGTCTGGGCGATGGGCTCAACATAAGGCCGAATGCTCTGCTAAACTGGGTGACACGGCTCCTCTACAGCCGGCGCACCCTGAAGGATCCACTCGACATGGAGCTGGTCATTGGTGGACTCGATGCCAACCTGCAACCGTTCCTAAGTGTTGTGGATGCGCGTGGCACGTCCCAACACAGTTACGTTGTGGCCTGCGGCTTTGCTCGTTTGATAACCGTGCCGCTCGTACGCGAACGGAAGCCCAGAGATCGGGACTTCACTTTGGCAGAGGCAGCCAATCTGGTGCGCGATTGCATGAGAATTCTCTATTATCGCGATACTCGCAGCATTTCTCAATATATGGTCGGCATTTGTTCAAAGAGCGAGTGTTGCATTAAAGGCCCCTTCAAGGCCGAGGAGAACTGGGAAATCGCCGAACACGTAACGGGATACTAGCTAAAACAATATCAATACAGTATACAGTACACAGAATATATATGAATATAAATATAAATATAAATACTTTCAGAGCTCTCCAGTTATTTCTGAAATATATGCGAATTTTCGATAAATGAGGTAATTAACATGAGGTGCGCATGATATATTGGAATGAATGTCATATTTCAGGTGAAGCTGTTAAAGACCTAAAGACTTGAAGTTTCCCTCTCAGACTGGGGAAAGACCCCCAAAATCTGATATTGTTAAAGCTGTCTACACTTAAATGATAACGGAAATATAGGATAATAGATTGAGAGATCCTTTTGCTTAAGTTTTCGAGCTGCCCTCGCTACTTTTATGAACGTGTAGAAGCTCTTCTACATAATATAGATATATATGTATATATATATGGCTTTGCTTCCTTTATATGTATCTATTTTGGCCAGGAACTTCAACTGTAAATTTCAATTTCAATTTGTGTAATGCAAAAGGTGGATAAAGACATAAAAAATTGAATTATGCAGCCGTTGCCAGGCCCCCATTTAGTGGACACACATAAAGTACGACGATATTTCTTTTTACTTTCACTGTGGGGGCGGAAGGGTCGGGGTCATTTATCAGTTCTGTGGCTCATTGAACACATGGGAATAGATTTGTTAGACGAAATCCCAGCAAATCTTGGGTAATCCTTATATAATGCCTAGCAATTTCTTTACACTTTTGATTATTTGAATTTAAATTTGATTAATTTCTTGTGCACAACTTGTTACAAATTCCAAATGACAACAGTAGAGGCAGAGGCAGAGGTAGATGCTGTTGCTGTTGCTGTTGCTGCTCCCCCTACGACACGCAACAATAAAAACAATTTCCCCTTTGGCCTCTCCCGTGCTCTGTCCAAATGTTGCGCGTTTGCCATGTCACGTCATATTACACACACAATAGGCTGTGACACCCGCCCTGCCCGCCACGCCATGTACAGTATGCGCACCCACTGACGGACGGGGTGGGTGTCTGTTGCGACTCGACTCAGTCAGTCAGGCAACTATGACCTGATTTATCAAATAAAATAGCTCGCGCAGCTTCGCTGAGTGCATTCACTTTTCATTTGGCTGGAGTTGTACACTGTAACCAAATTCAGAGTGCATTGTTAAAATATGAGAATTATCCATATGGTATTACTATAGTATTCTATAGTATTCTCCTTGATATGAATGTCTTTCAGGAGCGTAGCTTAGTCCGGATAAGAATATACATGAGAGTGATTATAAGAGTATGAGTATAAGAATACGAGTAAAAGAGTTTTTGTTTTTGTTCAGCCTGTCAAGAGTATAAGGAAGTGATTATAAGAGTATCAGAGTATGAGTATTAAAGTATAAGTGCTGGAGAATTCGTATAAGAGTTCGTATATTATCTTGGCATGTGTTTCAATCTAAGCGTATATGAGTGCTTTTAGGAAAAGAAGAGTATAAGTATTATAGTGTATAAGTCCGTATATTCTCGTTATACGTGTAGGAGAGTATATGAATGAGATTATTGATGTATAGGAGTATTTGAGTATCAGTATTAGAGTAGATTATAAGAGTTGATCTATACTTCTCACGGAATGTATAAGTGTATATAAATTGATTCTGCAAGTATAAGAGTTTGAGTAGTAGAGTATCGGTGTCTTTTGACTAAGAGTAATGTTTGCTTAACTCGTACGATAGGTATAGGTATACGTATGTATGTGCTCGCAGGCAGGGTAACTTCTAGTCGGAATCATTTCAAATATGCTTTTATAGTTCGCTGTGTAACGGACAACTTTCTGCAAAATGCTCGAGTTTCATCCGCACAATTGTAAATGAGATAAGGGCAAAACTTTAGCCAACTTTACAAACTAGAAAGAGAAAGAGGACCCTACATACATACAAATGCATACATAAATATATGTATTGTGTACGTATGTGATATAGTGATTACAATAAAGTTAATTATGGGAAGAAAGACATATGTAGCTAGCTGCCGGAGATAGCAAAAAGTTACACAATTCGCATTTTAAAGCTAACTTATAATTCAACTGCTGTGGAGAGTACATATTTAGATAGACACACACACATACACACACACATAAATACCATCGCATTGAATGGGAAGACGCTGACAAATTAATTAAGTTAACACTTTTACTGCATTAGTGCATTAAGCAAGAGATGAGCTGAGAAGAGACTCTCACTAATGGCTTATACTAATTATAATTGACAACTTTGTCTCTCTCTCTCTCTGTCTTTCTCTTTGCCTTTGGCTTGGCGCTGACAGGTCTGAAGAAATTTCTTGCCCAATACCCATCGATATTTTTGGTGGACGGTGATTATGTGCAGGTGAACGCTTATCAGCACAGCAGCTCCGACGATGGCAACGCCGGCGGCAAGCGCGACTACATCCAAGAGGCTAAAGACTACTTCAAGAACAAGATGCTGCAGTACGGCGCCGCAGCCGAAGTGCCAGTGCGCAGTCTGCTGGGCCATCGGTCGCAGGCATCGCCCCAAGTGCGTCACATATCCGGTGAGTGAACTGAACCGAACTCAACTTAGCTTAACTTAGCTGAATTGAGTTCTTAACTCTAGTTAGTTTATTTAAGCATGCAATCAATGCTCTTTGTTTGCTTAACCTGTTTTTATTTAAACTCAAATTAACATCTCGAATATACAGTTAGGAAATACACGACTGGGAAATACCCTAAGCAATGATCAGGCTTTGAATTGTATATAATTGATGATATCCCAAAAGTAATATGTGTTAAAACTGTCCACACTTAACGATAACGAAAGCATTCGAGATGGACCAGCAAAATGGACTTGCTTTTATAAATATTTATATGAGCTCTTAAATATATTTTAAAGAAAACAATATACCCTGTTTAAATGTATGGGGGGTATAAAAAGCGAAAGCTCCTTAAGCTCTGCTTGCTGCAAGAGATGATAATTGACTCGATAGAGGAAATGCGATATAATGAATGTAGCTGGATGAATAATATATATACGATAATATATAGTACATGCAGATAATGTATATGTATAAATATAAATATATAGAGATGGATCGATGTAGATAGTATACAGCTGAACTAATCGGAATTCGTTCTCTCTTTGGTATTTCGTAGGTCAGCATATCAAGGAGTTCACAGACTTCCTCTCGAAACACACGGACACGTTCAAGGTCATGGATGACTATGTGATGCTGGTGGGCAGCGAGAATATGACGGATCTGCCAGCCAGAGATCGCTTGCATTTGCCGCAGTCGAATATCGATACGCGGGGCACACAGCAGATGCTCGACTTTTTCGCGCAGTGCATTGAGATGAAGGGCCCGCTGCTAGTAGATCAGCTGTTCCATTTGCTGACCTTGAACTTTCCGCAGGACCAATGGCTGCGCATGTTCAAGACGCCCGGCGACTTGAGCTCGTTCCTTAAACTATTCGGCGATTGCTTTCACATACAGGCGAATCTAGTCACGCTGCTGCAGAAGCCCAAGCTGAGTGACTCCCACATACAGCAGGCACAGGCTCGCTCGCGAGAGCAATTCAATTCGGTTAACAACAATCAGAATCCTCGCAAGGGCGAGCTGGCTCTGAGTCCTGTGCAGCAGCGTTTGCATTCGCCGGGAATGCGCAGCAATGGCTACAGCAGTCCGAGTAACAACAACAACAACAACAGCAACAACAACAACAACAATAATAATAATATAGCATCGCCTAACTTTAAGCTAAATGCGCCCGTCTCCAACATGACGGGCGGCAACGGCTTTGGCCAGAGTCAGAACAAGTCGGAGCCCAATTCGGGCTTCGATAGCTATGTGCCCATGTCGGAGCTCAAGCTGGAGAATCTGTGTGAGAACAACTATCCCAGCTCCAATGTGTGCTATGGGCCCATAGGCGCCGCAACGCAGCAGCAGCAGCAGCAACAGCAGCAGCAGCAATCAGCACCAACGGAGCGCTTGAATAGCGTGAATCAAACCTTGAAGCAGCGCATCAATACTCTGGTCATACGCACCTTGGCCGAGAACCTGGAGAAGGATAAGCAATCGTTGGCTAATCAAAACGCGCACTCGAGTTCCGTGCACGGCAGCAACACCAAAGCAGCGACAGCTGCAGCAACAGCAGCAGCGAATGCCGCAACTAGTCAAAGTTATTTTGTGGGCGACACCTGGAAGATCAAGGTGCTGCAAAACACAACAGTTATAGCAAATGTCAAGCACTCAACCTTTGTCACCGACGCGCTGCTAGATCTGGCCAAAGACGAGGAGCACAACATAGCCATCTCGCTGGATTGCGAAGGCATCAACCTGGGCATCAAAGGTGAAATCACTTTGATCGAAATCGGCACAGCACGTGGCGAGGCCTTCCTCTTCGACGTGCAGTCCTGCCCGGCCATGGTCAGCGACGGTGGCCTGAAGACGCTGCTGGAGCATGATCAGGTAATTAAGGTGATTCACGACTGTCGCAACGACGCAGTCAATCTCTACCTGCAGTTTGGCATTTTGCTGCGCAACGTCTTCGACACGCAAGCAGCGCACGCCGTTCTGCAGTACCAGGAGAATGGCAAGCAGGTCTATAAGGCTAAATACATATCATTGAACTCGCTGTGCGAGCAGTATAATGCACCCTGCAATCCCATCAAGGATCAGCTCAAGCAAATCTATCGCCGCGATCAAAAGTTCTGGGCCAAGCGACCGCTGACCCGCGAAATGATGCTCTACGCAGCCGGCGATGTGCTCGTGCTGATACACGAACAGCTCTTTGGCAATCTAGCTCAGCAAATTAAGCCAGAGAACAGGCAGCTATTCTCTGAACTGTGCACCGAGCAAATTCTTATGCAGATCAAGCCCAACGAAGTCAAGATTCGCAAGAAGCAGCGAAAGGTCAGCACTGAGGTCTCGGACCTCAAGCAGAAGCTGGCTCAGACCAGCAAAAGTATTGTATTATCCAATCGAGAGATACGACTGCTGCGGTGAGTACAGTGAAGCCATGAACCCAACGGACTCCCTGTTAATGAATTTCGTATTTCCTTACAGCTACATGGACTTGACGGAGGAAGAGAAGGAGCGACTCAAGGGCTACTACAAAGTGGCCAAGAAGCTGGAGAAAATGGAATCTGCGGGCAATCCAAACAAGTTCGTTGTGATTATTGAGTTTCCTTGAAGATATCTTCAACTTAGGTTCTTTTGCAGAGATCAAAGTGACTCGGAGGATGAGGCGGAGGCAAATGAGAATGACTTCTTTCCAAGTTTGGATTCGGTTCCATCGGACAATTCGCTCTCGGGCACCTTCTCGCCGCGCTTCAGCTCGGAGCCGCCCAGTTTGACTGAATCGATGCAAATGCTAGAGGAAATATTGCAAAACAAATCAATGGATCGAATAGCGCGTATTGATAAACTCGAGGCCATATTGACAACTGCAACCACATTGCCATGCGATCAAGTAAACCGAATGTAAGCCCCAACTTAGAATCCATCTCTAACCAACTCTTCATCATAGATAATCACTTCCAACGCAATGCAAGAACAATTGGGGTCCAGTATTGCTACAACTGAGAATCTGCAAATTATTCGCGAGAAATCGAGAAAGTAAGTGGCAGTGTCCAGCTAGAAGCCGTAGCCATCAAAATAATATTTGTCTCTTGTTACTTTTAGCATGAAGAACTGCAACTGCCATGGAGAACGTAGCATTACGCCCATTTTAAGATCGGGAAATGAGAAGCGCGTCGTTAAGCTGGTGGATGCCGAGTCGCAGACATTGAGCACCGGCGATGTTGTCATTACCAAAATCTTCTTTCAAGACGAACACGAGCGTGCCAAGGAGACGGTGTTGGCCAACAGCAATGCGAACACCAATTCGCCGAAACGTTTGACCTCAACTTGAATTTGAGCTTTTCGACACATATGATTCCTAGTTATATGAAATACATGTATTATTTTGACGATGGTGATGATGGTTATGAGACTCCCCAGTTGCATTGTAAAAGACGGAGAGATCAACTCTTTTTAAAAATATGCAATAATTTTCCCTAACTAATTGAAAGCAATATAATTTGTGCCTAAATGTTGAACATTGTATTAACAATACTTGCTATATAGTATATTATTTACTCCTATTTCAACTGTGTTAACATACATATAACTATATATATATGCACATATATATATACATAGACATATATATATCTATTGATTTGCTCACTAATTAATGGAGAAACGAAACATTTCATTGTTACACCGAATCACACTTCTCATCGTCAGATGATTTAGAATTTGTGTTGCATTCTGATTGTTTGGCAAGTTTTTGTTATTCAGTTACTATACTATACTAAAGCGAACCTAGCGAACCAATCAATAGCAAATCAAAATTTTCGTATCTAGGTTCGCTTTTTATTTGCTTGAGGCAATCCTTACATAAGAAACGTTGGACCAATATCTGTGTGTAAAGTCGAGAAGCCTTTAACTTTTTACAAGCTGTAACAGTTTTACAAATCCTTGTCGCCATATCGAAACTGAGAACTTTGTATTTCTTGACCAGAAACACGTTAATCCAACATAATTTTAGTCGAACTCCAACAGCATAATCAAAACTTCTTAACCTATTAACAACAAGCGTAGTCAATGTAAGAATGATATTAAACTGTAAAGAGAACATATTGAAATTGTACGATTATATAAACAAGCATATGCCTAATTAAATAAATTTGTAAAATTGTATTATACACATTGAACCAACAGACGTTTCTAAGCTAACTTTTATCCCAATTAAGCTTAGCAATGGACTTATGTTTCAAGCAATGTCTAAGCCTTACATGGAAGCCATACACAAGGATCAAAGCTCTTTTGGAATATAGTAGCAAGGATATACAGGAATCATCATCAACAAATCGCGGACTGCTCAGCGCTCACATAGCTTAGCTCAGCTTAAATCATTTAATTATAAAGAATTGTTTTTTTCCGTTTTGGTTTTTTATTTAACATCAAACATCAAGAGGCTTAAAACATTGATTTAGTTTGTGCATAAGTAAGATTAAATCTTTGTAAACATTTATAAAGATATACATACATACATATATAGATATATATTATATATGTAATGTATCGACTTTCTATAGTGTATATAATATTATTAATTTATCGTTAAATGGTTAGCAAATTTTGAATTGTAATTTGTCTAAATCAGTCAGGTTAAATTTAGTTTTTGTCACATAAATATTTTCTTCGCATTGAGCTAAATTCATTTATTGTTTTCTTAAGCGAATTAGTTGCTTTTTAGATTATTTATTAAGCATTATTTGATTGGGCTATGCTAGACATCGAGCTGAATATGCTTATAATTTGTTAGTATGTTGGTTAGTTTCTTGATTTAACTTTTAAATTGAATATTTATTTTTGGCAATCGAAATTTGATTGTTGAGCAAATTATTAAACAATTTAAATTCGTGTTTTCATTTGAGTTTATTATCATTTTACTTAATAGCTGTATTAGCGCTAGTTATTATATGTGTATATGCTAAAACTTAAGTACTAATTTAGCTAGCTCATAAAAGTTATACTATATTATTAATACTATTTATAGGCAAAAATCATAAGAAAAATGTAAGAAATTAATTTTTGAATAAAAATTGAAGAAAAACCAAAGAAGTTGTATTAAATTGAAACTTTACGGAGACAGCAGCCATAACCCAAAAATGCTACTAAATAAATGTCTGGAGCTAATGCGAGTCGAAAAATTTCACGTTGCGCTCAGCTGAATAGCAAGCGAACGAACCCAAATTCAGGATCTGAAATTTTTCATAGCCTACTTTTAGGAGGCGTATTTTGTGAATTCATTGCATACTCTTAGGAATCGCATTTAACTGCAGCCAATCAGATGGAGATGTATTCCATTCATGAGAATACATGTCAACAAGGTGAACGGACGAACATAAATGCAAGTAAGTAACAAAATATCTTATGTTGTCATATTTTTAATATAAAGTTTTTTTTGAGCGCTCATTTTTATATGCGAATTTTCATCACTTTAGTACTTTGAATAAACCAGCCAAATATGACCCTAATTTCAAAAGTTTTATCTGTTTAGGCTCGGGCTCTACCTAAATATTGACCAATTTATTGAAATTCTAATAGGAAAATGCAGTGCTTTTAACAGGAAATTCGTTGAATTTGAAACGTTTCTTTCGATACCAGCGCCGTACTACCCTGACATATTTCATCACATTCCAAATTAAATTTTGAGCGATTTGTATAACTGTAATGAGTGTAGACGTTCAATGAACTTCCACTTAGAGATCCAATGTTAAATAATTGCTAAATATTATTATAAAAAATAATACGAATATATATTTAATAAGTATTGCATACAACCCTCTGCCACCAACTCAAGCGTATGATGTAACTACAGTAGCTATTACAGCCAGACGGACTAGTCAGTAAATCAGCAAATCATATAGTCAGTCAATAAAGTGAAATAGTTTAATATATAATAACACCAACGACACAAGCAATTTCTGTTGAAGTTTAGAAAAGTTATGAATGTGCTTTTAGTAGAAGAGGATAGGGATAAAAGATAAGGAGAAGCATAAGCTACGTCTTTTGAATAAAAATTGAATTTGCATATGTGAAAATTTATATTAAAGCAAATTAGTTTTGAAGGAAATGTGTATCAGAGAAAACTTGTATAATGAGAATTTTGTATCAAATGAAATTTGTCTGAGAGGAATTTTTATCAAAGGATTTTTTAAAAAGAGAAATTTGTAAAAGGGGAAATTTATATTGATGATTTGCATTGAGTTCAATTTGTATCAAAGGACATTTGAATGGAAATTTCTAATAGTAGAAATTTGTATTAAAGGAAATTTGGAAAATGCTCAAGAAACAATGCGAAATTGCAGTCAAAGTGGTGTTATTATATATTTCCCACTGTATATATAGACGTATATATACATATATTTATAAATATATGTTTATCCTATTATAATTAACTTAACTAACTATTTACTTAGTGTTTATTTAGTGTTTTACAGCCTTCTCGCATATTTGAGCTTTGTAAATACAGTCATAAATAGACATACGACCATCTTTCACCTCTGAGTTGCACTTTCCGTTCCATTTATGCAAAATGATAGAAGCAACAGAAGAAGTATACGTAGGACTTATTATCTAGTTGCAGAAGTAGTCGTATATACAAAATCTTATATCAAATATATATATATATCCCATTTGTACGCAAGGGTCTGCGCCTCTCTATATATATATTTGTTAAAATCACATCTTTGAATGGTATTTAGCTCGTTAGCTGTATGTACAATTTGTTCTAACTCGCATAAAACTACGTTTAACTGACACCTAGGGACTTAATCAAAATATTCGTATAGTAATCGTATAAGTTAATAATGTATTCGTTTTCAGGAAACCTTTTTAAAACAATTGTTTTCTCTTCTGTCGCTATACACTTAATCTTTTACCTTAACTTAACCTTAACATGTTGATGGACAATTTTCCACATCTAGTATCGTATATAGCTATATATATATATTTCCAGGTATGACACAGATAAAGTTGATCTCCATCCAATATCTCACACGTCCATATATATTTATATATATATTCATTCAGCAAACCTTGATCTTCTACCAGGGAGTCAAATTGACTTTAGGAGCTACAGAGTTTAGACTAACAATAAAAACTAGGGGCTTACAAGCTAATTGGCTTTGATGATTTTTCAGAATTGTTTTAATATATTTTTATAGTTTAGCTATTCCTAAGAAATTAAAAACTCTAAACCTAAAAAGAATAAAAGTCAAACTCAAGTCGGAAGTGCACTACTATGAAATACTCGAGCCGATCTGCGTTTGCAATTGAATGCGCTGCTTTGAATAGAAAAATGTTAAAACAAAGTGAAATTATATAAAATACAGCTGAAGTTCAATTCGTGTAATTATAAATGAAAAAAACAAATTTCAAAATTTAAATGGATTTTGATGCTTCAAAGAATAAGTAATATGATTAAGCTGAAGTTTTATAACCTTTTGTTACGTTTTCTATTGATTAGATTATGAGAAAAGTTATCTTTTATATGAGATCGACGCTTTCGTACATGCGGAAAGACGAACAGACAGACGGACAGCTAGATCGACTCGACTGCTTTATGAAGTATATGGGCTCTGCCTTCTTCTTCTGATTATTACATTTATTTATTTTATTTAACAAAACCAATATACCCTGTATGCTAATTTTCAATGGGTTCAGTGAATAAACCGAATCAAATCTTAAGTTTATAAATATTGAATATTCTAAAATCCATTAGAGTTATTTTGAAGTTTCTAATGTGTCAAGCGTTTAGTACAACCATCAAATAATTCCCAATCTACATAGTACACAAAGTTCTCTCTTCATATATATATTCATAGTTCTTATGATAATTTAGATGAAACACTTGTTCCATCAAATCCATTTGCTCTCCATTTGCTAATGATTTATCATTATTTATTTTATTTTATGCCTATATTTTTGTATATTTTATTTTTATTTTCAATTATTGCTAAACAACTTTATATATTTTCAATACATACCTTGGGATACTTGTAATTAAGCATACAATTATATGTATTTAATCAAATTTGCTAGACATTGAATGCCTAAGCGGTTTTTATATGTGCATTTCTCATGACAGTCAGTAAATATTTCGTTTCTTATTTTTGATCCTTAAATTCTATCGAAATATCATATTTTTTTTTAATTCTTTGGAAGAAAGCTCTAAGATTTAGTTCACCTTTTTGATATCATTTGATCAAAATTGAAAATCAAATCAAATCATCAAAATTATGGATAAAACAAACAAATTTGTAATTAAAATAAAAATGTGTTTATTTCACTAAAAATGTTTAACAAAACATAATACATATGTACATCGATCGATAGCTGCTTAAGGTGCTTTACGGAAACAGAAGAAGAGGAAGAAACGAATTCTTGGGTTACAAAATTTTGAGGTTGGAATTGTGATTGATCAGATTTATCTTCTATATTGTTCAGGTTTACTTATGGGAACATCTAATATCATAAACACTCGCAGACATTGACATTGAACTGGATTATGTTTACTATATAATTGATTTGAAGACAGATAGGTAAAGAAGCTATTGCAACTATTTAAACTGTTTTTTAGGCTCTTTTCGAATTACAAAAACTCCTTTTGTCAACTCTGAATGAGCAAACTTTTAATATGTATATGTATATATAGATATATATATACATATATATGTTTATGTGGTATATGCATGCATGTTGTTTCTTTTGTATGTATATGTATTTGTATATATATGAATATATATATTTAATCACTTAATGAGATCAAGTCATATAGCGCATAATCTCGCGCAAAGCATAGAGTAGTTCGGCCTGGTTGCGGGCTTCCATTATCATTAGATTAACATGAACCTGCAAGCAGAAAAAGTTTCCATGTGAATAAGTAATTGTTGAAGTCTAGTCGAGGCTGGCCGACTAGCAGATACCCGATACGCCATGATTATGCTATGCTGTTCATACCTAAGACTCCCATCGCACACTTTGCTAGTTTACTTCTGGTGCGGTCATTATTTTTACTGCCTTTATTCTAATTACTACACAAAATATTTTATAAGCTATTATGTGAGTATAGGAGAAACCGATTAAACAGTTCACTTTAACCTAGTACACCACTATTTGTCTGTGCTGTACAAGTGCTGAAGAGTATAAGAACATTTTTTAAGTATGAGAGCATACGAGTATAAGAGATGAAGAGAATGTCTGCATCCACTTGGCTTCATCGATATCTTATTATATTTCGTATATATATATTTGAAATCGAATTTCCATGTTCCAAAGTATTCTAAATTTATCTAGTAATTTGTCCAAGATTCATTCAGATTCATTCTGATCAATATACGTTGTGTAGGCGGCCTCCTTCTGTGTGTTAGATACACCCACCTGCACTGAGTGCAGGGTATACAAAGTAAAAAGTTTTCTTTTAATCACCTTTTCGCTGTCGAGCAGCTCGACGAGCACACTATCGTAATCCTTGGTGGTAATGCGCTCTGGAAAACAACAGGCTGTCTTTATAAACATTTTCAGAGGACGTACAAGCAGCTGGGGAATGAGAGAAACCAAAATAAATACAAATGCACCTCGGTCGAACTGCACTTAGAGTCGCCACTCACCTGATTGACTTCTCCGTAGTCGTAGTCGTCGTGTCGTATGCCAAAGATGCATTGGATATAATTCCAGATGGCACGACGAAACTTCGAGGTGTCCACATTCTTAATGCCGCCCATGGTGAAATAGGTCAAATTGTAGGCAGCCCGAAACTTGTCATCCAGAAAGGTGCCCACATCGTTGTACAAGCTAATCGACGAAGAAACCACATCATATATAATACAGGTGTTTTTTTTTCGACTTTCATCATTTTTGACTACGTACCCCTCCACAAGAGAATAGCCGTGATCCTCCCAGGAATAGTCCTGTATGCGAAATGTATTTATATTCTCGGCACCGCGACGGGCAAAGTCCTGGTACGTAAAGCCCGCATCGTCGACATAATGCGAAATGATGGGCGGCAAGGCGACTGTTACCTCGGGGGGCGTGGCAGCTGCCAGCTCAGCTGTCTGCAGCTCGACGCTCTTAAAGCGATTACTTAGCTCGGCCTCGCTGCACTCGTCCTGGTTCTGCGAAAGTACTTTCATGCGCTCCATTACGGCCTCCACACAGATACCAAAATGAATTTGCGGCTGCGGCTGCGGCTGCTGTTGTGCGGTAGCTGTAAATTGAAAGAATCATGTAAATACATATGTGAGTCTAATGTACACTCAGCAAAATTAAAATAAACTATAATTCATTTAAATTTAATTGAATTATTTACAGTAACAGCGACAATTACAGCGACTGATGCCTGCTGCATGCTGATGAACGATCGGCACTGATATCGCTGTGTTCATTTTATGCTACAAAATCAAAGGCTTTTCAATAGGTGTGACTGAGCTAGATAGTGTTCACACTGGTTAAGCGCTAATTGCAAGACTTAATTTTGAGATTCTTAAACGACTTTTACATATGTGCGATAGAGGGAGAGACAGATAATGTACGCAGGAATAGCAGCACGTAGCGAATAATGGGATAACGGCAACAGCGCTTGCACTTGTTAAGCTGCAGCTTGCACGTATTAGAGTAAAAGAGAAGACAGCAAAATGCTGCTGCCTTGACTCTGTGTATGCAGTTTATAAATAGAATAATTTGTAATATAAAAGCGAATTGTGAAAATTTGTTTGTTTATGTAGACTTCATTTGCTTAGCAAATGTAGAAATGGATAGCTTTGTGCAAATATTCCAACTAGAAGGCATTATGTCTCTCCGTCTGGCTGTTACTAGGCAGTCGTATGAATTTACGACAGTCTGATTGTATATCAGCAAGGGTATTTAATCTTCGGCATTGCAAAGATAACTAACTGTGTGTGTATGTGTGCGTCTGTATTCTTACCCAAATAGTGTTGGCCGAAACTGTTGTTGGCTGCGCTGCTTTTGCCATTGTTGTTGTCCATTGTATTATTATAATCTGGCTTTGTATTGTTGCCACCACCGCCGACGCCAACGCCAACGCCAACGCCACTGCTGACAGCAGCGCTGCTGTTGCCGCTGCCGCTGCTGCTATTGTTCAATGATATCTCCCCTAGAACGTTTTTCTGCTGCTGCTGCTGCTGCTGCTGTTGCTGTTGCTGTTGCTGTTGCTGCTGCTGCTGCTGCTGCTCCTGTTGCTGTTGCTGTTGCTGTTGCTGCTGCTGGTAAATGGGGCTGGTTGGGGTCTGGCTGGCATCATCAAGCTTCGGCGACTGCACCTGCAGCTGTGGCTGCGGCTGTGGCTGGGGCTGGGGCTGCGTCTGAGACTGCATCAACAGGGGCGCACCTTTCAATTTGGGACTAGACAAACCATCGAGCTTTTGTGTGAGGCCGCAGGAGAACACAAACGATGAAAGCGAATGGAAATGCGATAGCAAGACCATCGCATGCACCACCTCAGACAAAGACCAGCTATTTCTACCTTTGGTCAGGCGCTGCAAATGCAAAAGTCATTAACTATTTAATAGATATCTCTCTCTCACTCGCGCTCACTCTCCCTTTCTGTATGCTAAGTGCACAGATGCCTTACCTCAATATGCTCCTTGCGCAGCAGCCAGGGGCGATGAGCTAATATTTTATTAATATCATATATGGCACGTAATTTGGCGGGTATATATTCCAAGCCATTTAGCCACTCGCTATTGCCACCCTGATTAAGAAACTCCTTCTCATACCGCTTCACCAGGTAGGGGCATTGATGCCGTGCAGCAGCCTGAAACAAATTTAATTTAAAATCTCAATATTTAATCAGATTTTTAAATTATTGCACTCGTACCGCAATCAAATCTATATATGTAATGCACACAGCTTTACAATTAACTGAAATCTATTGTTACACCCCATTAAGAGTGCCTGGGAGAGCATTCACACCTGCAGATGTGCTAAAAATATATATTTCCCTCTGCGTGTCCCAAAATAAATGTTGTTTTCATTTCTGCTGCGTCATTAATTTAGCTTTACTTGTCAGAACGTGTCGCACATTCACAATATTTTATATTCATAAAATGTACCACGCATAAAATATATCACTAAATTGCCATATAAGAGTGTACTTTGTACCTTGTACCAATCAGCATCACTATAATGTACCAACCTATTTCTGACACTGAATTTAGAATTCATTAAATCTATCATATCAGAAAATGTACCTTCCTACTGCATAGCTTGCAACATGTACCAACAATAGCATATACCAACCTGTCTCTGGCTATAATTAGTATGTATAAATCGCATTACTTAATCGAAAGATGTACCTTCGTACTATGTACCTATACTGTATTATATGTGTTTATTTTTGCAAGAAAATAAAGTCAAAGACCCAAAACCAAAATACTCATATCTAACCTTGTTTATGACCATTGCCATGTCTATATATATCTATATATAAGATATATGCGAGAGGCGATCCAATTGTATCTAATATAAGCAAATTTTCCCGAACATTGAAAAACAGCAGAAATAAAATCCATTTATTAAATACCTTCTGCAGGTGGAAACCCAAAAGAAAGAAAAAATCGGCTTGCTCCTTCGATCCTTTGTTAAAGCATTTCACAAGACAATAGTCAGTATATCCCTTTTCCAAAATAGTAACAAACAGTAAAAAGAAAAAAATACTCAGGTCGGATATGCCTGACTGGGAAATACCCCACACAGGATCTCTAGCTGCGATGGCTTTAAATCATGCCTGAAAACATTAATCTATCAATAAAAATATCGATATTTACCAATAGTAAGCAAATGGATTAAGTTATTTACTGACAAACTTGACGCTTGGAATCCTGGTGTCCTAATGTAAGTTTTTATTTGCCATGGAAAATATTATGTGGGTGGGTGTTTAATTTGCAATAAGGTCTATATTCACGCGGCTGTTGCTGTTGCAGTCAGTGAAAAGTAGAAAAATTAAGTGCGCTATAAATCAATTTTAATTACGATGTTGTTCATAAAATTGTTTCTATTTATAAATTTGCTCTGCCCCTTGGTCTGTTTACCAATTGTGTTTCAATTGTATGAAAAACATTAACTGGGCGTACGATAAACGATACATAAAAATGATGTATTATATACATCAATTATACATACATATATGTGTATGTATATTGTGATAAATACATATATATATATTGAGAAGTTTCTATATATAATTTAATTTTCGAAGCCAACTAAATTGCAAAATAAAAAAATTGACTCTTGCTTTCGTTCAAAGTGAAGCAAATCGGCTTTGCCCCTGTGTGTATATGTGTGTGCAAGTGTGCGTGTGTGCGACAGCAAATGTTATCATCAATAATAAAATATCCACAATTGTTTTTACATTTTCCTTTCCGTGCTTCGGTTCAAAAAGAAGCTTTGCCCAAATGGGTTCACATACATATTTTATTTATAGGAGGTCTGGACTGTCACAGAACATTTTGCCAATTCACTTTTGTTCAAACTCGAAAAGGAAACGAACTTTTCATCTGCTGTATCAAGCTATAAATCACTGCAATAAAGTTTACGTAAAGTTTCCATGTGAAGAACAATTTAAACTATGGCTGCCTAAAGCACATTTATTTTAATCATATTAACTATCTAATATTAGCTTAACTTTTAGGTTTTCCGCATTTTCCCATTACAGAAGCAGCAGATTAATAATTGTAGCCAAATGCAGGAGTTTGATTTCCCTTCAAAGGCTGTAGTCTAACATTCAGGATTTCCCTATTATAATTGTAGTCAAGACGAGTTAAACTGAGCTAAATTTCCTTTTATGACTGTAGACCAATTTCAGTTTGATTTCACTCTAAAACGATAGTCAAATAAAGCTTCCTCCTTTCTTAATCCCTTCCCTTTTATAACTGTACTCCGGGTATTTTTAATTTCATTCTATACTTAAAAGCAAAAGGTCCTTTATTTCCCGTCCCAACTGTAGTTTAGTTTCTCTTTAAAAAATATATTTGTCTGTGAAGCCCTGACAGTCCTTATTGCCTTTCATAACTGCAGCTCTGGAAATCTTATTTTCCCTTTACAGCTATAAACAAGAAACGCATAATTTTCCATTTTAACTGTAGCCCAGGGGAAGGTCCAAAGAATCCTTGCTGACACCTAAAATGCTCGCATGAATATGAAATTGAAAATGCTGTCAGTTGTTATTAAGAAACTTGTTTGGGTTGCAAGCAGTTCTATTGTTTTTCGCCGTGTGGTTGCTGCATGCTTCCAAAGTATCACCTGTCATCAGCTCACCTACGCCCCAACCTTCTGCATTGTCAAGAATTTCTATTCTTGCGACAGTGCAGTTGCAGCTACACCAATATGGCTGAGACCCAACTCCCTTTTCCTACTCGCTCACATAGTGGCTTACGGGTATATTCGTGAAGTTGGCCTTAGCCCTCTGAAGGCGTGGCAAGTGAAGATAAACTGATCTTTCCATAGTCTCTAGAATTCTGCTTAGATAAACCAAAGAGTTATATAAGTAACCTTGACATGGAAATGAATTTAGATGCGAACGAGTATTGTGCGGTCAGTTAAGCTCGACTGCAGCATTCTGACTTGATTTTTTTTTTTGTTACTGCACTGCAGAGAGAGCTCAGAACAGTGGAAATAATTTGCTGCTGTTGTTGATTCCCCAATGTTCAACCTGTTGTGAGAGTGCGAGTATGTGTGGGTGGGTGTGCTTGTGTGTGTGTGTGTAGAGACTGCTGTCATTGATAGGGCATCAACAGCCAACTAGCAGCAAATGTGAGCCGACAGCGTCAGTCGGCGGTAGCTAATGTGCTTAAATTTGCCAAAGGCAATAATGCACAATGCACCTACACACACACACACACACAGACAGTGAAACAGAGACAAAGGTACAGATACACACATCCTATTACACATGCTACGACAGTGAACAGCATGTTGATGAATACTGAATAGTGAAGCGCACACGAGGCTGATATTTAGAAACGAAACAACCGAAAGAAGAAAAAGAATGATTTTAGTACTCAGCATAGAATAATAGCTGGCTGCAACAATGGCTGTTGCAAGTTGATTAAACAATAAGCTCCAATTAGGACAAAATACAAATGAAAGCAATAAACAAATGTTCTACTCACTATTATGGCCAAATAGTATCTATATGCGTAGGGCAAGGGTCCATCACCTTTCATAATAAAGTTCTGCGTGTGCAGAAAATGATCACGATATCGCGGATGATAGCCAATCACCTGTGTCACCTGGTCACAGTCATCGAGATCATCCATATCAAGATCAGTTGAAGCGCACTGCAAACAGAACAGAGAAAATCTTATTAACATGCTGCGTATACTTAATATTTGTATATATATATAAGCATTTTGGTTTATATATTTTGGTTTATATATATAAATATATATGTTTGGATAATTAAATATAAATAATAAATACGGCTTAAATGTGCTATTAAATATGTGCAAAATATTTAAAATGTAAAGCGTAATGTAAAGGATGCGTATACTTAGCATGAATATATTACGTATACGTTAGTATAAGTGTGTAAATGGCAAATATATTGGATACGTAACAAAATGTAGTATTATTATATTTAATATTACTGTAAATATTATTTTTATTACTTAAAAATTTAAGCTACCTCGCTGCTTCTACTCAGCTTTAACATGTCACGCATACGACAACTAATCAATAAATGAGTATGAAGTAAGTACATTAAATATTGGATAATGTAAATATGTCAGACATGGCTTATACGTAATATTCCTATGTATTATGCACAAGCAATGCTATCCGAAAACGAAGAAGACCAAATACAAACAGCTTTTTAATCACGAAACATGCGGATTGAGCAGTTCAGAGTTAACTTGATATTCTGCTGCACGCACAAAAAGGCCATCGCTGTATTGAGTCCTCCGGATTGCCAATCAATAAACAGTTGCCATGGCAAGCAGCGTCCAGTGAATTGCATTTCGCATCAGATATATGAGTAATGTGCCTTTTTAGTGAACGAAGGCCAAAGGCAAAGGCAAAGGCAAGCGGCAAGCGGCTAGCGGCAAACGGCAAAGGCAAATATTGCTCTCTATTACATTATTACTGCAAGCAGGAGCATCCCTCTAAAGCTGATTGCCATTGAATTGAATGGCCAAGTCTCTGCACTCGCCCATTCATAAAGCCAACTTCATAAAGGCCACTGCTTAAGCTGAGGATTTATTAAAATTATCGCTACTGCACAGAGATGTACGCAGCTAAGTAGACCTGCTTCAAAGAGGCTAAGTCTGTTCAGAGAGAGCCTAACTTGACAGTGTTGAAATGTGAAGTGAAAGGGGAAGATCGCCATCGGTAGTAAGCTATAAAAACCAATCAGGTGCCGCAAAAAGGCTAGATGTGTCCCAAAAAGGCTAACTGGACAGCATTAAGGGGCAAAGTGAAAGAGGCAGAGTGCAAGAATAAGTGCTTTATGTGCAGCCTAAAACTAAGAATCAGTTAGTCGGCGAAAGAGGCTAAATTTATTCTGAATAAAGTCTAACACTTGTGTGTTACGTATGCAAAATTGAAAGAGAGACTGAGACAGTGAGCTATAACCGACAACCTGTTCGGAAAAAAGGCTAGATTTGCCCTCAGAAAGGGCTAACTGGACAGGACTGGCCTGCAGACGCTGGAGCTGCTCTTTTGAAGTAGCTAGTAAACAATTAGCGATACAAAAGCAGCGCTTGTTGTTGCTATTCAGCGGCAGCTCACAAGCGGGCTACTACACACACCCATAAATATATATAAATTTAAATATATACAATATCTAGACATATACACATACACAGATATATAAGTATATACATATAATTTGCTCATTAAACAACACATGTTTATGCAGCAGCATTTTTCTATATTTTTATCTGCTTGTTGCTTACTCAAGCTCTGACTGACTGTAAAATGTTAATTAAAGTTGTTTTTGTTTTTTTCTTTTATTATTTCATTATTGTTGTTGTTCGTCTAAACTGGGGCGATGTTATTAAACGTTCAATGACTTTTTTGTTAGTTGTTTTGTTTTTTGTTTTTTGTTTTTTGCTTTTTGTTTTCTTCTGTTTTCTAGTCATTTCTTTGTTGTTGCCTTCTGAGTCTTGATAGCGAGCCACAATCAGCCAGTTGCTTATCGTTTTGTATATCATGTAGGCACACACTATATACATAGACACATCTATATACAGTTCTATACATTTTATATGACTGTCTAAAGTAGTTGCTAGAACAATTTGCATACACACATGTACCGCCCACGCGCGCGCTTAGCCTTATTCTAAAATATAATCAATCCAAATTTGGCAAGCGGTTCAATCAAAACTGAGCACAAAATTAGAAATTAAATCCAACAACAGCTTCGTATTTCTATGTTTGACTTTGAGGCAAACATCCACGACCAGAGAAAAATGAAACTGCTTTATAATATGTTTATTATAATCAGCTGCGAAAAATGAAATAGCACCAGTCTCATAAGCCTTTCTATACTCTGATGCCATTGAAAATCAGCGAACTTTTTAGATTGATGAAAAGACTAAAAATGTTTGCTCCCAATAAAGAAGCGTAAATCAGTTTGACATGTCAAGATATTTTATATATAGTATTCACTTAGTTCCAGTTACAGCTCCAACTGTCGAACATCAGATCTTATTGAGCTTCACAAGCTTTAAACTCTAGCTAGAACTCAATTTTTTTTGTTGTTCAGTGTTTGATTGTAAAATGGCAACACTCACATAATTAATTATCTTTAATGTCGAGGTAGACATATATTTTTTGGTAGCCAGGCATTAGACATTAACAAGTGCTGAACTAAGCGCATAAACAAGACATTCCATTAATCAATGTGATTTATGGACAACTATTCAAATGCAAATTGATGTGGGCTGCACACACACGAATCGTGGCCATTCGTTTTAAAGAAATATGTAAATAGTTTGCTCTGCTCCGCCAATTTGCAAATCAAAAACGTGTGGAGCTCTCTTAATTAAACCAGACTAAGTTTCCAGTAGAGAAATTCTCTGCGAAAAAGATAGGGCTAATTACAGCTTCTAGTTCAAAGTTATTGTACTTTGAGCACACTGAAAGTGCGTAAAGCGGGTATATTAGTTTGCGCATAGTATATATATGTACTTTTCGTGTATGAGATTATCAGATTCTACATAAACAATCGTATACAAGTGTAAGAGTATAAGATAACATAAATATGACACTATAAGTTTGTACGTATAAGACCTAAAAGTATAAGACTGTATATACAAAATTATACGACATCAGATGATAAGATGATGACAGTAAAATAGTATTCGAGTATAAGTGTAGAAGACTTCAACAGTATAAAAGTATTTATAAACTACTTCAAAAGTATAAGAGTATGAGAGAACTGTTTGAGTATAAAATTATAAGAGTACAATATGAGTATAAGAATATAATCACATACTAGTGTAAGACTATAAGAAGAAATTCAATTGATTTCAATTAATCAGTAGCTTTTTCCATTGCCGACTCTACAAACGAGTATCTCATAGTCGAGCAGTCCCTACTGGAGCACTCCTGCTGGCTGTTATTGTTGCTTTATTCGTTTTTTATTTGTATTCTGTTTTTTTTTTAGCATATTAATTGGCAGCTCTTCGTTAGGTGGCGCCAGAACAAATTAAAGGTTTGCAGGAACTTGTCAGACTTTCGCGTTTCGTAAGGAAGAAGAGCAACAAAAACGCGTTGACAAATTGCGAAAGAAGCAAATTATAATTAATTAATGCACGTTAATTGAGTATAAATTACTGAGAGCTGTTATTGTTCCGCCTTTTCTTAATTTAGGAAAACAAGTCTGGAAATTGCGGGGTATAAAAGAGAGTGACTGGAATTAGTTGGTGCAACGACAGTGTCCAGTATAAGTGTAGTATAAGACAACAGCATGGAAAACACATGGGCAGACAGATAGGTATACATGCACACAAAATTGGAGCAGGAGGAGTAGTTGAAGGCCAAATATGTGTGGATGTTACCAAGTTCTTTGAAAGCTGGAAAACATTGCAGGGCATCGATGAGTCTCGCTCTTTGATTTTTTCTGCTGCTATTCAGAACTCGTTTGTGCGCATAGCGTATACGTGATATGCCAGGCGTTTCGTTTTTTTTTTTTTTTTGTTGCTGCTGTGCACTTTGATGTGTCAATTGAATGAAGCTCTCTCCCCTCATCTTCATTAAGGGCATATGCATTGATAAATATGTTAGATTGAAAGATAGGAATTGATAGGTAAGCAGATAGGTGGATCGATAGGTAGGCAAAGATAGATCGATAGAAATTTTGTTGGCACTCGTCCATACAAATAGTGACAGTTAGATAAATAGGTAATTAGATAGTTTTTAGTTTGATAGATAGCTACATCGCTAAATAGCTAACAAATTGATTAATTGAGAGAACTCTCTCTCTCTCTCTCTCTCTCTCTTTGGCTACTGCTCCACTGTAACTTAGTAAAAAGACTATGAATAACGCAAGTTATTATGATAGCTGCGCAATATATATATATATATATATATATATATATGTATATATATATATTTATATATATATATATATTTAATAAACAACATAAGCATAGGAAATACAAAACATTAAATGGAGGTCAACATTAGAGGAAGCGACTCTTGCTCCATATGAATGCGAGACGTGACTGAGCATAATTTATCGCTACACACATTTTAATGTTGTTATTTTTATGGTTATTATTATTGTTGTTGTTACTTGTGTTGTTGTTGTAGTTGCTGTTGCTGTTATTCTGAGGCAAACCCAAACTGAAAACTGAAAACTGAAAACTGAAAAGGCGAGAAACCAGGCCTTTGCTTGTGCATTCATGCATAAATTTGAGCATAATTGAGTGGACTTGAAGTAATGTCAGCATCTAAAGCATAACGCATAACAAGCGATACTTTCGACAAGGGCAGTACGAAGGGGAGTCTATTCGTTCATTCATTGCCTTGATGACAGACGTGCCAGCCAGCTGGCATTTTAATTACAAAATTCAATTACATAAGCAAACACAAAGCTGATATTCGCAGAGGTGACTAATACTTACACTGTCCAACAAACATTTTGAGGCTAGAGTCAAAGGCAGTTATCGCTTCACGAAAAAAGTTACTTATTCGATGTGTCATTACTTAAAAAATTAGGGTATAAGTTACTGTTAATTCCTGCTGTTATACAATTCTGTTACACACTGCTGTAGACGTTGCTGCTGTACAGTTTCTATTATGCATTGCTGTTATGCATGGCCGATACACACGC